TATCTCAAGGATTCTAAAGCCCATTTTATTGCCAGGCATTCCTTTTCAACAACGGGGGATTCGTTTTTCCGGCTCAGATACATGACAGGATGTTCCTCTCCTTCATGTACCTGGGAAAGAACCGCGCCAAGGCCCACATCAGACGCATCGTTCTGAACCACAAATGGTTTAGTGAAATCCAGAGCCACCAAAACAGGGTCAGCACTCAAGGCTTCTTTCAAGGCGTGCTCTGCTTCCGGAGTCCACTTAACCATAACCGGGCCTTTTGCCTTAGTAAGCTCAGTCAATGGGTTGGCAATGGTTGCAAACTCAGGGATGAACCTGCGATAGTAGCCAGTTAAGCCTAAGAAAGCCCTGACTTGCTTTTTAGTTACAGGATATGGCCAACCGGTGATGGCCGCTACCTTGCTCTCTTGTGGTTTAAGGAGCCCCCCCCCCCGATTGTGTAACCTAGATATTTTGCTTCTTCTAGCCCTAAAGAACACTTAGCAGGGTTAGCTGTCAAACCAGCAGCCCTTATACTATCCCCAACTGCCTGTACCTTCATCAAATGGGTTTCCCAGTCTGCACTGTGAATCACCACATCATCCAGGTAGGCGGCTGCATACTCCCTGTGGGGGTGAAGTATCCTATTCATCATACGCTGAAAAGTGGCTGGGGCACCATGCAACCCAAATGGCAGTACTTTATATTGGAACAACCCATCAGGGGTAGAAAATGAGTTTTTTTTTTCTTTTGCTCTGTCAGGGGAACCTGCCAGTATCCCTTGGTGAGATCCAGGGTGCTCAAATACCTGGCCTTACCTAATTGCTCTACTAGCTCATCCACTCGAGGCATCGGGTAGGCATCAAACTTAGAGATATTTAACTTACGGAAATCATTACAGAAACGTACTTCCTCATTTGGTTTGGGCACTAACACTATTGGGTTGTTCCACTCACTCTGTGACACTTCAATCACCCCCAACTCAAGCATCTTTTTTACCTCTGCACTAACTGCTTCATGTCTAGCCTCAGGTATCCTGTAGGGCTTCAGATTGATCTTCTTCCCAGGTTCAGTTATGATATCATGCTTGATTACGTGTTTTTCCTGGTATTGGGGAAAACACATCCCTATTTTTAGACACAAACTCCCTGTGGGGGTGAGAACTAGAACCCTATCACCTGGTTTGAATACCCATAGCCTTGCATTCTGGTTGTAGCTTGCTTGTTGGGCTCTCTGGGCTTTCTCCATGTTTTCCTTAACTATGGGAATTGCCGCTTTGATACGCTCTTGCATTTGAGCTACATGCTCTATAAGATTATGATGGGGGGGTATGCTCTTGTTCCCATGTTTCCTTGGCAATATCCAGTATGCCTCTTGGATGCCTACCACACATTAACTCGAAAGGTTCCATGGGGCATGTGTACGCCACTGGAATTGGGTCATGATTCGATCTCTCCTCTTTTCAAAACCGAGGTGCCCACCTAACACATGGCTATGGGCTAGCTTTAAAACAGTGTTTCGGTGAGACTGCGGAACTAACAACTGTTCCACCTCCTCTTCCCCTTTCTTCTCTACTCGATACAGTAGATTATATTTCACCATGAAATAAGGAAAACTTAAGGGCTTGTCAGGGTCCACCCTTGTACCCTCCACTACTTGCACACTCTCTCTTGCTGTCAAGGACATATCTTCCCATTGGGTGCGCGGTAGTTACCAGGGGGGACTCAGATCCTGAAACTCCACTTGTTCTATAGGGTCTTCAGTATGGGAAGGTTCTACCTCATTACCCAGGCACATCACAGGTGTCTCTTGCTCGGTACCCAATTCACAATCTATCTCGGAGAAAGGAAAATTATCTATACCCTCTACCCAGAGCGCATTTTCGGATGAGTAGAGCATTTATCCCACAGGTGGTAGAAATGGGGGAAGTCCCGCCCTAATACCACATCATATTGTAACAGGGGCACTACCCCTACAGGGCATTTAACCTTTCCTACCTCTGTGCCAAACTCTACCTCTGCCGTGGGGTATGTGTGGGTGTCACCATGTATACACACTATATCAATCACTTGTCTGGTATCCAATTTCCCTGGCTGGAGCAGGACACTTTTTAATCAAGGTAACCTCACTCCCTGAATCAATCAGTGCTTGTACATTCTTCCCTTCCACCCTCACCATTACATGCGTTGCATCAACAGCACTAGTCACCACACACATATTTGTCAATACAGTCCTATGCAGAGCCCTTGTTCCTATGTCACACTGCATGGGCTCTTCACCATCTGGACAGTGGCATGCAAAATGTCCAGGCTCATGGCATTTGAAGCACCGGAGTTGTTCCTCAGCTTGGTCTTGTAGCCGTAATGGAGCTGGTGGGGACCTTCTACCACCATGGTCATATAGTCCAAAGTTTTGTCCCTTGTTTCCCACTTTCCCCCTTATCCGGTTGTTAGCCGATCTGGAGTTATACTGATGAACAATACTGTGGGGCTCCTCGGCGACCAAATACCTCTCAATCAAGCACATCATTGCTTCCAGATCCTGAGGGTCCCCTTGGATGACCCATTGTCACAGTCCTGTTGGCAGGTGTCTGAGAAAACGGTCCATAACAACCATCTCCACTATCTTGGTAGCAGGGTTGCGCTCTGGTTCCAACCATTTCTGGGCGAGCCTTAGCAATCTATACATCTGGGCTCTGGTGGGTTTGCTTATATCATAAATCCAGTTGTGAAACCTTATGACAGGTGTTATGCCTATACGCTTTAGAATTTCGGCTTTGAGATGCTTATAATCTTGGGCCTGGTCCGAAGACAAATCTTCATAGGCTTTCTGGCACTCCCCACTCAGAGGGGAGCTAGAATCTCCCATTCACCTTATCACAGTATTTTAATTTTTTCCATTTCTTATCTTCTATTCTTTGTTCTGTTTGGTTCCTGGCACATCCTAAGAAGCCCACTGGTCTGATGTCCACTTTTCCCGGGCAGCAACCCTCTCGAAAGTGGTGAGGTTAAGCCTCCACATCATCTTCCTCTGTCATTTTATGCAGGAAGTCAGTTGCTCGGATCCGGGATCCCCTGTCCCCAAGGGGGCCCCCTGCGCATGGCAATAACACTCTGCAAAACCTCAGTAAGGACAGCTCTATTCTCCTGCTGAGCGTCCCTTAGCTTCTCAACCTGTACAGCCAATAAACGGTTTGTGTCTTGCTGTACAGCAGTTGCCTCTTGTTGTACAGCAGTTGCCTGTACCAGAGCCTTCAGTAGGTCCTCCATTTTAGTACCAGGCAGATAACAGTCTTAAACATACAAGTAGCGCTGTGCCTTTAACAGGTATGCCAAACAAAAGTCATCAATAAGCAGGCTTACAGATGACTGGCACGCTGACAGACCCTCTATGTGCTAACATGCCCGTATTCTCCACCATATTGTGATCCTTGTCTGCAGTTAGCACGGTCCTTTTGGGTACAAACATGCACAGTCTTTAAAAGTAACTTAATTCCAGGCACTTTATTGTCGAGCTTCACCACAGAGACAGCAGCAAATGAAAAAAAAAAACAATAATGTAACACAAATCCTTATAAACAAAAACCTAGCTCGTCTGAGCACTTACTAACTTCAGATTCCCTATTTCTCAGGGGTTAAACTATAACAAAACAATATTGGTTTCACCAACCTAGTGTCTTTTTTCAGCTCTCTGCACTCCAGTGTTTAGTCAGCCTGCTGCTTCATGCCCTTCAAGAGAGAAACAAACATTCTCCCCTACCTGCCTAGCAGCTGAGCAGCGGGTTGGAGATAGTCCAAACCCTGGTCTGGGTCTAGTCTCCCAAGAAAAAAAAAACAATAAACAGCAGAGTGGAGCACTGGCCCACCCTTCTCTCCAAATGCTTCACGCAAGGGGCCCATAACTAAATATGCATTTAAGTTATATACATACACACACTCCCCCTGGGGTTAAAGATCATATGCCTCTCTGAACAATGCAGATGAAATATAAACTCCCTCACAGACCACCCCATTTACCTTATCACAGTATTTTTATTTTTTCCATTTCTTATCTTCTATTCTAATTTCTGTTTGGTTCCTGGCACATCCTAAGAAGCACACTACTCTGGAATACCTACACCTGATCCTCGATTGGGACAACACCACCAACGCTGATCAATGTGAGCAGCTCTACAGCTCACGAAAATGAGTAAATTTCCTCCATTTTATCCAAGTTTTTATTGGAACAGAAAACACTCTAATGTTCTTCTTATCTTTTATGCTTATATACACTACTGAGGAATTTGTGGCAACAACATATCCCTAAGTGAGGATTGGACCATCTTACAGTTGAAAAGGTGGAGCTTTCTACAAAAACTATTTGTGAGTGCATTTCTTATTTTCTGTTTAGCACAATATTCTCTTTATATTGGCAATGTTGCACTATTGGAGTTTTCTGTTGTGTCATTTCATATACCATACTGTGAGTCATCAAATTCACTGAAGGGTTAAAAATCCTTTTCTGCTGCAATGCCACTCAATGACACTTCTTGCAACTAGTATGAAACAGTTTGACCTACATTCTTTCAGTTACAAAATAAACCTATTCTGAACACTTGTACAGGAAATAGAACATACAAAATAGTGTACAGGCATATAACAGTAATGGGTGTATTACATGTCCACACCCTTTACAATATTATAATATAGTGCATATAAGTAGCCCAAGAGTATATGCATATTTAGATTGATAGACCAAATATTCTGAAATAGCTGTCACTGCAAGGGTAAACACAAACACTTTCATAGGGCAGTACAGGTTTTTCAATGAATGGTAAAATGATCTGAAAAAAATCCTATAATTATCACTTTCTCTGAGCCTGTCTTTATAACTGGCTCAGGTAATTCAGCTTTGGTGTGATATTATTGCTTCAAATGAAGTTTAGAGAAGACTTGACCCTCAGTAGTGAAAAACAGGAAAGGCAGAACCAGTTAGGATAAAAGTAAATAACATTTATTCAAAAGAGTAATAAAAACCTTACATTAAGATAACTGGAATGCCATAGTCCAAGTTCACAATACACAGTAAGCACAACCCGTTTCAACACTTTTCTTGCGTCTTCCTCCTGTATGGAGTTCCTATATTGAAGCCCTATGTTTGCGCCATTTTCAGTGCCAAACTCCGCATCCATAGTCCTTTCTAATTGGTGTTTCATTCCACAATTAGTTTTGTATCCTCACGACCGCCACCCTGGTGTTCGCAAAGGTACAGGACGTCACTTCCGGTTCCAGCGGCCATCTTTACTCGGCAAAGTACATTCCATAGTCATTTTAAGTCCTTTTATCAGTTCACAGCAGCCCTAGCTCAACCTTCATTCCTACTCTAAAAACAGTTGGCCATATTTAGGAGGTCCATACTCCACATCAAGAGCAACGATATATAGCTTAAAAATAAACAAAATAATCAGTATAAGAGAGGATAAATAGCTCATTTCAAAAGCAAGGAGAATAATATGAGAGGATATATCATAATAATTAAGAATTAAAAAAATGAAAATATAAATACATATAAATAATAGATTATAATTATGCACATCTATATCGCAATTTTAACCCCTTAAGACCGGAGGGCGTACTATTACGCCCTATTTTAGGCGGCTCTAAACGACGCCGGACTGCCTGTAATGACAGGTGGTCCCCCTGCTGGCTATAAATAAATAAAATTAATAAAAGTTAAAAAGTGTAAAAAAAAAAAAAAATATATATATATATATATATATACACATACATATACACACACATATACACTGTCTAGGTGTATTTTACTATATATATATATATTATATATATATATATATATATATATATATATATATATATATATATATATTAATATCAAATTACACGTAGACTTATATTGATTAAATATATATAATTATTGTTATATATATATTTATATATATAAAATAAAAAAATTAAATATGTAAATACGTAAAAAAAATAAATTAAAAAAATATAGATGTGTGTTATTTCGTTCTAACTGTATTGTGATATTAATATATATATTTATATCAAAATACACGTAGAATGAAATATATATCTATATACATAAATATATACGTATATATATATATATATATCTATATATCTATATATATATATATACACACACATACATATATATATATATATATATATATATATATATATATATATATATATATACACACACACACACACACACACACACACACATTAATTCTACATATATATTTATGTAATATTTTTACATAATTAGGTATCTTAATTAATTACAATTAGCGGGACCTGCCTGACAACCCATGCCGAAAGTAAAGGGAATTTAATTTGCTAGCACTATATTTAACCCTATAACTTTCCAAGACACCATAAAACCTGTACATGGGGGTACTGTTCTACTCGGGAGACTTCGCTGAACACAAATATTAGTGTTTCAAAACAGTAAAATGTATTACAACGATGATATCGCCAGTAAAAGTGAAGTTTTTTGCATTTTTCACGCACAAACAGCACTTACACGGACGATATTATTGCTGCAATACTTTTTACTGTTTTGAAACACAAATATTTGTGTTCAGCGAAGTCTCCCGAGTACAACAGTACCCCTCATGTACAGGTTTTATGGTGTTTTCAAAAGTTACAGCGTCAAATATAAGGCTTGTGTTTCATTTTTTTCACATTAAAATTAGCCAGATTGGTTACGTTGCCTTTGAGACCCTATGGTAGCCCAAGAATGAAAATTACCCCTATGATGGCATACCATTTGCAATAGTAGACAACCCAAGGTATTGCAAGCGGGGTATGTCCAGTCTTTTTTAGTAGCCACTTAGTCACAAACACTGGCCAAAATTGGCGTTTTTGCATTTTTCACACACAAACAAATACTAACGCTAACTTTGGCCAGTGTTTGTGACCAAATGGCTACTAAAAAAGACTGGACATACCCCATTTGCAATACCTTGGGTTGTCTACTATTGCAAATGGTATGCCATTATGGGTGTAAATTTCATTCCTGGGCTACTATAAAGTCCCAAAGGCAACATAACCAATCTGGTGAATTTCAATTTCAAATGTAACGTGCTATATTTGACCCTGTAACTTCCCAAAACGCCATAAAACCTGTACATAGGGGGTACTGTTTTACACATGAGACTTTGCTGAATACAAATGTGTGTATTTTATTGCAGTAAAAGCAAACAGTATTATGACATTGACCGTTAAAATGTCATGTAGAACTAAAAAAATCAAAAAAAATCTTATTTTCTCCCATTTTCTTCATATTAAATTATGTTTCATAGCTAAATATTTGATATTAAATGAAAGCCCTGTTTCCCCTGAATAAAATGATATATAATAAGGGTGGGTGTATTTAATATGAAAGAGGTGAATTACTGTTGGACAGACATGTAGCGCAAATGCCAGGTTTTGATTACATTTTGTTTCGTTCACAACGTGTACATTTGGCTCCGTCCTTAAGGGGTTAACTATAATTACATAACTCTAAGTCTATATTTAAGTTATTTGGAGAGAGGGTTTCAATGCCAAAGATCCATTTCACCTTGTAACGGATCACCTGGCACCCCGACTGGGTACCTCCGTTAAAGGATGCTCTTAGCATTTCCTGAGGACTCCAAGCACTCTGGCAGACACCACAATCACCGAACCGGAGAAGCATAAGAGTACTTTTAAGCATATGAATGTTGTATACAGCCGAATAGGAAAAACCATGCGAATAGGTTTACACTCCTAGCAGTCAAACTGGAACAGCATACAATAAATCCTCCCCCAATAATGAGACGACACTTCACTTTGAGGGTTAGGCAGGAACTGCCCTGTAATGGCCACACACTGGCTTTTATGGAAGTCCCCATGCAAGGGGACATCCCACAGTACAACCAATCATTTACAGGAGAACCGTTAAACACACCCAGCACAAACATACATCCCTCCCCTCTGCCTATGATATAATTACTGAACACAATGGGTTAATGTAATTTATCACAGGCAGGAAAAACTTTTTATACATACACTGTAACTTTGAAAATATGCATCATATTCACAGAAAACATACATATTCAGAATCAGCATACTTTAAATATAAACATAACCAAAATTCAGCCAATTCCATCCAGGGGTTAAAAAGTTAAGGGAAAGTCCTATTTGACCAAATGAAGCATGGTTTTTCTGCCCAAAACCAGTTCCACAGAGTCTTCTATCCTGGAGATAATTGGGAAGTAATCAAATTATCTCCAAGGACAGAGGCAAAACTCCATTAGCCACATGGCAGACAAAGGACAATAAAAGACATAAAAATACATACTGTTACATTTATCACATGGAACATACACATTCTACCTATCCCCAGATAGCTTAGATCTGAGCGCACATTATTACCGGATGGTGCTCAGATCACATACATACAGTTCAATCGCCATGGAGCCAAAGTCTTTCATACAGTCTTTCAGTTTACGGCTGAGCTCCATGGCATAGCTATCTGGGGTAGCATGGCTTTAACAGTCAGCAGAAAGGCACGAATAAACCTTTCTGCAGGTAAAATAAAAGTTTAAAATGCAGGACCATAGTCTAAAGGGAGCAGGCGAGCAACCAGGCCTCTCCAGTGGACAGTGGAGAGGTTGGTTCCGCCACACTTCTCCCCTTTACCCCGGCTGTGCAGGGGACTGGTGGGCTGCCTTGGTGGGTTGCTGAGTGGGCAGAGACCAGCAGTACTCTGCCCTGCTGCCAGTGCTACCACGGAAGTAGCCTGGTTGGAGCCTTGTTGTGGGAGGGGGAGACCAACTGTCTCCCCTCTGGATACAAAGTTCTGTTGCTGGGTGACAGGACCGCCCATCCCTACTCCTTGTGCTGTAAGTGCAGAGACCACGGTCCCATCTGCACAGTTGTGGGGCTTATCATCTCCCCTTGGTGGGCTAGGCTGCCGCTGGGGAGAGGGGGTAACCAGCTCCTCTCTCTGAACCGTAGACTGCCGCTGGGGAGAGGGGGTAACAGGCTCCTCTCCCTGCGCCCCCTTCTCTTGTTGTAGGGGAAAACAACTGTCTCCCCTTCCAATACATTGTCCTGCTGTTGGGGGCCAGGACAGACTGTCCCTATCCCCAGAGGTGTAGGTGCAGAGACTATGGTCCCATCTGCACTGTTGTGGGGCTTACTGTCTCCCCTTGGTGGGCTACGCTGCCGCTGGGGAGAGGGGGTAACAAGCTCCTCTCCCTTACTCACTTTCAGCTGCTGGGGAGAGGGGGTAACAGGCTGCTCTCCCTGACACTCTCTGCTGGTAGAGAGGGGGACCGACTGTCTCCCCTTCCAATAATGCGCTCTGCCGCTGGGGAGTGAAACCAGTGGTCTCTCCTTCCTGTAATGTACTCTGCCGCTGGGGATCTGGGCCAACTGCCCAGCATCCCTGTAGGGCCGGTAGAGAGATCTCGGTCCCATCTCCACCAGCCATCTGTGGGTCTCTCCAGGATCAGTCTATGAGGTCCCCTACTTCTGCAGCTGGTAGTGAAACAGGGGGTACCTCGGTCCCAGCTGTAGACTAGCAGGTCGGGGTCCGTCACCCAGTTTTCCCGGTCTGCGTCCATGCTCTGCGGTTGGCATGAATTTAGTAGTTCCACATAGTCCATCTCCAGTTCTCGTTCCATGGCAGCGAAACGGCGGAGGTCTTCTCCTAGCCCAATAGATCTATTTACACTTGAGACAAATGTATCATTTTTGTTTAGATTTAATCCTCATATTCCTACATGCTCTGCATTGGCCACAATTATAAAAAACCTTTAAGTTTACCTGAATATCCTCTCTAGAATTTCATTTTCATGGATATAACTTTTGGTTAAAAAACTTTTTATTTAAATTACTTGCCCCTCCATAAACAATTTTCGTTATTTTCCCCAACAAAAGCTTTCAAATCTTTGTCTTTTTTTAAAAATGTGGCTTTGGGAATTAAAATTACATATAAAAGCAACTTGATTTTCCATTGGTTTCTCAGCTTTGAAATTAGATTTTAAAATATCCCTTTTAGGTTTTTCATGAACTTCTTTAAATAGTTTTTCTACCTCCCTTTTCTCATATCCCTTTTGATAAAATGGTTTGTTTTTTAAAGTGAGGATTGTTCCAAAAAAGTGCTTTCATCAGTGCAGTTCCTTTTTGCACCTCACAAACTGGCGTTTTGGGATATTTGAGACCCAGGCCCCTTACTGAAACAAACCAAACCTATTCTTGTCTCTATAGGGAAACATCAAGAATACATTGTATTTGATCTTGTTTCCTTGTCTCGATTCCCGGAATTCCCTGGTTACGTAAGCACGATCCCGCTATCAAGTGGGCCTCAGGGAGCTTCTCCACTCTCTGCCTCCGTAAAAACCTCACCACAGGTTACATACGCTCCATCCTGGATATTAATATGAAGAAAAGCCAAGACTTTCTACTTCCCAAGGTGTATCACGATTACGCAGATGTTTTTGACAAAAAAGGGGTTGATACTTTACCACCACGCAGGGAATAAGATTGCCCCATAGACTTGTTACCTGGCTGTTCGCCAACAAAAGGAAGCAGGCGTTCGTATAGTTTCAGCAGTGTTCGGGAAGTCGAGTGTCCGATTTTAGTTCCAGACACTCGACGACCAAGTCCCGCTACCTCCTTTCATGCAAACAAGATGGCCGCCCTTTTCTCTGCCACGTGGTGTTCGACTATACGAACGGCAGCCACACAGAGATAGCGCTCGATTGACGGTTCCCTTTGTAGTTAATGAGCCAGGAGAGTGGTCGGTGTTCGGTAGTTTAATCTATTGAACCAGGAAAACTGAAAATAGACGAATGGTCAAAGAAAACCTCGAAACCAAAATAGGTTCTCTCACACTGCTCCCCCTTAATCCATGGGTCGGCATACCCGCCTAGACCCTGTTGGGTTGGCTTGAGGATGACCGGGAGAAGTTTTATAGTTCCAATTCGGTTTGGCAGGATAAACCATCCGTATTCCCATTCTGTTTGCCTGGCCTGTACAGCATGGTGAAATTGTACGGTTGTAAGTCCAGGCTACAGCGTAATAGTCGGGGGTTATCTCCTGCTACCCGGTTCAACCAAATTAGGGGATTGTGGTCAATCATTAGGGTAAATGGGCGTCCATACAAATAGGGTTGGACCTTCTTAAGGGCCCATACCAGAGCCAAGCATTCCTTTTCCACGGTGGCGACTTCCCGTGGGAGTAGTTTTCGGCTAAGGTACGCCACCGGGTGCTCCATTCCGTCATCTCCCACTTGACTTAGCACAGCTCCCAGCCCAAACATGGAGGCATCTGTATGCACAAGAAACAGTTTGTTACAGTGTGGGGCAGCCAAAACAGGTGCCTCGCTGTGCGCCGTTTTTAGTTTCTGGAAGGCTTCCGCACACTCCAGGGACCAAACTAATTGTTTGGGAAGGGCTTTTTGGTTAGGTCACTGAGGGGTTTGGCCAGGGCACTATACTCGCGGACAAATTTCCGGTAATACCCTGCCGTCCCAAAGAAAGCTAGCACTTGGGTTTTGGTGCGTGGTTGAGGCCAACTGGCAATAGCCTCTACTTTGGCTGGTTCAGGCCGCTGTTTGCCTGAACCTACTCTATGTCCGAGGTACAGGACCTTGGCCATACCTACATGACATTTGTCGGGCTTAAGGGTAAGCCCTGCGGTCTGAATTCTCTCCAGTACCCTGGACACACGCTCTAGGTGGGACTCCCATGTGCCACTGTAGATGGCTATGTCATCCAGATAGACACATGCAAAGTCCTGAAATCCCTGCCAATATCCCTTGCATAAGTCCAGGGTAGTGAGATAATTCCCCTCAGCCATTCTATGTAGGAGTTTGTCTATCCTTGGCATGGGGTAGGCGTCTGTGATGGTTCGGTCATTGAGGTTCCGGTAGTCGACAGAGAAGCAAGTCGTACCATCTTGCTTCGGTACTAGCACTACTGGGGAGGCCCAAGGACTCTGGGAGGGTTCTATAACCCCTAGCTGGAGCATCTCTTGTATCTCAGAGAGCATTTGGTCTCTAACCGCTGCAGGGATACGGTAGGGCTGTTGCCTCAGCGGGGTATCTACCTGGGTCTCCACTCGGTGGACCCCAGGTATGGCTGAGAACATGTCCCGTTATCCCTAAAGCAGTTGAGATGCCTCTCTTTTTACCTGGGAAGTTAAAGTCTCACCCAGTTGTACTTGCTCTATAGAGTTGGGGCTGGGGGCTAGTAAGTCAGGTAAGGGAAGCCCCTCGCTGTCCTCACAGGCAGGGGTGCACACGGCCGCTAAATCACCTACCCGCTCAAAATAAGGTTTCAGCACGTTCACATGAAAGGCTCTCCGTATCCTTTCATCTGAACACTTGCTGACTATGTACGAGGTGTCACTAATTTTCTCCACCACCTTGAAGGGTCCCTGCCATGCGGCCTGAAGCTTGTCTTTCTTAGAGGGCTTCAGGGCCAGCACACGCGGTCCTATTTACAGGACTACATCTCGGGCACCCCTATCGTACCATCTCTTCTGGCAGCTCTGGGCCGCCTGCAGGTATTCCCAGACAGATTCTGTGAGGGTCTGCAAGCGGTCCCGGAACTCCAGAACATACTGCACAATAGGGACTCTCTCCTCACCTGTGTTGCCCTCCCAATGCTCTCGTATGAGGTCCAGGGGTCCCCGGACTTTTCTCCCATAAAGGAGTTCGAAGGGGGAGAACCCTGTAGAGGCCTGAGGCACTTCGCGGTTGGCAAACAGGACACTGTGAACGTCTTAAGCATCTGCTTAAGGGTACCGTTAAAACGTTCACATAGTCCATTCGGCTGGGGATGGTAGGGGGAGCTGAACAGGGGTTTGACACCGCAACTCTGCCATAACTGTTGGGTTACAGTGGCGGTGAATTGTGTCCTCCTGTCCGACAAGATCTCCCTGGGGAGTAATAATCTTTACTAAGGTCTCAGCCACCGTCTCTGCCTCTATGTTGGAAAGGGCTACTGCCTAGCATAGTCTACCACGGTAAGGATGTAGCGCTTTCCAGAGGTGCTAGGCATGCTAAGTGGACCTGTCATATCTATGGCTACCCGGTGGAAGGGTTCCTCAATAATAGGTAGCGGGTGGAGCTTGGCCCTTTGGCGATCTCCTCTCCTCCCTGTCCTTTGACACACGTCACAGGTCCTGCAATAGGCCTTGATATCCTGGGATATCCCTGGCCAGAAAAAGGTTTGGGTTAAACTGTCCCTGGATTTGGTGACCCCTAAATGACCTGCTAGGGGAATATCATGGCTCAATTTGAGCAGTTCTGCCATAGATTTCCTGGGTACTACCAGCTGCCGTTTAGTGACCTGGTGTCCCCACTCCCCACATGACAACCAATCACAGTGCTTGATTTAAGTTAAACACTCCCTCTCTCCGCCTCTGAGATAATTGGATAAGTTAAAGGATAATCCCATTATCTCCATGCAAAGGGAACATATTTTCCCCAAAACTTAGAACATCCCTTTAAGGACATGATATCCCCACAAATAGCATATCCCCTGATAGCCCCGATCTGGGTGACCAACATATTCAAAGTTCACCCAGATCAGTTCAGGGGGTTTTGAAAAGTGTGGAAGTCTTAATTCACCGACCGCACACGAGGCTGCTGCCCAAAATAGTTCCATGAATTCAGTGTGTGCGGTCAGTCAATTTCGAAAAGTCATAAAAACCAAATAAAACTACGAACGGAGCCTCCTGGCTGATAGGAGCGATTGTTCCCCTTGTTCATGGGAACCGAACGGCGCTCTCCTGGCTGTTCGGCAACAAAAGGAAGCAGGCATTCGCATGGTTTCAGCAGTGTTCGGGAAGTTGAGTGTCCAATTTTTGTTCCAGACACTCGACGACCAAGTCCCGCTGCCTCCTTTCATGCAAACAAGATGGCCGCCGTTTTCTCAGCCACATGGTGTTCGACTATAAGAAAACCTTGAAACCAAAATAGGTTTTCTCACAGCCTTCAATAAACTAAAACAAATGTTCATCACAGCCCCTATATTATGTATACCTAAGCACTATAAACCTTTCTTACTCGAGGTCGATACCTCCATTATCGTCACTGGGGCAGTTATGTCTCAAAGAGGAAAAAACGGATACACTTCATCCTGTCGTCTTTTATTCAAAGAGCAAAGAAAAAGTACTGTACTGTGGAGTGATGGGAGTGAGCACAGGACTTGTTTTTTTGTATTTTTATTCAAAGAGGCTGACCAAAGCGGAGACAAATTAGGACGTTGGTGACAGGGAACTACTGGCTATAAAGAGAGCCCTGGAAGAATGGAGGCATCGATTAGAGGGTACAAATCATCCTATCACAGTTTATACAGATCACAAGAACCTAGAGTACCTATGCTTAGCAAGACGACTCAATCCACGACAAGCCCGCTGGGCATTATTCTTTTCTAGGTTCTTATTCCACTTCACCTATCGGATGGAATCAAAAAACTTAAAAGATGCCTTTTCAAGAATGTTCACTACAGATGACACTAAACAAACAAAAATAAGAGATGGTGCAAAGTCAACAACACTTCCTAGGCATTATGTCTACAATTGTAAAGGACATTGCCACTACTAACCTGCCTCTGTCTCCAGAAGTATTCCCAATGTTGCATGGGAAGATCTATGTTGCTGAACCCTTTTGCCTGTGCATACTGCAACACTTCCATGATGCTCCAATATCTGGTCATAGTGGACAATGAAAGACCTACCCTTAAGCAGGATGTAAAAAACTATGTGAGTACCTGTACTACCTGTGCCAGAGCAAAAGCACTAATGGAGATGGCTGGCCTATTACAACCTCTACCAATCCCTTCCAGACCCTGGAGTCATATCGCAGTCGACCTCCCTGAATCCCATGGATACAATACCATAATGGTCACTGTCGATCGTTTAACCAAGATGGCCCATTTTATCTAAGTAAAGGGGCTCCCCACTGCCAAAAGAATGGCCACACTTTTGCACGACCACGTATTTAGATTACATGGGATTCCTGACTCTAGCCTCTCCGAAAGAGGGAGCCAGTTCACCTCCCACTTCTGGAATGCCTTCTGTCAGTCCCTCAATATCTCAGTGGACCTTTCTACAGCTGGCCTTTTCTCCCTCCCTCTGCAGCAGGCTGCTCTCTTCTTTTAAAGGCCCGTCTACTAATTGACTAGCTACAGGTGAGTGCCAATTAGTAAACTCTTAAGTCAGATCCAAATTCTGGCCTGTTACACAGCAACTAGTGCTGTTGGAGCATTGGCCCACCCTACTCTCCAAATACTCTGCCCCAGGGACCCATACCATGTTTTGCAGAGCATCAGCAATGTATATTGCAAACTTTAACATCTCTCCCTGGGGCATTTAACTGAAAATTCTCTGGTTGCTGTTTAGCAAATCAGGCCTGATGTATCTTCCATCAACCACTATTCCACTTTTACGCTTACAATATATATATATATATATATATATATATATATACACACACACACACATATACATACACACACACACACACACACACACTCACAGAAATGTATATTGCCCAATGCCTAGAACATGCAGTTTCAGGTACAGGCTGTGTATTTATTTCTGCCTTTAGCTCAACCACGAGCATACAAGGCTGCTTGCCCATGACAGAGCTTCTACAGAGGACAAGTCTGGGGTAGGGAGTTTGTGGTCTGTACCTCTGGTGGGTGCAAACCATTGTAATAGCTTCTGCACTGGATGCTGGAGTGATCGATTAATGTGCTCTGCACCAGTCAGAGGTTCAGACCCCATATTTAAACAGGACCATTAAGGAGTTTTAACCCCCACTGAGCTACCAGGGATCACAGCTCCCTTCCCTACAGAAAGTGAAGCAGATGGAGGTGGGTGCAAAACAGAGCATAAACATGTTAAAATATCATATTACACACAAGCAAACATTACTCACATAGATACACTACCCACTGCCAGGAAACATCACACAAACACACCTCACACATTACAAAACACCACAGGGAGAAGAACGTGAGTCACTAAGGGCTATTAACTAAGCTCTGAATGTTCACAAATTAAATTTGAATGGAAATAAACAGAGACAAAATGTTTTTACTACATGTGGACAGGAGAATTTTTCAAAATTCGCATTTTTGTCTCAGCCTTTTTTTTTTATTCACATTTGATGTGTAGAAATTTGTTGTGACGAACCTACTGGTCACCTACGTTGGATACATGTCTCCCCAGGCTTCCACCTGCTCTAAACAGACTAACAGTATGGATTAACCTTCCAACCCATGTTGCACAGCCCAGCGCCTGACCATGGAGCAACCCTTAAGCCTCATGGAACTCTAAAGTGGATCACAGATTCATGGCGATCTATTAAAATTTTAACTGGAGCGCTTTCAGTCTAATTCAGGCTAGCCACATCCAATCCGGGTATTTTTTGGACAACATGGTTGCTCCAGAAAGACCTTTTCAGGAATATATGCCTCTGTATTGTGTTTTATGTATTGCACTGTGTCGGAGAGATAATTTAACTCAATTATCACTAAGACACAGATGGCTGGGGGGCCTGTGTTACTTGCGTCCATCAAGTTCAGCCTTCCTCACATTTGTTTTTTGCTGTTGATCCAAAAGAAGGCAAAAAAACCCAGTCTGAAGCACAATTTTGCAACAAGCTAGGAAAAAAATTCCTTCTTGACCCCAGAATGGCAGTCAGATTTATCCTTGGATCAAGCAGTTATTACCCTACATTGAAAGATTATATCCTTGAATATTCTGTTTTTGTAAGTATGCATCTAGTAGCGGTTTGAACATCTGTATGGACTCTGATAAAACCACTTCTTCAGGCAGAGAATTCCACATCCTGATTGTTCTTACAGTAAAAAAAAAAAACCTTTCCTTTGCCTTAGACGAAATCTTCTTTATTCCAGTCTAAACGCATGGCCTCGTGTCTTATGTAAAGTCCGGTTTCTGAATAGATTTCCACACAATGGTTTGTATTGGCCCCAAATATGTTTGTATAATGTTATCATATCCCCGATCAGGCAACGTTTTTCTAAACTAAATGGGTTTAAATTTGTTAACCTTTCTTCATATTAATTTTTTATTAATTTGGTAGCCCGCCTCTGCACTTTTTGTAGTGCCATAATATTCTTCTTTAGAACAGGTGCCCAAAATTGCAGTGTGGCGGATTCAGCCTCGCCACTGGGCATTGGAGAAGACTGATTGCCAGTCTCCTGCCATGTGACTATGGACCCTGGGATGTATTGCCTGCTCTCCTGTACTGCTGAGGATTGCTACCAACTAGGTGGATTTGACTAGCTTGTGTAGTGCCCTCTGTTGGTAGCAACAGTAATATGCACTACCTGAATAGCAAGACTGGTAATTTGCATTTCGCTAATTCTGCATGCAGGAGAGACATTTTCTGTTAATTATGGTATTCCCCATCCATTTATAAATATGTAATTATGTTATAAGTGACTGTATGTTGCCTGCTATAATTTGACTGTTTGTAATTTTATTGAGTCTTCACAGCAATGTTAATGTAATGACCATATGGGCTAGACCCAAGTAAACTAAAGTTTTAGACAGTTCTACTTCACCTTCAAATTGGAGTCCTGTCTCTTATTGGGGGAATCTGCTACAAGGGATTGCTATGCTTTGCATACTCTCTTGCTATATGCACTGCTAAGCTCTTGTAAGAGCTTGTTCTTGCTCTCTGAAGGAGTCTATGGTGGTTATGATGTCTGCTTGAGTGCTGGAAACCCTCAGGAAGTGCTAGATGCTTCCTTCAACGGAGATACCCAGTCAGGGTGCCAGGTGATCCGTTACACACAGCATATTCAATATGTGGTCTTGCCAGCGAGTTATAAAGAGGCAAAATGATATTCTCAACCCGAGAATTAATGCCCTTTTTCATGCACGACAATACCTTACTGGCCTTGGCCACTGTTGATTGACATTGCACATTTTTGCATAGTTTGCCGTCTATAACAATTCCCAAGTCCTTTTCGTGTGTTGTTATCCCTAATTCACTTCCATTAAGGGTATACGTTGCTTATGCATTACTGCATTTTTCAACATTAAATTTCATCTGCCATTTGAGTGCTCAGTCCCCCAGTCTACCTAAAGCCCTCTGCAGCAAAGTAATATCTTGCTCACATTGTATTATTTTACCAAGTTTTGTGTCATCTGCAAACACTGAAACATGACTTTCAATGCTGTCTTCAAGATCATTTATAAACATGTTAAATAGAAGGGGTCCCAGAACAGACCCCCGAGGGACACCACGTGCCACCTCTGTCCAGCTTGAAAATTTACCATTAATGACAACTCTTTGTACTCTGTTTTTAAGCCAATGTTCTACCCAAGAACAACCATTTGTTATGAATGAAGACCTCACACTGTTTGTCTGGGTATAAACTTGTCTGTGCTTGACTCAACACAGTTTACTCATTACTAAATCTCAGCTAGTGTTTGGGTGAGACAGTGGTGCTTCATGCAGGATGGTATAATCACTCTGGAGCGATATACACTGGGAAAGGTCAACTTAGGCAGTAGTAACCCATCTTGTCAAGGGTATTCCACCACACCTGCTCTAGCCAGGCACCCCAGTATGATGATATCTTCTATGCCAGTACAGGTATTTGGGCAACTGTTATAATTCCTTAAACAAGTAAATCTATTAATTCCATGCAAACATATATACATGTAATTGTCTTTTTTTATTATAAAGCACTGCAGAATTAGTTAGTGCTATATAAAATATGAAAATACATCAGGGTTCGCAATTTCAGCTCACAACTAGCAAGGTAAACTTCACCCTTGGTGAGTATGCCATGGATTTTCCAGGCTTGTAGTGGCGATGGCAAGTAGGATAGGACTTAAATATTGAAGGTGTGTATGTATGTGTGAAATAGATATATATAGCTATTATATAAAAATAACCCACCCAGGACATCTTTGAGTATACCCAGGACATCCTTAAAAACTAGAGAAATCTCAATGTATCGTTCCTGGTAAAATATTTTATAAATCTCACTCTCATGCCTCAGTCCAAATGGGAGCCACACAATGTAAAAAGAAAGTGACAGGGTGAAGTTCCTGTATAACTACACAAAGCACGGTGTCCAATCAATTACGTTGGAAGACAAAGAATGGAAGATTGCAAAGGTGGTGGATGTAGCAATACCAAGTGACCATACCATCAACAAGAAGGAACATAAGGTTGACAAACGCCAAGGGTTAAAATTTTAATTAAAAAGGATGTGGAAAGTGAAGGTAGTAGCAGTCTTGGTGGTGGGCAGAGCACTTGAGGTAATAAAACCCAAGTTGAGAGAGAGAGTGGTTTCAACAGATTCCAGGTGGGGCATCCAAATCTCTGTCCAGAAGAGAGGAGTTCTTGGACCCAAGTATGAGCAATACACAAAATACCACCTAGAGGGGTGAGACAATAGATCGCTACACAAGAGTGTAGATTAAAGTCATGGGAAAAAAACACAAACAAAACACAAAAAATAAAAAAAAAAGACTACCATAAAATAATACTCAAACCGTGCAAATATATTAAACAGAAAGGTCTGTAATATCACATTGACAATTATTCAAACCCTTAACTCAGTACTTAGATGAAGCTCTTTTGGCAGCATATACAGCTTGAAATTTTTTCGGTTATGAGGCATCAAGCTTTGCTCATCTGGATTTGAGTAGTTTCTGCCATTCACCTCCGCAGATCCTCTCAAAGGAAAGTCCTACTTGTCCCTTAAATAATCAAATAGAATGTGTATGGGTGCACTTAAATAGAACGGGTGAAATTGTGATGTAATTGTGCTAAGCGTGCATTCTCTTAGTCATAATCACATTATTACATTATATATAATAAAAAATAAAAAAAATGAACAATTTCTAGGTTTTGTTTTGGTTCAGAAGTGGCACAGTTGCCTCCCTCCTTAAAGGAATACTATAATCACTAGAACAACTACAACTAAATGTTTACTTTTTTTTTTTTTAAATGTAAACAGTCTTTTCCAAGAAAAGGCTGTTTATATTACTGCCTAGGAACACCTCTAGTGGCCATCATTCAGTCACTAGAGCGACTTCCTAGGTCAGCGCTGAATGGTCCTGGCTAGGAACGTAAATTTTGATGATCTCAGTCAGAGGCAAAGCCAGCTATGGCAGGCCTGCAAAGCACTGGAAGGTGAATTTTCACCTTTTTAAATTAGGGTAAGTTGGGGCCGGCCAAGTTTGTATTCCTGACACTATAATGTTTCTTTAAAGGCATTCGTGCTTTTTTTGTTTCTATTTCTATGAAATTCACTTTAGTTTTTACATTATACAGAGGAAAATGTAGTACTACCTCTTTTATAGGGAGGATTAGCTTTTACAGTTTTCTTATTCCAGTGAACAGAGCTTAAAGGGATACTCCACTCTCTAAATATAATATAAATAAAAAGTTACTGTACTACTATACTAAAAACAGCTTGCAAAACCTGCAGTTCTCTTGTCCGCTTGCCTTTACAAACCCTCCCCTTCTAACCCTGCCCAGCTTTCTGTGGCTGTCCAATCACAGATGCCATAATGCAGCTCAATGAGAAGTCTTTGCAAGGCAGGTGGTGTGGGCACTTGCTGCTTCTTGGGTTTGGCTCCACTGGCTGTTCCTTCTAAATGAAACCATGTTTGTAGAACAACAATAAAAGTTAGCGCAGTGTAGTGTTCCGCTGGTTATGTGCAAAAAGCCTCTGACTGAGGAATCGTTCAATTGACTATTGTCAGTCAAAGAGGCGAAGCAGAAAAAAAAACAACAAAAAAAAACACATGGGCTTCTAAAAGGCAAGCAAATCCTCACACAGCATATTAGTATGCCTAGATAGTTAGCAGGGCGCTATAGTGCCAGGTAAACAGGTTTGTATGTCTAGCAATATAATGTCCCCTCAAAACAAATACATGATATATAGATATATATATATATATATATATATATCACATATCTAAAAGTCACTTAGATATACCCTATGCAGGTAAATAATTACTCTAAAACTATCCTTACCTTTTTGTGTCACTATACCCCACTCCCTCTAGCATGTAAGCTCATTGAGCAGGGCCCTCAACCCCTCTGTTCCTGTGTGTCCAACTTGTCTGGTTACAAATACATGTCTGTTCGTCCACACATTGTAAAGCACTGCGGAATTTGACAGCGCTATATAAATATCATAATAATAATAGAATATAAGAGTGGTTAGTAGTGCCTGGCACCATCACCTGGTGATCTGTTAAAGCATTTACCAATATCTTCACACTTACCTTGCAGTTAGTAATGGTTATGTTGTCTACATTGTCCCTTTAATGAGGAAAAACACTTTACATTTATGATGTTAATACACATGGCGACAGTGTCTTACTAAAAGCACTCACCGTGACTCCTATTAAATGTACACCCACTAGGTACACATTGCAGGAGGCCCCCTGGTACAATACCTGAAGAGCTATTTTCTCTCACACACAACATTGCAAACAGCACAAGGGACGTCAATACAAGATTTCTCTATCGTAAAAAACAAACATAAATAACGGCTTCCGAGCTCGTGACCGACCAGAGCTCACTGGGATTTCACACAACGCGAGGAAACCGTACGGCACCCCCTGAACCTTCACCGGCAAAGCTGCGCCGAGCACACCTGAACAGGCAGCTCACAGTCAGCTAGACAGACTATGAAAGCTTACCTCTGATTGGTCAGCAGTCTGTACGGCGATCTCTGTGCCCGCGCTTTTTTCAGCCGCCAATCAGGTAGCAGGACGCGCGTAACTCCGCCCCCCCCTTTCCCACCTCCCACAGCTGTGTTGTGCACATTGTCCCAACGTTCCATCCTGCTTTACAGGGCGATCGATGCAGAACGCGTCAATGCTGCGACAGTGCCCGCTGCTGGTACCCCAGGACCTGCATGGGAGAGTGTATGATGGCTTCCTCAGCCTCCAGGTAGCACATACACACACTGTTACTGCTGCAGTTACTGCCATAGTAATGCCTCTGGGAGATATGGGCATTTATACAGAGCAGCTGTCAGTATGGTTAGGGACAAGTTTTAGGCAGTAGGAGTGTTACAATCTCTTCTACCTTTTTCTTGGGTTTATTGATTGACCATTTAGCTGCTATAATGATATGGCAGCTATAGATTTTAGAGTCTGTGACATAGATGATAACATGTATTAAAAACCTTTTGTTGTACACTTTTTATTTAAAATACATTCAGATAAATGTGTGACAACTGCATATAGATGTAGCTCTGCCCCCTGTAATATTTCTGCAATAGTGAGAGGCACACTATGTTCACCCAGACCACTTCAGCTGATTGAAGTGGTTTTGGTGCAGTGTCCCTGTCTGTCACCTAGTCCTGCAATGTAAAACATTGCAATTTTTGAGAAACGGCAATATTGACAATGCATTATTAAGGCAGCCTCCCTCTAGAGGCGCAACAGGGATTTTACAGGTCGCCTAACTGATGCTGGGCGTGCTCACCCATCCAGCGTCAGCTAAATCCCTATAGGAAAGCATTAAAGGGACTCTCCAGTGCCAGGAAAACATTTGTTTTCCTGGCACTGCAGGTCCCCTGCAGTCCCCCTCCCACTCTGACTTACCTGAGTCCAGCGCTGATATCCCTCGGCGCTTGGTCAGGCTCTGCCTACTCTCCTCTCCCGCAGACGTCACCCGGCGGGGGAGACCTAATGAGCTTTCCTATGGGGATTCCGGCGATGCTGGAGGTCCTCATGCATAGCGTGAGGACGTCCAGAGTCGTTTAAAAAAACTCTTTGTGTTAAGAACACGGAAGTCCCTCTAGTGGCTGTCTGATAGACAGTTACTAGAGAAGGACTTAACCCTGCAAGGTAATTATTGTAGTTTATAAAAATTTCAATAATTACACTTGCAGGGTTAAGGGTGGTGGGAGTTGACACCCAGACCACTCCAATGGGCAGAAGTGGTCTGGGTGCCTGGTGTGCCTATAATGCAAGAGACCCCTAATGCGCCCAGGACGCTCACCACACGTGTGCATTAGGTCCCCCTCATCTGAAGACATCTGAGTAGGCGTAGCACCGTAAAATGCAGAGTAAACCTCCGCTATGTTAATCAGATTGTGTCTTAGTAGACCGCATTGCTGTGAAGGAGAAAAGGTAAGTAAAATACTTTTTTTTTTTTTTTTTAATATAACCTTGGCAGCAATGGCCCAGTCACCTAAACGGTGACTAGGACACTAGCTTTAGGAATACATATTTTATTCCTAACCCTATAGTGTTCCTTTAAAGGATGTGTCACCTCAAAATTATTTTTACTTTAATAATTTTTTCATCATGGTTTGAAAGGAAATATATATATTTAAAATGATGAGAATGTAAAAAAAAAAAAAAAAAAAGTGAAAAACTGACCCTACCTTTAGTTTGGTAAAACAGTATTTGAATACCTACGATTACAGGGCTATTCACTAAACTGTAGATTAGGGATCGACCGATTATCGGTCTGGCCGATATTATCGGCTGATATTCTGTATTTTCAGCAATATTGGTATCAGCCAATAAAGATACCAATATTGCCGATAATGCAGACCAGGGTCCTGGGGGGGCCCAGCACACTCTTACTTACCTTCCCTTCATCTCCCCTGTCAAACTCTCGCGAGTCCCGCGGCTGTCGGGTTACCATGGCAACGCTCCGCGCGGCGCATAGGCCGCGAGAGTTAGACAAGGGAGCTGCTGGGAAGGTAACTAAGAGTGTGCTGGCTCCCTCTGCACAGTCCATGCCACTGGATCACCAGGGAATGCCACATCCTCCCTCCCTGGCCAGGTAAGAAGCAGGTAGGGGGGACTAAAACATAATTTAAAAAAAAATAAATATAAAAAAAAAAAAAAATTAAAATGCCCCTGCCCCTTTTTACACACTTGGCATACCCACACAAACACTCACTGCACAAACACACACACTACACAAACACACACACTCTGCATTCATGATATACACACAGTACACACACACACACACACTCTGCATTCACTATACACACTACACACTGCATTCACTATACACACAATACACAAACACACACTGCATTCACTAATCAAATACTAATCCATCCACTAAACACACATATATTCTTGAAAACATAAATTTTGACTGGCATGTATATTTATTGCATTTACCTTAATAAAAAAAAAAAAAAAATTGCAAATAAATAAATAAATAATAAACATGTTCAGTTAACAGTAGAGTTGTGTAGAAATAGTTTCTTTTTTTAAAAATGGTAAATGTACAGAATATCGTTATTGGCCTGAAAGTTCACAGATTATCGGTATCGGCTCTAAAAAAAAATATCAATATCGGTCGATCCCTACTGTGGATTATGTCCGCAAGGATAAAACTGGTAAAAGTTACCAAATTCCAACCGCAATGGCAATTCTCAGATTTACTAAAGCCAAGTACAATATGAATTCAGCCGGCCCAAACAAATCCGCATTATTCGCCCGTATGCATTCAGTGTCTGGATTAAAATGTGCCCTATCCCATGTAGAACACTGGGTTCTCTATTATTAAGAATAATGTTTCACATTAGTTTATCAGTTATACCAGAATCTTACATAGTATATACCACTGGAAACAGGTCATGATGAAATTACTGCAAGGTGCACTATCTCCAGTTTAAAGGGATACTATAGTATCTCCTCCCTTGCTTCCCCTCCCTCAAGCCCCCCATCCACCCTTTATTTACTTATCTTACCCCAGCCCCAATGTCCCTCGGTGTGGGATGACTCACTTCCCCTTCAGCGTCCTGCAACGAGCAGGCGCTAATGCGCACACGCTGCAAATGCCGTGCGCATTAAACATCCCCATAGGAAAACATTGAGTCAATGCTTTCCTATGGGGAAAAAATCTGACGCTAGGTGTCATTATACAGAACATGAGGACGTCCAGCGTCAGATACCGGATCAAAGATCCGTTTCGATCCAGGAAGCACCATCAGTGACTGGAGGCAGACTTAGAGATGCAATGTAAACATTACAGTTTCTCTGAAATTGCAATGTTTTACATTGCAGCTCTAAGCGCAAAAGGGACACTGCACCCAGACCACTTTAATGAGCGGAAGTGGTCTGGGTGCCTATAGTGTCCCTTTAATAAGTTAATCACTCATATTTGGAGAGCAGTTTATATTGTTTTATTTAACAAAATTAACATTATATAGCACACAAAGTTTGGAATTTGCTTAATCATAGATGTTTAACTGAAGTGGTTAAACAAAAAAAAATAATATATATATATATATATATATATATCTGCAATGATAAGCCTTCTTACCTAAGTCCCCATCAGGGTGGCAAGCCTTTTCTGATGCTAGGTGATGCCCACCTTTCTTCTGCAAATGCCAATCTCCCTGGTCTTTCATAGACTCTGTGCAAATTATATGCAGAGAATTGACATTAGCCAACCTGAGGTTGCTGTTCCGGCCTGCCTACGGATGTACTAATGATGCTGCTGGCATTGGAGTGGCACCTCTAACAGCAATTTAAAATATATGTCAATATGTGCAGAATTTCATATTGAAAAGCCCAGTACTCTCACTCCATGACCACTACTAATCACAGAATTGGTTATGTTGCTTGGAGTAACCCTTTAAAGGACCACTATAGTGCAAGGAAAACATACTCGTTTTCCTGGCAATATAGTGCCCTGAGGGTGCCCCCACCCTCAGGGACCCACTCCCGCCAGGCTGGATGGAGAGAAAGGGGTTAAACTTACCTTTTTCTCCAGCACCGGGCGGGGAGCACTCCGCCTCATCTCCTCCTCTTCGGCTGAATGCGCATGCGTGGCAGGAGCTGCGCGCGTATTCAGCCAGTCCATAGGAAAGCATTCAGAATGCTTTCCTATGGACGCAAGCATCTTCTCCCTGTGAAAATCACAGTGAGAAGCGCGGAAGCCCTCTAGCGACTGTCAATGAGACAGCCACTAGAGGCTGGATTAACTCATAGGTAAACATAGCAGTTTCTCTGAAACTGCTATGTTTACAGAAAAAAAGGGTTAACCCTAGCTGGACCTGGCACCCAGACCACTTTATTAAGCTGAAGTGGTCTGGGTGACTATAGTGGTCCTTTAACCCCTTAAGGACCAAACTTCTGGAATAAAAGGGAATCATGCCATGTCACACATGTCATGTGTCCTTAAGGGGTTAAAGCAAGCTGTGTGTGTGCATAGATTTGCAGAATAACAAGTGTGTTAAGGTCTTTTTCTGAACAATGTTTGTTTATTTTATGACATTTTTTGCTCTGGAAAAAGTGCAAGTTATCTCTGCAGACACAAGTTCAATTAACTGGGATTAATGTAACTCATTTTCCAAAAATGTAAATATCTCATGAATATATAGCCTTGTGCTTCATAACTAATCCATATTTTATGCTTCATAACTTTTGAACTATAATGTATCTCAAACAGAAAACTACCTTTATCTAAAGGACTTTCATAAATAGAAATCCAATTTAAATAAAAACAGATTTTTCTTTAAAAATAAATAAAAAAAAAATCATTAATTTTATCCACCATGACTTGCTTTCAAAACTTGATGAAATAATTATTGTATTAAAAATAGTTTTGAGGTGACTATTGTCCTTTAAATTTACTGCTTCACTATTAGAAGAATTGACATTCGGCATCATACTGTTGTACACGATGGTGTGGAATGCTAAAACCTTTTGATTTTGGAAGGTTTACAAGAAGTGTCTTTCAGCTGACAGCCACTATAGGTATGCACTCTGCAAAATGAAAATGTGCTGTTTCTCTGAAATGGCAATGTTTACATTTGTCATAAAAAAATGAGTCCGCATCAATGCACCAAACATTAAGATGGATCCAGTTACTAATTTTTCTGTTGCCTAGGGCGGAATTTAAAGATATTAGGGATGATGTTTCCAATTCTATGTTTAGTTGTAGTGGTATTAAATTCAGTAGAAAAAAATATTTTTAAACTCATTTATTGGGGTATGGGGGCTTTGTAGTATTAGAACAAAATTGTAACTTGACACAACCTGTATGATTAAAACCCATTGATGACATACATATTTTTTGTTTGTTTCCATTTCCTTGAAGGGAGTTTTTGTTTTTTTCGCAGATCATATTTTTTCTTCCTGACAGCTGATTTTACTTTGCATTAACAACAAACAAAATCCGTATAAGTAAACTGACATCAGTACATTAGTGAACCCAATGCCTACATTATTACTGTTGTTTGCAAGAAATGTTTTTTTGACTTGTAGCCCCTGTAAATTGTAACTCCCCTTTTCAGCAGCAGTTCAGCATTTCCCTTAAATATAAATAGTCTTTCTCTCTATACATAATAAAAAAAAAAAAAAAAAAAAGCAAATCGCATTTTTAAATAGAGCTTTTATACACAAACGTGAACTTAAAGGACCACTATAGTGCCAGGAAAACATACTCGTTTTCCTGGCACTATAGTGCCCTGAGGGTGCCCCCACCCTCAGGGTCCCCCTCCCGCCCAGCTCTGGAAAGGGGAAAGGGGTTTAAACTTACCTTTTTCCAGCGCTGGGCGGAGAGCTCTCCTCCTCCGATCCGCCCCGTCGGCTGAATGCGCACGCGCGGCAAGAGCTGCGCGCGCATTCAGCCGGTCGCATAGGAAAGCATTTAAAATGCTTTCCTATGGACGCTGGCGTGCTCTCACTGTGAAAATCACAGTGAGAAGCACGCAAGCGCCTCTAGTGGCTGTCAATGAGACAGCCGCTAGAGGGAATGGGGGAAGGCTTAACCCATTCATAAACATAGCAGTTTCTCTGAAACTGCTATGTTTATAAAAAAAATGGGTTAACCCTAGAAGGACCTGGCACCCAGACCACTTCATTAAGCTGAAGTGGTCTGGGTGCCTAGAGTGGTCCTTTAATGCTTTTAGAAAAATGATAAAGTGGTTTAGTACATGTACATGAATGAAAGTTGTAAGCATATATTTTTTTCCCCATTTACTTGTGCTAGTTTAAAATTGGGACTGTGACACACAATATGTATGGATAAGGTCTGATTCCGGAATACACAGCAATAGCAAGTTGCCAGAAAACTAGTAAAAAAAAATAAACAAATACAAAAGTTTTCACCAAGGGCATTAGAGTATAAACTATTAGAACGGCTGCACACACTTTTTTTCCCTCTTACAATAAATTTGGAATCCCACAATACTCCTAAACATTGATCTTTTCACTAGGGAGAGATGTAAACTAAAAACACAAAGTAGAACTGTCACATGTTTTATTTGTAGTGTTTAGGTGGGTGGATTAAAAAAAAAAAAAAACAACAACAAAACAGTTGAATTCTTTTATGTAAAATATCCATTTGACATAAATAAACTTGTTTCTGCCTCTTTGAATGGACTAGTGGGCAGGTACATAAGATCTGATTTGGCTTCAGTGTTGAAATTCCTTTTTCTAATTTACACAAGTGCTAGTTTAGTGAATAATCCCAAATTTATTGATAGAATTGCACAGCTATTGTTGTTCTTATCTTATTTTTTTAAATTTATTTAAAAAAAAAAAAAAACCTTTTCCATTCCTTATTCTTTTTTTTTTCCACATAGGATAAGGATTTTCGAGTGCGGATAAATTTACCTGCAGATCTGCAGCTACAAAATGCAAAGTAAGTAAATTCCTAGCACAAGCTATATTTGTGTAATTATATTTTACTTACTCAAACACCTCCAGGCTGAATTCAGTAAACACCAAAGGCACCCACCCAATGGTATTAGGTTGTCCATATGCATTGCAAGTCCGGTGCTTTAGGCAATTGCCAGCCTCTTAAGCTTAGCTAAACATCCAGGAAGTAACAAGAACAGTTGTCTGACATCCAGAGGTGTAAAAGTGCCAAGTTCTATTGGAATCTGCACTTTTTGATTAAAAGAAGAGGCCACACTACACTAATGAAGTACTTTAGCAAGTTTGTTGGCTTGAGGTGTTTGGAGTGTTTCTTTAAAAATATTCAGTTTGCAGTTTACTTGCAATTGGACTGAACTGTTTTTGCATAAGTAACCGAAACCTGATGGATTCAATGAGGTTTTAATTCTGTCGATAGTAAGCAAAGTGAGTCTCATAAGAATTTTATCATCTACACCGAAGAGAGTTGATTTAAATTAAACTGATTAACCCTTTCTTAATAGATTAAATGGTTCAGTTACCTTTAACTATATTTGTGTACCTTAAATTTACCTAAATTTGAAAAAAGTCTTCCACTTGCTAGCTGTGGGTATTTAATTTATTTATGATTATTTTTTAATAGACCACTACTACTACTTAGTTATATAGGCTGAAAATGGATGTGTCCATCAAGGTCAGCCTTTCTCATGTGTTTTTACTATTGTTTTATTTTTATAGAATACAGTGCAGTTGGCCATTAAAGAATGCTTTGCAAGGATATCAGCATATTTTGAAACAGGTATAGATTTATTCTTTCTTTTAATATTTTAGTTTTGACTGTGTACTTAATTTTATCAAAATAAGCAATATATCATATACAAAGAAGGTAAAATTGGGTCTGCTAGAAACAAAATCTCCCCTCCCCCGCTGTTTCTTCTATGTATTAGTATAGGCTCTGCTCACTTGAATGCGCATCTTTTTATATATTTAAATTGTACAACATCATGCCCGCCCTTAAAGTGACCACAACATCTAGGCAACGTCACATTCTATCACTTTAGAGGCACAGAGATGGTGTGGACCAATCAGAAAGTGTGTTAGCCTATAAAAAGTTAAAGGGACACTATAGTCACCAGAACAACAACTTATTGAATTTGTTCTGGTGAGTAGAATCATTACCTTCAGGCTTTTTGCTGTAAGAACTGTCTTTTCAGAGAGAATGCAATGTTTACATTACAGCCTAGTGATAACTTCACTGGCCACTTCTCAGATAGCGGTTAGAGATCCTTCCTGGTTCATGGTTGCCTAAAATGCATCCAAACATTCAGTATCTCCTCCCTCTGCATGCAGACACTAAACTTTCCTCATAGAGATTCATTGATTCAACTCATCTCTATGAGGAGATGCTGATTGGCCAGGGCTGTGTTTGAATCATGCTGGCTCTGCCCCTGGTCTGCCTCTTTGTCAGTCTCAGCCAATCCTATGGGGAAGCATTGTGATTGGATCAGGCTACCACTTCTGATGATGTCAGCAGACAGCCTGTTTTTCTGAGGCAAACAGCATGCAGATCTATAGCTTCAGGCTTGAATACAGTAAGATTTGCTATATTTATGGAGGGATGAGGAGCCCAGGGGGCTAGATGGGGGTTTTAACACTATAGGGTCAGGAACACATGTTTGTGTTCCTGACCCTATAGTGATCCTTTAATTTGGGCCTTTGTTTCTACCTTGATACACGTTAGTTCTTATAGTAAGTCTCTCTTGATATATTTTGATATGGAACTGAGTTTGTATTTGACTTTGTGTAATTATGGTATCCTGACCCGGCTTGTTATTTTGTTTATCCATATTTCTATATTCCTGATCTTTGCTACTGCTGACTTTGTCTTTATCTTTATTACGTTAAGTCGAGCCACTCTAAGGCCCGGTAATACGTCTGTCTAGAACATCTATTTGTGGGATTCGCTATTCCTGTAAGTTTGGGTACGACCTTGTGACATTAACCACTTTTATGTAAAATGGGACAATTCCTCATTATCTTACTCTGATAAAAGCTGTTGAAGCATTTGTAGAGTGGGTACTATAGCAGAGGAAAGTGTGTGTGTGTCTGTCTGTCTGTCTAAGTCTCTAAGTACCAAAACCAATAAATCTCAAATAGTGGTTTTGGTGCATCAATGTTACATTTTCTGAAAATATGCCTCCATTTGCTGTGAACAAAACAGCCACTGAAACTACTTCCTCTGTTCCATCCTTCAATTTTTGAAGGGCTTTATGTTTGACGTCATCACACACAGCGTTATGATTCCAATCACTGGTAATGATTTGGATTGGGGTGATTGCCAGGCAAGCATTATATGTCCGTATTGCTTTATTATGCGCATTGGACTAGATAGAGTTCATTAAAGGAACACTATAGGGATAGGAACAGAACCATGTATTACTGACCCTATAGTATTAAAAACATTATCTAGCCCCCTTCCCCCCCGCCCCCATTAAATATAGTAAAATCTTGCCTCTTTTCCAGTCTACTGGTGCTGGCTCTGCCCCTGATCTGCTTCCTATGGAGTTTGATGATGCTGAATGTCCTCAAGCATAGCGTGAGGACGTCCAGCGTCAGACGACAAAAAGTTGACTAAACGCCCCAAAGTGGTGGTTAGACAGCCATTAGAGTTGGAGTTAACCCTGCAAGGTAATTATTGCAGTTTATCAATAATTGCAATAATTACAGTTACATGATTATGGACAGTGCACCCAGACCATTTCAATGATCTAAAGTGTTCAGGGTGCCCATAGTGTTCCTTTAAATTGTGATGAAATAAACATATCAAAAGCGCCAAATATGCTTGTCACAAAAGCACAGAATCTTTGAAAAAGCCATGAAGGGGTTAATATGACTCCCCCCTCACAAAACACTTTTGCTAATTGTGTTTAAAACCTACACCTGAAATTACTCTGTAAATATTTTAATAGTCTCCCCATTACAGATATCAAACATACAATGCTTTAATTTTCATGATGTCTTATTTACTGTAATTTTTTGTCTTACTTTTTTTTTAGAGGTTACAACATAGTCCTAATTTAGCTAGTTTTATGATGGAGCTAAAGACTATCTTGGTAAGTGCATGATATATAAATGTACAATTACATTTAATAATGTATGTGTTTTATTGCAGTACTTGATAAATCCAAGGTTCAGAGGCACTTTAAAAATTTTTGTGTTTTATCTTTAACACTGTGTCTATAACTTTTGCGCTATAACTTTCCCCTGGATAAATTAAAGGACACTATAGGCACCAAAACAATCTTTGCTTAAAGGAACACTATAAGGTCAAGAACATAAATGTGCATTCATGTCCCTGTATTGTTAAACACACTATTCAGGTTTTTACTTACCTTTATTCCAGCGCCGCATGTGTCTGCCGGCGCTGGCCCAGCGCAAATCTGCCTCAGAATTGATGATCTTAGCCAATCCAATGTTTTTCTATAGGAAAGCATTGGATTGGCTGAGATTGGCAGTTTTGATGATCTCAGCCAAGGAGGTGGGGCTGGGGGCAGAGCCAAATGCACTCTGGCCAATCAGCATCTGCTCATAGAGATGCATGGAATCAATGCATCTATATGTGGAAAATTCAGCTTTTCCATGCAGAGTGTGGAGACATTGAACGTCAGTGCTGCACAATTTAGGAAGCACCTGTAGTGGCAGTCTGAGTGAATGCCACTGGAAGTGTCCCTAGGCAGAAATATAAATGCTGCCTTTTCTGAAATGAATGTGCACATCCTTCCTAAACACTTCTTGTAAAGAGAGAAGCTTATGTTTAAACTTGCTTTATTGCTCATTCTGTTTAGAATTTCTAATCTCATGATCGATTAGTATACTCCTATATCTTGTAGGAGCTTCCTCTATAAAATTGTAATTTACAATTTTATAGAGGAAGTTACAGAGCAGGAGATAAAAACTTCTTAAGCTAGTTAACATACGATTTAAAAATGAAACTAATTTTTTTTCATGCAGGCTGTGACCAGGGCTGAATAAACATAAACATGAGATTTAACTACCAAATGGCAGAGAACCGAGCAGTGAAACTGCTTCATTAAGCTAAAGTTGCTTTGGTGCCTATATTGTCCCTTTAAAGTAAATTAAATTGCATAAGATCTTGCCCTAGCTATGACAAGTCCAGAGAGTAACAGTTTAAGATATAGATTTTTTTATTTTTTTTGTGCAAAAGTTAGTTCAGACTGATCTATAAAGCAAATACATTGAAATGGTCAGAACATATACTCAATTAGGCAAAGAACAGCAACAACCACCGTGCCCAGCAAACTGGATGCTTTCAAAGCTTCTTCACACAGAATGTGAAGATTTTCAGTTGCTGAAAGTCTTCACCTGAAGGGGCCTCTAATGGCTGTTATTAAGAGCCACTGGAGATATCCTGACTGGCAAATGATAACCATTGCTGTTTTTTCACAACCAGATATGTTTAGATTCGTCAAACTGCAGAGACAGGGCCAATACACAAAAAACACTGATTTTGGTTAGAGTAAATCTTGCTGTGGCAGCGCATCCCCCAATGGAAAAAAGACAGAAAGCTCAAGCTTAAGCTCTTTTCTAGCACCAAATTTTCACTTAAACCCAATTCTCCATAGCTAGTTCACTTCCAATTGCTCAAGACTGGCTATGGTGGACTGAAGGAAGGACGTGGGCAGCTTGCTGGCGTCAGATACCAATTTTATACAGGATTGACATTATCCAACGTGGAACTCTGGTTCCAGGCTGTCTAATGATGCTGCTGGAGTTGGAGTCACACTCTAGACAGCAGAGCAGTTAATCTCTGCATGTGCAGCCTTTAATAGCAAAATCACATTGTATTAAAGGGACACTATAGTCACCATAACAACTACAGTTTATTGTATTTGTTCTGTTGGTGTAATCATTCCCTGCACGCATTTTCATGCAAACACTGCCTTTTCAGAGAAAAAGACTCCTTCACTGGCCCCTCCCCAGCTGGCCACTAGAGGTGCTTCCTGTGGCAATGCTGCACAGTGTGCTTTTCAGCATCTGCATGGAGATGCTGAACTTTTTTCATAGAGATGCATTGATTCAATGCATCTCTATAAAGGGGTGCTGATTGGCCAAGCCTGCATTTGGCCCCGCCCCTGTCCCGTTTCCTTGCCAATTTCAGGCAATCCAATGCTTTTCCCTATGGGAAAGCATTGGATTGGCTAAAAATCATAAATTCTAATGTCAGCAAGGAGGCGGATTGGTGCGTGGCGAGGGCCGGCGGACCTGCGCGGCACTGGAAATAAGGTAACTTTTTTTTACAATTACCGTTTAAGATGGGTAGGGGGGAGGGGCACCTAAATGATGGTTTTAACACTATAGGGTCAGGTCATTTTCGTGTTCCTGACTCAATAGTGTTCCTTTAACTCTAACTTAGTCAATTGCAAAAGGCTAAAGCTATATCTAAATCTTGAGAATATTCATTTCCACTTCATCATCTCTTACTGATTTTTAATAATCATACATTGTATGCAAGGAGTACTGCAGAACGAGTATATTTATTTGTGTTTCTATGTATATTATTTCTACATGCTTGAAATAGTTGACTTTTTGTTTTTAAGAAACTGTTTTATTGCATTAAATATTTATTTTATATCTGTATTACACTTTGAATGTATGTTGTTTTAGGAAGCTGCTCTGAAGAATACAAATGTATTACAGACACCTCCTGCCCCTCAGTACTATTCTTGTCTTGTGAAAGATATTGAGGATCTGGGCTGGGATAAGTATGTATGAGTCTAAATTATTATTATTATTATTTTTTTTATATATACATCTGACAAAGTGTAATTCACTTTGAATGCGTCTGTATTTTGATAAATGGACATATAGATATTAAAGGAACACTCCAAGCACCAAACCTATAGTATGCCAAGAGTGGTTTGAGGAGTGTCGACCCCATTGTAAGTAATCAAACCGTTTGTTAATGACTTTTTGTCTGGGGTCAGCCTTGTAGCGGAGGCCTGGTATTTCACAGGTTAACTCCACTAAGATCCCAGTGAGGCTCAGGAACAAGTGATGAAAAATCCCATAAAGTAATAATTCCAGCAAGCAAGGTAATCCAAGAATATCCCCATAAAGATCCCAATGACTGGACGACACACAGCATCAGGAGCAGAACTAACGTTTATTCCACACAACCTCCTTTTAAGCATTTCTCCCATGCAAGGGAGGGATTCACATTCATTAAGACAGTACCCAATGAAATAGCAGTTACCTCCCACACATCTCCTCCCCTTAGTATGACACCTAATCCCATTATACAGGTTATAGTTTTCCCCAAGATCTGGATGTACCCCAAGATTAGCAGGTACACCAATACTTTGGGTACCCCCTGGTAGCCCTGATCTGGGTGACCAACATATCCAAAATTCACCCAGAGCAGACCAGGGGTTCAGGAGTTAGGTGGAGGGTGAAATTTGACAGACCGCACACGAGGTGGTATCCGAAAAGGGTTCCATGCGTTTTGGCCCTGCGGTCGGTCTCCGTTCGGGATTTAAAAACACATAAAAACCTGCCATCAACTAATACAGTTATGTTCGCATGATTTCCCTCATGCGGTACTCTAAACTCACCGAACGGGGGGCTGATTCGCCTTCCCGTTCGTGAGTTATGGAGCTCTGGAGGTTTCAGCGGTGTTCGGGTAATCGAGTGTCTGATTTGAGTTCCAGACACTCGACGACCAAACACCGCTGAGCCTTTCGTGCGTAAGATGGCCGCCACTACGTGTTCGCATGCCGAATGGCGGCCACACAGATATATACATAAACCACCTATTAGTCTGCGGTTAGCAAGCACTATGCAGCTTAACGAGGGACACACTTCACTCTGGGGTGGTCTATTAGTTTGGTAGTTTCCATTTGTATGAAATACAGATGGAAACTACCGAACAATCATACGAATGCTACTTACAATTAAATACAAAGCAGAAACAACACACGAATTGCAGGATTCTCATAGTCTTTAAGGACAGCCACAGTCCCATCCGCTACACTGCTCCCCCTTGCCCACAAGCCGGCATACACAGTCTGATCCAACACGGATCAGCTTGGGGATGTCTGGGGATGCTCACGGATCATTCTCCAGGTCTGTTTGTCTTGACAACCCGTCAGCGTTCCCATTCTGTTTGCCCGGGCGGCACTGAATGTTAAAGTCAAAGGTCTGCAACGCCAAGCTCCACCGCAGCAGCCTGGCATTGTCCCCAGCCACCCGGTTCAGCCATACTAACGGGTTGTGATCCGTGAGCAAGGAAAAGGGCTGTCCATACAAATACGGCTGCAGTTTCTTCAGGGCCCACAACACAGCCAGGCATTCCTTCTCGATGGCGGCGTAGCTTACTTCTCTGGGTAACAACTTGCGACTGATGTAAGCCACGGGATGTTCTCCGCTATCGGCCCCGACTTGGCTCAGTACTGCTCCGAGTCCAAACATAGAAGCGTCTGTGTGAACAAGAAAACGTTTAGTTGGATTGGGAGCTGCCAAGACAGGGGCATTTATCAGTGCATTTTTCAGGTGCTGGAATGGCTGCTCACACTCCGGGGTCCAGGTTACTTGGCGGGGAAGGTTCTTACGGGTCAGGTCAGTCAGGGGTTTGACCAGGGCGCTATAGTTAGGGACGAATTTCCGATAATACCCTGCTGTTCCTAAAAACGCCAACACCTGAGTCTTAGTCCTAGGGGTGGGCCATTGGGCTACGACCTCTACTTTGGCTGGTTCTGGCTTCTGCTACCCACAGCCTACCCGATGTCCCAGGTATTGTACCTTGGCCATCCCTATACTACATTTGGCTGGCTTCAGCGTTAGACCTGCTTCCCTAATTCTGTCTAGGACCGCTCCTATATGGGCCAAGTGCTCCTGCCAGGTATTGCTAAAGATGGTAATATCATCTAGATATGCACAGGTATAGTCTTGGAACCCATCTAGGAGGCGGTCCACCATCCGCTGAAAGGTAGCCAGGGCGTTTTTCATCCCAAACGGCATGACCTTAAATTGGTACAAACCGAATGGGGTGACAAAGGCCGACTTAAGGATGGCGTCCGGGGCCAAGGGAATTTGCCAGCCAATACCCCTTACACAAGTCAATGGTAGTGAGGTAGTGGCCCCTGGCCATCCTATCCAGTAATTTGTCTATCCTGGGCATGGGATAGGCGTCAGACACGGTCTTCTCGTTCAGCCTCCGGTAGTCCACACAAAAGCGGGTCGTACCATCCCGTTTTGGTACAAGGACTACCGGGGAAGCCCAGGGGCTGTCGGAGGGTTCAATTACCCCAAGCTGGAGCATCTCTTCGATCTCCTTGCGCATATTTTCCCGCACCGCTTCAGGGATGCGGTAGGGGGTCTGGCGCATGGAAAGTTGTCCTGGGGTTTCTACCCGGTGTGTGGCCAGAGGAGTGTATCCAGGTATATTAGAGAAGATGTCTTGCTTCTCTCTTAACAGTTGTTGTACCTCGATCCGCTCCTGAGGGCTCAACCGGTCTCCCAGTGCAACCTCCCCTAAATCTCCTGACAACTGACCGTCTACCAGCAGGTCTGGGAGAGGCAGCCTGTCAAACTCATTTGAATTGGGCGCACATATAGCGGTCATCTCCTCGGAGCGCTCCTGGTAGGGTTTCATCATGTTCACATGGAGCATGCGGCGCCCTCCAGTTCCAACGCAAGAGCCGATTATATGCCAGGCGGCCTGCAACTTATCATGACGGACAGGTTTTAAAATTAAAGACCAGGTGGCTTTTGACCAAAGTTATAGTGGCTCCTGAGTCGTGGAGCCCTTGCTCAGCTTTACCCTCTAGATATACGGTCTGTCTGTGATGTTGGCGGTTATCCGCGTTGGCCTGTACAGGGTCTGCCTCGTGCAGTACTTCCCACTGTTTCATGGTGGTAATGGGAACTGCTGAACCATATGGTGTTGGGATTACGTCCTGGTAGTAGTGGGCTGCGGCTGCTCTTGGTGGTGGTGGTGGTGGTCCTGGTCGGATCCAGGTGGATCGATCCCGTAGTTATGGGCATTCTCATTTATAATGCCCCCATTTCTGGCAGTAGTGACATGGAATCGGAATCGTGGTTGTGCAGCAGGTGCTGGTGGTGGTGGTAGTTGTCGCGGTGGAACTGTGGGGTAGTTTGTTCCCCCAAAGGTTTTTAATGTGGTCTTTGGAACTACTGGTTTCTGTTGCCTGCGTGCGTCCAGGTAGTCATCTGCTTTCCTAGCAGCCTCTATGAGGGATGCAGGGTTACGGTCCCTTACCCATTTGCTATTTTAAAGGGACACTGTAGGCACCCAGGCCACTTCAGTGGTCTGGGTGTAATGTCCCATGTCTTTTAACCCTACAGTGGTAATTATTGCAGTTTCTGAGGAACTGCAATAATTACATGCTAGTGTTAACTCCTCCTCTAGTGGCTGGGACTTCTGGGTGATTAGACGACTTTTGATCGTCTAAATGACTCTGGACATCCTCATGTTATGCATAAGGACTTCCAGCATCACCGGAATTCCCATAGGAAAGCATTGAATAATGCTATCCTATGGGGAAATCCTAATGCTAGCGTGACCATTGCCACGCATGTGCATTAGGTCTCCCCTGCTGGCTGGCGTCAGCTAGCGCGGGCAGAGCCTGATCCCGCACCAAGGGAGATCAGTGCTGGATTCAGGTAAGTGACTGAAGGGGTTTTAACCCCGTCAGCGCTGCGAGGGAGGGGATACTGTAGGAACCTTTAGTGCCAGGAAAACGGCTTTGTTTTTCTAGCGCTATAGAATCACTTTAAGGAAGCAAATGTTAACACTTTAAAAGAATGTATTTTAGCCGATTGCTCTGGTAGTGGAGGTTCAAAAACGGATTGACTCCTAACCAGGGGGGTGGGCTGAAGTAGTTATGGTTCTTGAAGTGGCCCTTTAAAAGTACCATATGAAAGACCACAAAATGTTCCCATCTGATCTCTTCTTCAATGAACTCAACACTGTCCATGTGGAGATGCATGCTTCTTTCCATGTTGTGCAGTGGATATTGCTGAAGCAATGTTATTAGTTTGCTGTTGCATTTATGGTTAGAATGAAGACTTGCAGAAAAGAGAAGCATCTTGCACAGCAGCTTGTGCAGGAAGCGTGTGTTTATAGGTCTTTATGAGGTGCTCCTGGCTGGTGTGTCTTGTAGTATCAGCAGGAGGCAGCACTCTGGGGAGTTTGATAGCTTCCGTCCTGTACACTTGTCTATTAGGGAGAGAGTGTGTGCCCAGTAGTGTGTTAAGCTAGGGCAGCTCCGCCAAATGTGTAGCATAGAGCCCCGGTCTGTTTTTTATCTCCAACATGTGTCGGAGTAGGGGGGTGAGATTTTTGCAAACCTCATCGGTACCATGTACCACCTGTACATGACCTTTTTTAAGGTTTCGTTGTGGGCTGCATTAAATGTTGTACCTTTGTGGGCTAAAAAATGCTCTGTGCCATTGGGCCTCTGTTATTTCATGGCCTATGTCTTCCTCCCACGCTTTAAGGCAGGGGAGTGCAGAAAGAGAAAGTGGGGCTTGTAAGAGTTTATATATCACAGAGATGCCCTTTTTCGGTGCGGAGAGCGATTGTGTGCTGTGTCGACTATGGGTCTCCTGTAAAGCCTGAAAGGGGATCAGTGCATCGTGGGTATATAGTTGGTGCAGGTTGTGTACTCCTGCTTGGGCCCATAGGTGAATGTTAAAGTCAGTGATAAATCTGGTCACCATGTGAATAGACATGGCCAGGGACATTGGTGAGGAGGGACAGAGCTTTGCCCTAGGGCTATCCCATACTTGAAGTATGGTGGTCGTGGAGGGTAAGTTGTGTGGCATATGTGGGCGGGATGCTTTCGGGAGCCAGAACATTTCGGCAGCACTAAGATTTGCCCAATGCTCCGCTATGTGTACCCATTGCGGTGGCTCAGGCCCTGCCAAGGCCGTGGCTACATTGTTCAGAGTTGCTGCTAGGTAGTAGCACTTAATATTCGGTAGTCCCATGCCACCTTCCCTTGGGGTCACCTGTAATATTGTTGCTTTAACTCTGGGTCACCTCCCACTCCAAAGGAACTTATTAATTGCTTTTTGTGCCGTGGTGAAGAAAGATCCGGGAATCTTGAAGTGAAGTGTTCTGAAGATGTATTGTAGCTTAGGTAGGATAGACTTCTTTATGTCAGCCATTCTGTCCGTCCAGGATATGAATTTGCTTTGCTAGGACATCATTAGGTCCGAGACAGATTTTTAGAGTGGATAGGTAGTTCGAGTGATACGGGTGGGTCAGGTCCTTTGGGAAAGCTATTCCCATTCATTGTTTTTGTTACATATAGTGATTGCCTTCTACTATTTATATGAATTAAAAAAAAAAAATAAGACGCTGTGATCGAGAATCCCTAGTTAATGATAATATACACATAAAACAGAATTGTAATACTTTGCTGAAATTATTATAAATGTTTTTTGTACTTGTGGGTTCCTGGAAACATCTCTCAGAAAGTGTATAAAGTTTATCTTGCAATCTGTAATGTAATATATTTAAAAGAGTGTCTGATATTTAGTAATTGGATCTTATTACTGTGATGAATTATCAGTCATTAGCAATATAAAGGGAATACATTTGACAAGTTAGATTTTTCCAGTTTAGGAAAGATGTAGAGTCTTATGTTAAGTTATGGAATTGAAATAAATTACAGGAAAATATATTAATTTTAATTTGCAGATAGCTGTAATTTCATGGACTAGATAGCAAGGCCTGCACCTTTAATATGCAAATATGACTGTCAAAGTTTAATCCTATTTAAATTACCTCATTGGAAACTTAATTACATTGTTCGGACTTGGACAAATAACAATGAAATCTCTTGGCGCAGGACATTTAGAACAGCTGCATCAATTTAAAATGTTGATATTCAATAGAATAGTCACATACACAGAATCTACTCTCTGGAAATTTATGTCACTATTTTATGTGACTGGGATTTTTAAATATTTCACTGCAACGCTATTTAAACAAGAACTAAAACGTTTATATATTTTTAAAGTTACTAATTAAAACAAAATTACTAAATACAAAGTGTTTGTGTGTAATTTACTTATTTTTGTTTGTAATGGTAATTTTAAATAATACTATAATTGGAAATATTTTTTTCATTTCATTTTTATAGTGCATTATAAAGATAGTGCAAAACAGTATTGGCGCTAAACTGCATTAGTGCTTGCAATGTTTAGTAGGCTGGTCTCCATCCACGTGCCCCTTCTTCCCGCACAAGGAAAAGGAACTCCAAACGTGCCTCATTTTGGTCTGTGGGGTCTATTCTTATCCCATAAACCACTGAGGAGGAGGATTTTTAAGGAATCCGTTTGACCCTTTAGGCATGGTGTGTCATCAGTAAGCCACAGTCTTTTCTCTCCCTTGCATTGTGAGATAATGGATAATTCAATAGCTGAAACCTATGACTTACAAGTCCTCATGGTTTTACATATATATTATCGAAATACTTTTATTTTTGGAATTCAGAGGATCTTAAAGGCACACTAATGTGCATGCATACATCTACAATGTTTTTTTGTATATTTATTTTTACATTGCCTCTTGGATCCTACGATCAACACCTAAGAAAATATAGCTTTCCATAACCCATAAGACATAATGTACTTTTTTACTAATGAAATGTATTGCATATGTACAGACTGTGACTAGCTGTATGGCAATCATACCTATATGACCTGGTAATACTTTTCTTCTCTCTTCTTTTTTTTTCCTCCGAATGAAACTAATTGTGATTCTAAAAAATATATTAGACTAGATTTTCTTTTTGGCTTACCTGAGGGTTGTTACCTTCTACCTCAAGGGAGTTCAGCCTCTCTCCAATGGGAAGTCTTCAGTACATGGCCCTGTGCAAAGGTGACTGCCTGAAGATACCCCTTTAGTGCTGTGACCCTAGGGGTAGCAAGATCATGCCATCACCATAATTACTGCAGTGAACAAGGGGTAGCAGGCTGGGCATGCACATACAGAGCATATGGATTTACTTCTTGTTACCCGAAGGGTAGCAAGATTATGCCATCATCCTATTCCCTGCAGTGACCAAGAGTAGCAGGCTGGACATGCACATGCAGAGAATATGCATTGCAAGGATTTTATGAGATTGACTAACATTTCATCCCTGAAGGAGTTAATGTGAGACGGACTCGCATTCCATCAATGAAAGGGTTAACATAAAACTCTGTCTTGTACTTTCCGTGGCTTTACTTGCAGTGACCCTAGAGGTAGCAAGATTATGTCATCACCCTATTTCCTGCTGTGCCCAAAGGGGAGGCAGGCTAGGCAGGCACATACAGAGTATGTATATGTGTGTGTGTGTGTGTGTGTGTGTGTGTGTATATGTATGTATGTGTGTGTATATATATAGATAGATAGATAGATATAACCCCTTCTACCCTTCATTGGTTTCATCTAAACTGTAAGAGTTCTCTGCTAATTTGAATTTCAATCAAACTTATTCCTAGGCTTCTGTGTCTTTTAATATATCCACTGGAGTCACTTATTTCTAGGCCTCTCTGGCTTTTAATATAGCCACTGGAGTCACTTTTCCCAGGCCTCTGTTAAGCCTTTTAATATTGCTGCTGTTTTACTTAAAGGACCACTATAGAAACATAGAATGTGACGGCAGATAAGAACCATTCGGCCCATCTAGTCTGCCCAATTTTCTAAATACTTTCATTAGTCCCTGGCCTTATCTTATAGTTAGGATAGCCTTATGCCTATCCCACGCATGCTTAAACTCCTTTACTGTGTTAACCTCTACCACTTCAGCTGGAAGGCTATTCCATGCATCCACTACCCTCTCAGTAAAGTAATACTTCCTGATATTATTTTTAAACCTTTGTCCCTCTAATTTAAGACTATGTCCTCTTGTTGTGGTTTTTCTTCTTTTAAATATAGTCTCCTCCTTTACTGTGTTGATTCCCTTTATATATTTAAATGTTTCTATCATATCCCCCCGTCTCGTCTTTCCTCCAAGCTATACATGTTAAGATCCACTTCAGCTTAATGAAGTGGTCTGGTTGCCAGGTCCAGCTAGGTTTAACCATTTTTGCTGTAAACATAGCAGTTTCAGAGAAACTGCTATGTTTACCTATGGGTTAATCCAGCCTCTAGTGCAGTGATGGCGAACCTTTTTGAGCCCGAGTGCCCAAACCGCAATACATGCCAACTTTTTTTTCCTCAAAGTGCCAACACGCCAATTAAACTTAGGGGTGGGGGGGGGGGGGTGCTGTGTGTGGGGGTTTGGGGTGCTGTGTGGGAAGGTAGGGGTGCTTTGTGTGGGGCATAGGAGTTCTGTGTGTGGGGAGGTAGGGGTGCTCTGTTGGGGGTGTAGGGATGCTCTTTTGGGGGGTTAGGGGTGCTCTGTTGGGGGGGTAGGGAAGCCCTGTTGGGGGGTAGGGGTGCTGTGTTGGGTTAGCGGTGATCTGTTGGGGGGGTAGGGGTGCTATGTTGGGGGGGGTTTAAGATACATTAAAAACGTTTGTGCATTCACAACTATCTGCCAATTTTATTACATTATTATATGCCTCTATGTTTGGTTTTAGTCATTCACTAGCTTTATTGTCCTATTTCTATGTCTCTGTACTTGGTAATAGGCTATTTGCTATTCTGTTCCTTCATCTCAGGCTTTTGACCTGTTTTATTACAGGGGCCCTAAGTTTCCATACCTATTTGAGTTTTTTCCTTGTCATTTAATCCTTGTGAATATGCAGGCGCTAGTCAAACTGTCGCGCCATGCCGTTTCCACGCATGAGCGAAAATCTGATTCTCTTGTGCCTGTTCTGAAATGTAAGTCCAGCTGCAGTGGTTGCAGTGTCGTATTGGCTCCCCCCTTTAAGCATAATTTTTTCTTATAAGTTTCCTATATTAAGAAAGTAGATTTGTTTTCATCTTATTTGAATTTACCTTTTTGGTTTTGGTAAGTTTTTCTTTATTGATGGTATATTACATCTTTTTCTATATCTTTCAATCTCCACTAAGCAGAGATTTGCTTTGTTGATGATAAAAAGGAATTTTATGCTTCTTAGATACATAGGTAAGCCATTCTATTTTTTCCTGTCGTTAATAAACAAGAGTGCCTATTAATAATTGGAATTCCCTATGATGATAGCTGTACGGGAAGAAAATCATCCGGATCATACAAGGGAAGTCGCCCTAAAGGATCCTTTCTGAGGCATATGATAAGAGAGCCTTGTAAAAGTCTGCACAGACTGCCTGAAAGTGGCTACAGGCCAATCTACTCCTGTGCCATATATTATGAAAATGATATTTTTCTCATTTACCTAAATAATTTATGTAAATAATAGTCAGCATAATTCTCATGTTATAAACTATTAAGAGTACAATTCAAATTTTATTGAACAAAACCTCCTAATGATAACAGTATTTTTTTTAAAACTTAAAAAACTTTCAATGCACTGTTCCAAATTATTACACACAGTAAGTTTCTAAACACTTTATAGGTTGTAAAGAACTGAAAATTGTCATTTGTTGTGTTTGCAGCATATTTACTGAAATCAAAAGCTATTTCAATCAAACTTATTACAACATTTTAACTTTTTAAACATTTTAACAGGTCACGTTACATTTTATCATAGGACCCCTTATTTGATAGCAGTTTTACAGCCATTGAACTTGTGAGTTTTTGGACAGTTTATGCTTGAATTTGTTTGCAAGATGTCAGAATAGCCTCCCAGAGCTGCTGTTTGGTTGTAAACTGCCTCCCCTTCTCATATATCTTTTAATTGAGGATGCGCCAAAGGTTCTCAATAGGATTGAGGTCAGGGGAGAATGGAGGCCACACCATGACTTTCTCTACTTTTTTCCCCATAGCAGCCATTGATGCAGAGGTATTCTTTGCAGCATGAGATGGTGCATTGTCATGCATGAAGATGATTTTATTACGGAAAGCATAGTTCTTCCTTCTGTACCAGAGAAGAAAGTGGACAGTCAGAAACTCCACATACTTTGCAGAGGTCATCTTTACACCTTCAGGGACCCTAAAGGGGCCGACTAGCTCTCTTCCCATGATTCCGGCCCAAAACATGACTCCACCACCGCCTTGCTGACGTCGCAGCCTTGTTGGAACATGGTGGCCATCCACCAACCATCCACTACTCCATCCATCTGGACCATCCAGGGTTGCAGGGCACTCATCAATGAACAGGACTGTTTGAAAATTAGTCTTCATGTATTTTTCTGCCCAATGCAGCCGTTTCTGCTTATGAGCATTGGTTAGTGGTGGCCGAATAGAAGGTTTATGCACAGTTGCAAGACTCTGGAGGACTCTACACATTGGTGTTGGTGGGACTCCAGAGGCACCAGCAGCTTCAAATATCTGTTTGCTGCTATGTAATGGTATTTTAGCAGCTGCCCTCTTGATCCAATGCATGGATCTGGCAGAAATCTTTCTCAATGTGCCTTTATCTGCACAAACCCGTCTGTGCTCTGAATCAGCCACAAATCTCTTAATAGTGCGATGATCACGCTTAAGTTTTTGTGAAATATCTAATGTTTTCATACCTCGTCCAAGGCATTGAACTATTTCATTGTTTTCAGCAGCAGAGAGATCCTTTTTCTTCCCCATATTGCATGAAAATGGTGCTCTGCCTAATAATGTGGAACACCCTCCTTTAGTAGTTTTTCCTTAAATTGGGCTCACCTGGCAATCTAATTATCACAGGTGTCCGAGATTGTTTTCAGTGATCAAAAGACCCCTGAGACACAATGCCATCCATGAGTTAAACTGAAAAACAAAATATTTCATCTTTGTGACACTTAAATAGAATTTGCATAATAATTTGGAACAGGGTGTATTATGCAATATCAAACAGGAGGTATCTCAACGTCATAGAAGCTGTTATAGCTAGGGTCCTCTGAACAATTCCCAGAATGAATATTCAGGAATCCTTGGCGATATATACATTCAGAGATATGGAATCATCAGATGAGGGTATTCAGCCTATTTCAGTAGTTCCAGAATCCGCTCACGTGGACCATTTTGATTTCCAGAGTCCGCAGGTGCTTATGCCTGAAAGAATCTAAGGTTGAGCCTTCTACCTCTAGCCTTTCTTTTTGGACATCAGATGGTGCAGAGCATCTTTCCCAGTTCCCGGTCCGCTTAAGATCCTTAATGGAGGAATGGTTCTACACTAAGAGAATTTTTTAACACAAAGGAGTATCTCAGTCTTCATCCATTGGGATTTCAGACTCTAGTACCGGAGACTCTGCTCTTAAGTGGACAGTGCAGTACTAAGACTGGCTAAATGTTCTACTCTGCCTGTAAACAATGCAGGTTTTCTCTGAGACTCCATAGAGTATAGATGGTCTTGATTCTCTCTAAAGCCTATGTGGCAGCTGGCACAGGCTTTCATCTTGCAGTAAGCTCTTGCGTCAATCTCTAAGGATCTAAAATTGGTAGGAATACTACCTTTCTTGTGAATAGGCACAACATTCACAAAATTCCAATCTTGTGGGACTACTCCTGTTAACAACGATTGGTTAAATAAATCTGTTAATGGTTTTGCTAGTACACCACTAAGCTCTTTTAATAACTTTGGAGGAGGATGCAAAGCAGATACTCCCACATCTAATGTAAAAAGATAAAGATAAAATAGACCCCTACATTTACATTAAACTTACTTGGAAAGGGGTTGCTAAAAAAAGAAAATAATAATAATTTTGACTTCTCCATTTTATGTTGTGCAACAACAATTAAGTAATAACTGCAGAGATGCTTAAATGGACACTGTAGTAATTATAACCATCTATGAATTGGTTATAGAGCCTGGAGTCCCTTGGCACTGTCCGTCCATTCAGTGTTAAACTGATTTCAAGCAGTCTAACGCAACAAAATCTCAAAATTATACTTTAATCTTGGTTTTCTACATGAGTAGTTAGAAAGTTAGAATGACAGCTTTTTATATATATATATATATATATATATATATATATATAGTGATGTCCCGAACGGTTCGCCGCGGACTCATCATTGAGTAAACTTTGACCCTGTACCTCACAGTCAGCAGACACATTCCAGCCAATCAGCAGCAGACCCTCCCTCCCAGACCCTCCCACCTCCTAGACAGCATCCATTTTACATTCATTGTGAAGCTGCATTCTTAGTGAGCTGTCCAGGAGGTGGGAACAGTTCGGGACATCACTAATAATTTATATTATATTTGGTTTTGGGGACATAAGCCTTATAATAAGAAATTTCAATAATAATATAATAAGAAGTAAGCACCAGTCGGTTGTGGTGTGCCAGAACCGACGTATGGGGTAGGCCTGTAATAAGAGGGCAAAAAGTTTATGTATACAAATAACCTTTATTACATACATGTTACAAAGTTAAACCTTTTAAATGCTAATCTCAATTCCTGTCCTGGCTGAGGTATATAACTGGTATATGCTGCTGACTTCCAGCGTCCTAACCTTTTAATGATATGAACAGGGACATTGTGGCTTGACGCCGCGGAAGCGGCTTCAATTCTGAAGGAGTTGACAGAAAAAGCAGAGAGGTCAAGACCGAGTCTAATGAAGTGTTATTATGTAGAAAATGAATTTAGTGGTCAGAGGTTTGGCATGTAAAAGGAGTAATGGCGTATTTGGGTTAAGACCGTCAAGTGTGGAACAATATGTGTCCAGTAATTTAACTGGACACCTGTGATTACCGGTGGGGTAATAGCATACTTTAGTAGGAGGGCCTAACTGGTTTGTTTTGGTGTGATCAATGGTAAGAACGTAATGGTCTGTATCTTTTTTTAGACTCCTAATTTTCAGGTGCAGTTGGTTGGACGTGATGTTATTGGTAGTGAATTCATTTGGCCTTAAAAAGACATAGAAGGCTAGATAAGCTGACATTTTAATTACCAGATTAGTGCTTGTTTCAAATGGACTGGTGTCTAGAATGTCTGAAAGTGCTCAAAACTTAGGCCGTCAATAGGAAGTCTGGTATTGGGTTTGTCCATGTGTTGGATACCTTTCAGAATTTTTTTAACTGGATAGGTAGACATGAAAGGATTCGTACTAGGGTAGGCACTTAGGATGTGATGTATTCCTGTGAGGTAGAGTTTTATGGTGTTTAATGATAATTTTAAGTTATGGTGGCAAAAGGAGATAAACGCCACTATGGAGTTGAGGTAGTGTGTGTCGCCAATCTGGTAAGCTAAAGTGAATTTGGTATAGAGAGTGAATGCTCTATTGTAAGCCCGTGATGTATTGGTAGAGAGGGCCTGAGCTGACCAGATATCTGCTGTGTGCGAAGAGGCGCTCTATCCAGGATTAGGTCTTGATATGAGGAAGTGCTGACCGGACTGATGTTGTCTGTTGGATGGTCTCTGAAGAAAACCTGCAAATTATGTCAAGTCAACACGTCAGCGGCTGTATTGATGCGTCCTAAGATATGTATATAAGTGATGTGAAATTGCAGTGTAGCCGCTAACCATGTCAGTCGTTGAATTAGACTCATGATGGTAAGTGATGAGGATCTGCCCTTATTTATAATGCCACATGCTGCTTTATTGTCAGAGCAGCATTTTACTGCTTTCCCTTGCCATAGATACCCCCATGCTTTGGAGTCTTCCACTATAGTGTAAATTTCAAATAGGGCAGATGTCCTGTGGAATGAGGGTAGACCACGGGTCTCGACCGGCCAAGAATCTCTTTACCAAGAGTCCCCAAAGATAGCTGTGAACCCTGTATGAGCTGCAGCACTGGTCCATATGACCGGGGAAGATTCAGAGATGGGTGAAAGAAACCTCGCTTTCCTATTCCATTGTGAAAGAAAACTAAGCCACATATGTAGGTCTGCCTTTTCGTGGGCATCTAGGGTTACCTTGTCAGTATTGAGAGGAAGAAGGCACAGCAATCTGGAATTAAAAGCAACCCTGTGGAATAATTCAGCATGCCCAGTAATGATTGTAGGTCTGGTACACGTGCCCTTAGCCAGAAAACCTTCCATCGACTCTCTGATTTACAGTACCTCTCCATAGGTAAACTGGCTTGTAACGATATTGTGTCTAGGTGAATACCCAGGAAAGTTAGGTTAGTTGTAGGGCCTACAATTTATTTCCTGAGATAATGTAACCTCTATAACTGAGAATAGAGCCATTGTTTTGTAAACACTGACTGGAGTGGACTGAGGAGATTCTATAGTAAGAAAGTAATCTAGATAATGTATGACTGATGGACATTCAACAATGTTGAGGAGTAGCCAACATAACGTGTCTGCAAATATGTCAAATAATTTCGGACTACTTTTAGCCCCAAAAGTCAAACATGTTGCGAAGTAGTACTTGTGTTTCCAAAGTATACCATGCACATGCCACAAGGATGGATGTATGGGTCAGAGCTTGAATGCGTTGGAAACATCCATTTTCCCTAACCAGGCTCCTACACCTATATTGCAGAGAGAACTCCTCAAAGGGAATTAATGAGTTGATGCTAGGAGTAGACAAAGAATGTGGAGCTGATAAATCATAAATTATCCTCTTTTTATTGTTAAATTTCCCAGTGACTATACCTATGGGATTGGTACGCCAGCTGGAAAAGGGGGGTCTTGAGAAAGGGCCTATTATGAACCCGTTTTTCAACTCTTTTTCACGAGCAACACCTCTGTGCTGGAGGGGTCAAGGAGGGCAGACTGTAAGTTAGGGCATATGTGAATACCAGTGGGGAGTGAGACAAGGCCAGTGTGAAAACCGTTGATGAACCCATTAACCAGAAAGTCGACTAAGTGATGAGAAGGGTGTGCCTGGAGGTAAGATGCCAGGTTGTCTATGCAGACTTTGGTTAGTCATAGTTTCATGTAAAGACGGTTAGGACACATAGTTTTTGTGTGTGCCCTGAAACAAATTGAGCAGACGTGCAAGAATCTGCACAAGCTAAATCCGCAACTGCCAGAATGAAAATTGTTGCAGATTTGAGCTTTCCCTAGATATACCATGGGTCTACACAATTTGTCTTTAAGACTTCTGCGTTCTGCAGTGGAAGAACAGAAGGAAGCACGACTAGTGATAGGAAGGCTTGGATCCACTGGACACAAGTTGGTGGAGTGTGAGATGGAAGCACATAAGGCACAAGATGGTGGTTTTTGACCGGCAAAATGATGACAGAACAATTGTGTATCAAGCCTACTCCAGTCGGTGTGGGTATTAAATTGGATGAGAGATGCCGCTGCCTTTTCGGAAAAAGATTGATCGTCATAAAACGAGAAACCACCATACTTGTGCCCTAGGTCCACCAACTTATGCATGTACAAATCCAACTCTTCCCTACGATGAGAAGTGGAGCAGATTATGTCACTATAAAGGCCAAAGGCAAGGACAAATTCAGGTATGGTAAGTCTTCGGTTGAGTCTGGGCTTTCTGATTTTAAAAACAACCGAAAGATCACCATAGCAGTATGCCTTGTTCTCAACTACGTCTTGAGAGGCAATAAGCAATGAGACTAAGTTTATGTCCTTGCCTTCCAGGATGTCTTTGCGAAAGGTAGGGGGAGCGAAGTGGGCAGGCATTATGATGTGAGTGGAAGTGCTAGGTATTGGGTTTGTGGTGGTGTCATTACCGTGAGAAGGGGCAAGAGGTGGGCGTCTGTCAAGCCCAACACTGATTGTATTACTAGAGGCAAGAAGGGACGACATTAAACCCTTGGTTTCTGTATAGTTGTAGGGTTGAAGGACCACTCCCGGCTGGGGAGTACAGGTATTGGTGATGAATAGTCTATAGAGTTCGGCCTTGTGAGCTGAAGCCGGTAAAGGGACCCCCATGCGCCGTAATTCAGCCGCGAGCCTAGGGATAGTGCAGGAACGCAGGAAAAACGTGCTGGATGATTCTCAGTAGGGGTGCTTGGACCGGCCGGGGTTAAAGGCCTGGCTGGGGTCTCGGGTAAAGCAAGTTCCTCGTCTTGTTCTGGGACTTGAGACATAATAAGAATGTAAACATTGGTAAAGAAGAGGACTTTAGTAATGAACAAGTGCCTGTGTCAACTAGCTCTAGCTAAGCCTAAGGTGAAGATTTTTTGGCCTACAATGAAGATGAAATCCTGCATCTATGAGGAGGGCTGAGTGGGCGCGGGCCACAGAATGATGTGGCAGGAACGTTGGCCTCTCGGTGACCGTAACAAGATACAATATAAGTGGGCGTGACATGATGAGGCCCTGACTAATAACCTACAGTGGTTAATGTGAGGCTCTAACTATGCGTTGGACTGAGGGGCGCATTCCTCCGATGAGGATGGGTGCTGGTCTCACAGAAGTAGATTAATTTACCGTAAGCTAGGAACAAGTGCAAGTAACTAAAAGCCAGTTAACCAATCCTAGCCTATAGTGGGATAGGCGTAAGATGTAAAATGGAGACGTACCTAGCCTTACAAATAGGTAAGATTCTTTCTAGAGAAGAATGAATGCTTGAGAACCTAAAAAGGAAAATGTGGAAGGTTAGGTCATAGTTGGGCCTAATTCTTTTCCCGGATTGTAAGTAAAACTCACCTGTGAAATGATGACAGTGATTTGTGGGGATTTTCTAGTAGTGATTATCTGAGGATAAAACTATAGTTATCCTCTATCAATGTAGTGAAACATAAATTGATAAGAGGAGTGGAGTAAGAATCCAATGAATTCCTCAAAGTTCTGTGGGGGGGGGGAGTAGTAACAGTAACAATAGACCTAAAATAGAGTATGTACAAGAAACGTAATGGGACATGTGGTAATTCTCAAGCGTGAAAAGTACATGCCTGAAGGAAGGGACTGCCACGTCTAGGAGTGAGGCCATTGAATAGCTAATTGTGGTGATAAGTGGTATCCGTGTATTAGGAAAGATAAGGCTACGGATAATGTGTCGGACGTGGAGAATTGTTTGGATTAGAAGAAACATGGGGTATTCATAGAAGCATAATAATGATTATGCTAAGAAAACACTCAATTATACGTACCCTGTGTATGGGATATTCGTGCCTAATGGGTAATTGGTGGACTGAAAACCGTTGAATGAGACTGCAAGGAATTTACACTGTTGTTATAAACACCTAGCGAAGGGAACAGGAAAACAGGAGGGCATTGATGGGCCAGGTACATAAGACAGGATAATTTAGTACTGCATAACATAATGGATTCACAGGAAAAATAATATGAAAATGTCTAACAAAGATTAAGCTCCTTTTTATATATAAAAAAGTATTCATTTATTTTATCGTATTAACGAAATTAACAGTAGCCTACAGTTCTCATGATTCGACTAAAACCTGCCTAATTAGACAAGAGAGTACAAGTGAACGGAATAGTACATGAAAAGTTGTATTCTATTAAACTGGCATGAGGAATTCTGGCCACTAGGGGTTGTACGTGAGCAATCTAGAGCCCTGCAATCGGTAAAATTTATGCGAACGAACCGTTACATGAAACAAAGAACAGAAATGTACGAATAGAATTGCAATACGAAAACTTATGTTCGCAAGAATAGAAGCCATGCGGCAGCCAAACACAGCGTTCGTATGGACCCTTTTGGGCAAACTCACAGTTCGTGGACCGATCAGGGGAACGCAACCCAGAAGCAATGGTAAAGTGAGAGGTCAGCCTGGAACTATTTCCGACGGGCTCTGTCCAACACAATGAGTAAAGTGGAGCGTGTGGCCGGTACAGCGGCTGGAACAAGGTAAGTAATACTTTGGGGAGGTGGGTGTTTAATCAGGCTGGGCAGACTTGATCATGGGACGAAGTAGTGTGTCTTGACGGGAGAACTTGGTTAGCAGGAACCAGCATGGGAATGATGCCTTCGGTGAGTGAACTGGAAGTCTAGGGTTCTACGTGAAGCCAGCGGTGACGGTACTGTCGTTGAAGGTGCCTGAGATTTTATAGCCGGGTAACCACTCCCCCACTCCCATAATTACAGGCTACGCATATATATATATATATATATATATATATATATATATTTACACTAACAACAACAACAGTTGTAATTATTGCACCTTCTTCGTGACATATAGTGAGAACAGAGTTATTTACTAAAGAGAGAATTTTGGAATGTCAAAGTCAATTTAAAATTTAAGGTCAAAGGCCGAACTGGAAGCATAGTTGGTTTGAAGAATTATTCCAGATTGACTATTTTGGCCTTAAAATCAAAAGTCACTTGGATTTCCTAACAATTCTCAGTTTAGTAAATAAGCCTGTAACTCTTTTTTTCTTTTTTTTTTTTCAAGTAGACAGGTCCAGGAATAACGAAAGCCATTTAAAGCCATTGAACACTAATAAGTCAATTGGGATGAAAATAATGCGTCTATAGCAGGGGTAGGCAACCTATGGCACGTGTGCCATGCACGACACTCAAGGTGTCTTTGCACGGCACTCAAGGCTGTTGAGACAAACAGGCTCTGGTCTATCAAGAGTCCCAGTGAAACTTCAGATATCTGCTAATACGAAAAGGTGGTGAAGGACAATCCTCAATGTATGCATTGCAGCATGTAGAGGAACTGATGTCCTTGACCTGTACCTGGCCAACCTGGTCCCCAATGGACTCCAGGGAAGCCACCCACACTGCTAGATATACACAGACCTGCAGAATAAGCCTCCCCCTCATACAAATACGAACAGCCCACATGCAAACATACACACAATCCACACATATACACACAACCCCGCATGCAGCCTCTCACATGCAATATTCCAAACAGCCCTACACATACACACACTACCAAACACAATGTGACATATCCATCCACACTGACAATTTCACAAGCAGCTCCCATACACAGCCCACATTCATAAGTATCATACACAATACCACAAACTACTCATGAACATATACAATATAATAGCTCATATACACACACACATACAACAATACAAAGCAACTGCAGTATAAATAATACAAGCAGAATACGGCAACATGCACATCTCAATTTCAAAGAGAATAGGACCAGCACGCTACGGGGAATCACAATCTAAATTCGGCACAGTGCTGCTAAAAGGTTGCCTACCCCTGGTCTATAGTAATACTTTAATTTGATTGACATTTATAAGCTACTGATAAAGATTAAAAAAGTAGGTGTGCCTTGTAAATATTTGTTTTATTGAAGTCAAAGACCTTTTTACAACAAAGACTGAGAACCACTAGTACATATTCTGCACTACTTTGTGATGCCTTTAAATTGTTACAACTGCGAATAAGAGTATGTGAAAAACCTTTTGAGTGGAAATACAGGTTTTTGCCAGGAGAGATAGGAGTGCTTGCGTAAAGAAACCATTACTCAGGAAGATGATGATAGAGTGTGTGTGTGTTTATTATTGAACAGCTATATTCTACATTGGATGGTCCGGTATATGAATGTCACCAAACATATTGCCCCATTTGGTTTGTATACTGAACTGACAGACCACCCAGAACAGTCGTATGCCGCTCATTGACCTTCCTGACCCTCATTATCACCTTCGTAATCTGCAATTACCACAACATTCTAAGCGGTCGGCTGGGTGGGTGCCGTTCGTATGGACGAACACGTGGCGGCGGCCATCTTTAGTCGCATACGTGTACAGCGGTGTTTGGTCATCGAGTGTATGGAACTATAATCAGGTACTCGACGGCGCAAACACCATTGAGACTTCCATCCCCACGCATGTTTGGTTATATTCGTCTGGGAAGAGCGGCGTTCGGTGGCAACACACTCCTAAACAAGGGGCACAAAACCAGTGTACGTACGAACTGTTATATTCATGGTTTTATTGTATTTTATACTCCCGAAAGAGACCGACCTTCCCAATTAAACAGAGAAGATTACATTATCTGAGTCAATGGAGTTCTTTATTTTTTTCTTTGCTTTTTTTCTTCTTTTCTCTGTCTTTTAGCATCTCCGCAAAAACATGTGTAGTTCATTTCAACATACAATAGTACCGTTTGAGGCTCTGATGCAGTCAGGTGGTATAGCCTCAGATATGGAAATTTCTTTTCCATGAATCTGTAGTGTAGAGTTGTGTTCTTTTGATGTAGTCATCATTATACCTTTGGTAGCTGGTTGTACTGTAGAGTAGATAGGGTCTTGATTGTATGTTATCTTTACGGGATTAGCTTCCACAAATCTCAACCAGATATTGTTCATATCTGTTGAGTTTTCTTGTTGGTATTATAGTACCAACGCTGGCTTTTACAGGCACCCAAGTGACGTTTAGTAGTATTCTTTATAAGTCAAAAGAGCGGTTCATTGGATGTTTTCATCATTATACCTATAGTAGCTGGTTGAATTGAAGAGTGATTAGGTTCTTGATTATTGTATCTCTCAGGGGTTTTAGTATTCCTATTCCCTCTAAAATATCCAGAAAACTTTCATTTCTCTTGAGGTCTTCTCTTGATATGATAGTATCATCACGGGCTTTTAAAAGACCAGGGGCACCAAGGGATGTTAGCAGTATTCTTTTTTTACTGCGGACCGACTGATGGGAATAGTAGTCATAGTAACCACCATAGGTTCAGGACATTCGCTCATGACTTTATCCTCTGAACGCATGCCATCTGAGGGCGGAGCATTGTAGTCTCTCTATACAGATCCCTCATCTGAATAATAAGATGCTAGGGAATCATCTGAGGGAGGAAAGGTAGGTATGTCTGCTTTACGTAGATCAGACGTACTGTAGTTTGTGTCTTTGTATATAGGAGTGCTTGTTTCTGTGGTCTTTATCTTAGGTTCAGCGACTGCAGAAGGTTTAGGAGGTCTTCTTTGGAAGTATGCGATTCTGTGCCCTTTTTCTCCACAAAAAAAGCATGAATCCTCTTGCCATCTTTTGTCCATTTCAAGTTTTGTAAGCGGTTCTCGTTTCCTGCTTTTCCTGGAAGGAGAGACTGTCTTAGTCTTTTTCTTAGGTGATTCACAGGGGCTTGATTGAAGCAAATATGAGACTGATTTACACAGTTCCAAGAGATACTCAGCAATAATCGTCAGAACACCTGTTAACCCCTTAGTCTCCGTTTTAAGGCCTTGAAATTCTGTCATGATCTTGTGCAGGTCAGGGATGAGACTGAAACTGGGGTTAACTTCAGGGTCTTGGTTTTTTTTTTTGTTTTTTGTTTTTATCTTGGACATAGGATGTCCTATAATAGAAATTAAAGGAATGGGAGAGAGAGAAAACAGAACAGAATAACAGATTACAGGTGAGAATAACTAGGCTATGAAGTAAAGGTTTTAGACAATAAGCCCAAAGTGGAAATAAGGTAAACCTATAAATGAAGTTATAGGTAGGAGTTTGAAGATAAACCTATAAAATAAATTTATAGGTACAATCTTGAGGGAAAACAGGATTTAGGCAATATGCCACAGGATATAAAGAAACAGGGAAACCTATAAGAGAAAAAGATAAAGCAAGAGAATGAAAACCTATTAATGAGATAATGTTACTGGAAAACAAACAACTAAACAGAACTAGACAGAAATATAAAGATTACCTATATAGGTTTTTAGTTTTTCAGTCTCTTTGGATTAGAGGTTGTACTGTAGTAACAGGTATTTTATGATAGATGCCAATATTATCTGGAATATTTGTAAATCCAATGTAGGAGTAATGCAGGTAGCCACAAAGTAATAATGAATTAGAGTCCCTCCCCTTGTCCTTAATCTAGGACCTGGCGGCCCTCTCAACTACCCAGCTGTAACGCTGGCTGCGGGGCAGAGCACCGCTGGTCTCTGCCCACCGAGTAACCCTAACTGCAAGCCGGAGAGTAACCGAGAGACTTATGGGTGGGCTACTCGACTAACTCAGGTACCGACCAACAGGAGGTCAGGTACCTGGTTAGTCTTCCCTTGGGAGGGAAGATATGTGGCGAACAGAACATCGTCACTGGTTCTTGGAGGGGCCTGCTCGCCAGCCTCTTGCCCCAGGACTATGACCTGGCTAAAATATGTTAAAAAGACTCTGTTCGTACAATTGAGATTATATGGTTCAGTTACCGAACAACCCCACGAACCATAGATCATCCTGGAGCTTGTTAACAAATATTAACAACTTTTAACGTTTCTCACCGCAGTGTTCTAAATGTTCGTCTGGGTGGCCGCAATTCCTTTGGACAACCACGAGGTGGCAGCCATCTTGTTCGCATGAACACAGGCAGCAGTGTTTGGGCACAGAAACTCCCAAACACCGCTGGAAATCTATCATCACCTGTGTTCGGTTCTATACAGTTTAGAAGGACACTGCTCGGTGAAATCATTCGTCTGGATGAGGGAAACAAGCTCCAGGGTTAAGACTATTGACTCTGTTCGGTAGTTTGTTCGTTTTCAAACTATCGAATTAGACCGACCGCAAGCCCTGATTCTCTGGAATGGTTCTGGGCAGGGGACCATGCCTGCGGTCAGTCAAATGACTTTCAGCAAATTCCTGAACCCCTGAACTGGGTGATTTTTGGATATGTTGGTCACCGAGATCAGGGCTATCAGGGGATGTAACTGTGGGGTTTTATGTGTTTTGGGGGCACTTCTGGGGTGTTTGGGAATTATCTGTTTATGTATGGCCTTGTCCTGGATCTGAGAGCCAATGTAATTATGTGTTTTGTTTCTGCTGTGGTTTACTCTCAGATCCAGGGGGGAGTGCCCCTTGCATGGGGACTGTCATAAAAGGCCAAGTGTGGTCCCATTAAAATCAGTCCACTTCACCCTCAACATGCAGCCTCGTCTAGTGTTTGTAGGGAATAGCTATACCTGCTTTGGATTACTATACTGGCTATAATCACTAGCTCTTGTAAGAGCTACACAGCCAGACCTGCTATACTCGCTGGAGGAGGAGAGGTCCACCCACTGGAAGCTGGATCCTTAGGTCTAGGGTGGGTGGAGGACAGCGGGACCCCAGCCAAGCTGCGGCAGCTAAGGGCTATGGTGCTTATGTGGTCTGGTGCAATGCTTATGGTACTCAAGGCGACTAGGAAGCAGTGATTGGCAGAGGCACCCAGTCAGGGTGCCTGGTGGTCTGTTGCAATGAGTAAAGCAGGTTATAAAGCCAATAAGGTAAGTCCACAGGTTATAACACAGGAGCCAGGATATGAAGTATTTCAGGCAATCCTCAACTTCAATGTCAAGGCCATGAGGTGAGTTGGGTGTAACCTTTTTATTGGATCTGAATTCGTCCAGGCAGGTGAGGATGAGATGGAAATCTCTGTGCTAGTGGTTAGGGAGGCCACCAGTGGCAAATAAAATCAGTGCAGGAACTTGGTTTTTAAAGGAACAGAACAAAAAGTCTTGTTTGCCAGGATAGGATACTGACACATATACACACAGCCACATTATGTGATATTTTGGATTTCAGTACTATATATATATATATATATATATATATATATATATATATATATATATATATATATATATATATATATATCTCTATATATATATATCCAAAATATCTCATAATGTGGCTGGGAGACATAGCATAAAGAGAGAATAGGAATAAGGCCCATAATTGAAACCTGTACTTGAGAGGAATTCATACCAGAGAAAGTTGCAGATGTGAATTAGGGTCTGAAGGGACAAAAAATATACGGTGTAAAGAAATGGGATCAATGGGTGTAGACTATGAAGCAAGAATATAAAAGAAGTGCAGAAACTTCCTGTTAAGTGACTGGGCAAAATAAATTTAGACGGGAAAAAAGAGCCAGAAGTGAATATCTGGGGTAATTACTGCTTATATGAATGAAACACGTCTAGTGTTACCTTAATTATTATTTTATTTTTTTTAATAATTTTGACTACTGAAGCACCCATACGTTCATATAATGACTTTGGGCAGGGAATATGTTAAGAGAAGCCATATTGTGCATCTTTTGGTCCTTTCCTTTAAATTTTCTTAGATGTATACATACATTCAAATATATACATACTTTAAAATGAAACATAACTTGTTTTTTTTTATACATAAAAAAGACACCTGTCTCTAGCTCGGACTTCCCACAGATGTAATTGTTCATACTGATGTTCTCTCGACAATCTTTACATTGATTAAGAAAATATCCTGCTAAATGGCCTCTTAAAGAATTTCCACATAGAGATTTGTAGTTATTGGAATATGTCTCGGTGGGTGATCTTTATGATATGACCTCCTTTTGTATTGATGTGAAAATAGCAAAATTGATGCAGAACATTTCTCATGAAGTTGCTAAGAACAGGCTAGATTCTTCTCGTATCTCTACTTAGATTTATTTTGTAAACTTTTGTGTGGCTTGGTTATAGAGTTTTCTTTTTTCTTTAACATAGTTTTTATAAACACTCAGAGAAACCTACAGAAGATACTTAAAAAAAATAAAAATTCTAACTATCTCAAATTTTTGTCACATTTAGTTATTTCAAAAAGTTAAATATTGTCTCTTGTATAACCTTTAGAAAACATATTCCATGCAAGACTTAATAAAATGGCTTACTTCTTGTTAGTCCAATGTGGTTATAAAATGTATGTATTTTATATAGTGTGTAATGTTTGTATTTATTTATTTAGAGTTGAAATATGTTTGATTACTTACAGTACATTAATCAAATATGAGCATAGAACCTTTGCAGAAATATTCTTAGAAGTAAGACAACTTGTAGTGGGTGGCAAAGTAAACCGAGAAATTATATTCCTGTACATAAATGGATCAAAGACTGACAGGAAGTTTAATGTGAACGTTAGTAAATGCAGACATGAACCTGCTGCTATTGCCAAATATCTCAAGAATGGAAAACTGAAGCAGTGCTTACTGACCACAGCGTGATTCCTGACAAGGGTTGTAAATAAACCTGAGATGTATGACTGCATTAAGCAGCATATCATGTATTAGCCATACTAAATCCGCAACGTCTGAAGGAGTGTCATGCCATATAAGATTACGCTACAGTCCTGTTGCTGCTATTATTATTGCGACTATCGTTATTGCTACTGTAATCTACCACCAACAAATTACTCAGCGCGCTACAAACATTGACTGAAAAGTATAACAAAGTGTAATTTGACGGAATCAGATGATTAATACGTAGAAAAAGTAACTAATGCAGCAGAAATCTAAATTTCATTTTTGCCTGCATGTTTCTTTATATTTTCGCAGATTATTATTTGTAGACACGGACTTCAGCACCATCAGCTTAAAAATTGAAGATTCTTGTGGTCGAGAACACCTAATCAAATTAAAGTTGAATGCAAAGGTATGTAGAAGGGAAAAAAAATCTGTTTATTAAAAATGTGTAAACCGAAACGCGGTTTCCTATAGGAATGCATTGAAAACCAATTAATCCGTTCTGGAGGTCAGAAAAAAAGTAGATATGAGCTGGCATGGAAACGAACCCGCAATGCGGAACATATACAGTAAAAGGCATGCAAACGACGAAGCTCAGCTCCCTACCTTTTCACCGCTTGAGAAATGCACCAAAGAAATTCCAGAATGGCTCCAAAACTCGATGCAAAAGCCGCTCCAACACCCCCACACTCTACGCCATGTGCTATCCACAGACTCCAGCATGCACGGGGCGGTGCTATAAACCTCTCAAGCCCAATGCATTCTGGGCAAATTTGCTTTCGTATTGCGAAAAAAAATTGTAAACAGAGGCATTATATTATTGGATTTTCATTTCTAAACCGAAAATTATGTTAACCGAGGCGTTTGTAAACCAAGAAATAATACTCTGCTACAATGTAAAGTAGTAAGTGTACAGCCTGTATAACTGTTGTAAATTTGCTGTCCACTCAAAATAACAACACACAGCCATTAGTGTCTAAACCGTTGGCAACAAAAGTGAGTACACCTCTAAGTGTAAATGTCCAAATTGGGCCCAAAGTGTCAATATTTTGTGTGGCCACCATTATTTTACAGCACTGCCTTAACCTTCATGGGCATGGAGTTCACCAGAGTCTCACAGGTTGTCACTGGAGTCATCTTCCACTCCTCCATGACGACATCTGAACTGGTGGATGTTAGAGACCTTGCATACCCCACCTTCCGTTTGAGGATGCCCCACAGATGCTCAATAGGGTTTAGGTCTGGAGACATGCTTGGTCAGCCAATTTACCTTTACCTTCAGCTTCTTTAGCAAGGCAGTGGTCATCGTGGAGGTTTGTTTGGGGTCGTTATCATGTTGGAATACTGCCCTGCGGCCCAGTCTCCGAAGGATGGAGATCATGCTCTGCTTCAGTATGTCACAGTACATGTTGGCATTCATGGTTCCCACAATGAACTGTAGCTCCCCAGTGCCGGCAGCACTTATGAGGGCCAAGACCATGACACTTCCACCACCATGCTTAACTATAGGCAAGACACACTTGTCTTTGTACTCCTTACCTGGTTGCTGCCACACACGCTTGACACCATCTGAACCAAATAAGTTTATCTTGGTCTCATCGGACCAAAGGACATGGTTCCAGTAATCCATGTCTTTAGTCTGTTTGTCTTCAGCAAACTGTTTGCGGGCTTTCTTGTGCATCATCTTTAGAAGAGGCTTCCTTCTGGGACGACAGCCAAGAAGACCAATTTGATGCAGTATGCGACATAATATCTGAGCACTGACAGGCTGACCCCCCCCCACCCACTCCTTCAACCTCTGCAGCAATGCTGGCAGCACTCATACGTCTATTTCCCAAAGACAACCTCTGGATATGACGCTGGGCACGTGCACTTAACTTCTTTGGTTGACCATGGCAAGGCCTGCTCTGAGTGGAACCTGTCCTGTGAGACCGCTGTATGGTCTTGCCCACCGTGCTGCAGCTCAGTTTCAGGGTCTTGGCCATATTCTTATAGCCCAGCCCTAGGCCATCTTTATGTAGAGCAACAATTCTTTTTTTCAGATCCTCAGAGAGTTCTTTGCCATGAGGTATCATGTTGAACTCCCAGTGACCAGTATGAGAGATTGTGAGAGTGATAACACCAAACTTAACACACCTGCCCACCATTCATACCTGAGACCTCGTAACACTAACGAGTCACATGACACCGGGGAGGGAAAATGGCTAATTGGGCCCAATTTGGACATTTCCACTTAGGGGTGAACTCACTTTTGTTGCCCACGGTGTCACGATTCGGGGAACCCAACACGCTGGCACACACACACAGAAAAGGTGCCGTACCGGACCTTAGAGTGGCCGGGCTAAGCACGCTAAGAGTAGTCAGGAGACAAGCCAAGTAAAGGGAGCCAGAAAACGGGAGAACGAGGAACAAGCCGAGGTCAAAGGAGTGGAGAAGACAGGATAATCGGAATAACGAGCCAAATAATTAGTAACCAGAGAGCAAGACGAGAACACTACGCTACAGGGCACTGAGGGACAGGAAAGGTAAGTATAAATACCCTTGGTTTAATTCTGATTGGATAACTTCCAATCAGAATTAACAATCACACGTGGGGGATATCTATACCTCCCACTGTGATTGTGGTACTGTTTCTTTAACACCGGGTCACTCACGTGACCCTGGCGTTTACTTAATTCATTGACCTCCCAGCGTGCAGCGTTATACGTGCTGCTGCTGGGGGGCGTGGAGGACGCGGGCGGCGAGCGGCACAGAGGAGACGCCGCTCGCCGACAGGTAAGCAGAGGGGAGACCGTGGCGATGGACTGAGGGTGAGTGCTGCAAGTGGCGTGCAGCCTCCCCTCCTAGCCGCCCGCGGATCCCTGACACACGGTTTAGACATTAATAGCTGTGTGTTGAGTTATTTTGAGGGGACCGCAAATTTACACTGTTATAAAGGCTGAACACTTACTACTTTTGCAGCAGAGTGTCATTTCTTCAGTGTTGTCACATGAAAAGATATAAAAATATTTACAAAAATGTGAGGGGTGAGATACTGTGTGTGTGTGTGTGTGTGTATATATATATATATATATACATATATAATCAATTAATTGTATTTTTGCCTTTAGCATGTTATAATTTGCAGATTGTTTACATTGTGGGCCACATGCTTATTAAGTTGCATTGTCACATTTTTGCATGTGGAACAGGAGATCTTTCATAAATCTGCTCATACATATTCAGGGAGACGTCATAAGCATCTATTATGCATTGCAGAAGAATGTATTTGTTACCAAAATGCGAGAGGCACTAGGTAATCTAAGAACCACATTTTGCCAAAAATCTGTGAGTTCATTCCATAATCTTTTGATGATATTCTATTTTTGTGAAATCTCAATGCAGTGTCTAATAGTGGATTCATACTGTCAGTCAATTCTTGGCATATTTTTTTTAATTTTTTGTGAAAATTTAGTAAAAAAACATCACTTAATGACTACTTTAAACATAACGATTTAAAAAAGGATAGTGCAAACCATGCCTTATTAATTTTCTTTAAGAAATTGCAAATGCAATACATTTTTTAATGGTGATTTTACAAATGGACAGATAATGTTCCTCACCGCTCATGGCATAAATAAACAAAACATATACTGGAAAAATTGAATCCCAAAAATTTAAAAATAGGAATTTATTGTTCTGCTTTTCACAGACACTGAAAGAAACGTAATTTTCTATGTTTTTTTTCATACATATTTAAGTGGTACATTTAATGATTGTATGCCGTCATGGGGGGGTGGACATACTGGAACATCTTGGAGCTTAAGTTATTAAGTAAATTGTCTGAAGAATTGTTTTCTTTTAAAGCCATTTCACAGTTGGTGAAATTACTGTTTCACTTACTAGTCTGTTAAGCAATGCTATAAAGGGGATTAGTATGTACTTTCTTCCTCGGAAGGTATCTTTTTAATTTTACCCTACATCATTAAGTTGGTGAAACAGAGCTCTGCTTGCCTGAAATAGACTACAATGAGATCCTTAGAATGCTTTAAGTAACCTAATATTGGATGTTTTTCCTGTTAAATTTAACATTCCCATCAGCATCTAGATGCAGGTATTAAAGAAAGCAGTATTTGTGTTGTCTATAATGTGCACTTCTAAGTGATAAATAAAGAAGCATCTGGTACATTAAATGAAGACGCTAACGTGCCAGCATTAATGTTGTGCCTCTCATTATTTAATTCAAGGTTTTCTGAACTGTTTGTGACTTTTTAATAATACCCTTTCTTGCCTCTAGCCACTTAAAGTCCCCTAAGCTCACAAAGCTAACTAGTTCAATTTTTCAGCTTTTATCTGTGCCCAAGAGAAGACAAATATATAACGGGGCAAGGATATTTGTGCTAACGCACATGTAATTTTGGTCTTGTGTTTAATTTAAAACAACACTTTTTTTTTTACCAGTAATAATCCTAGCACAAAATGTAAAATAGCAGGTTTCTCTTTCAGACTTTTACATTTTGCTCTATTAAGTAAAATGTATTTCTGCAAACAGGCAAAAAAAAACAAAAAAAACCTCTTACTGTTAAATTACTTCAAGCCTCAAAATCTGATTATTTTCTGTATTTTGCGTTAGGATTCCAATTATGTTTAATGTTCATATGATACCAGCTAGTAACATAGCAGTAAAAAGTTTTTTTGTTGTTTTTTTTTGTTTTTTTATGAGCCAACAAAACTGTCACATTTGATAAAAAAAAAATGAATAGGATAATATCCTATATACAATCGCCTCTTTAAAAGGGAAAAAAACATTTGTTTGCCTTGTAATTTTCAAAGTGCTCAGTTAGTGTAACAGACACACACACAAATGCTATTATTTATTTATTTTTTTAAAAACATTCTCTATTCAGATTTCAAAGAACAGACACATGTAACTATAAAGCAGGTGTAAATATCACCAGTAGACGACAATGATTCCTCAATATAAAGCATTCTGTAAAAGTTAAGCATAATAATTAAGGAAGGTACACACTTACAAGACCAGATTCGTTCCGTGCACACCATTGGTGGGGAAACCTTGAAGAAGGAGATATCAAAAGTCTAAGAAGGTAGCTGAAAAAATGCTCAAAGAGATTCAAAAGTAAGAAGGAAAAAAGGAAAGGAGGGAAGAAAACCAGAAGAAAAGAGAGAGTAGAGAAGATGGCGAGAAGGGGAGAAAGGAGATGTCTTCTCAAGGGTGTAGTGAAGCTATTGAAATCTAGTACACACAGGAATATGAAGGCTAAAAATCACTTATCTTAACTTGCACTTATTTTAGATACGAAGTCTAGCCAATGGAGCCAAGTAGTGTTGAATACCTCCAATCTCCGTAAAGGGTTTTTGTCAAAGCTCAATTTTACAGATTTCTGCTACTTAAGATATCCACTGTTTTTTTTTGTTTGTTTTTTGTTTTTTATTGAGATATATATGGAACATACATGTGAGTCATAATATGCATTGGTAATCAACATTAGTCAACAACAATTTACAAGTGATTGAGCCGTCAGTTTTTCTTTTTTGTAGGGTAATAAGAAAATGAGTGCACATGAATTACTTGATAATTCACAAAAAAATATATAATAAACACAATACAGAATAGATACTATGTTCTTTATGATCTGCCTATTCCTAAGTGTGGTAGAATAACTGAGAAGTGACACTTAAATATTCTCATGGAATCTGGAGCTTGAGATATAAAAACTGATTATACTAAAAGGAAATAAATGGAGCAGCAGTTAGGATAATTGGATCACATGGTATACTTTAAGATCACATCTCAAGCTCCACTGGGATTTGGTAACCCTAACCAAGTTCGGTGGCGGATGGGTAATTGCCGTGGATGGCGGCTTGGGCTTAACAAACATTTCAGCTACAAAGCTGACAGTGAAACCCATGGTATACAAGAAGAGAGGTAACTAAAAAATTAAACAGAAGAAAAACAAAAAGGGAAATAATTGTGAATCAAGAATATAACGCCGGTCTGTTTGGGAGTCTACAGTCTCCTGTTCGTGCTTGCTCATGTCCCTGCGCGCCAGTCTTCTCCACCTCTGGGTAAGAAGGGGACTAGGCTTGCTGGATCCAAGGAGTGATGAGATGTAGGACCATTGGCTGTCAGTGACAGCGTTGGGAGTCCCAGTGATTTACGGAAGATAGAAGTTTCCTTTATAGAAACAATTTTGTGGACGGTTTTATTATGAGTGACAGAGAGAGATGGTGACCATCTGTATTCCATGTTAGCTTCTATGTTGAACTGTTGAGTCACTGGTTGTAGTGATCTTCTCCACTGAAGTGTGGCTCTAGTGAGGTTATATAGTGGTATATAGTAAGATTTCATAATTCAAAAGAGTTAGGTGTTTTGCCATTTAAACCATTGCAACAGAAATTTGATGTTTCTGTTGCAATGACGCCATGTGTGGCTGATGATTGTGCTAATGAGGACTTATTTATGCGACAGGCCCCATCCAATGATCTTCTTGGCATAGTTTGGAGGGAGTATTGATGCCATTAGGCAACGTAAGTTATGCAGCAGTTCATTCATAGTGATTGCATCAGGGATTCCTCTGAGCTTTATTTTGTGGCGCCTGCAGCAGTCATCCAGAAAAGCCACTTGCATTGTGATAGTGTGTTGGGCTGAGCTGTTTCTTGTTTTCTGTTCGTGCAGTCAGGCTTTGACGAATGTTTAAGACATCTGCCTCAGTGGCCTTGTCCTCTATTAGTAACTTTTTGGACATCTGCTTTTACCACCGCAATATCTGCCACCAATAGCAGTTTTATGTCCTACAGGAGATTTTAAATGTCCTATTTAGTGGCAGGAGCTATACTACAAGGGTCTGCCTGTTGAAGATGGTGGTGGGCTGAATGGGGCTGATTGCCTAGTTGTGGGTTGTGAGATACTGACCTCCTGGCCGTCATGATCAGCCATTTAGTAATACACATGGTGCTGGAAGAGAGTGCCTATGTCTCGCACATCAGTCTGAGCACTGACCTGAGGCTTTTTATGGATCTTCTCATTTGTGTATTGCAGGCATCCGCCATCTGTGCAGTGTCTCCTGGGCTCAGGTAGTCCAACTCTGGAACTGTAGAGCCGGCAATGTATGACGTGGATAAGGCCCCAGGCCTGCAGCATTGCCTTGTTGCCGATGCCGTGTATAAGAAAGCCTTTTTTCAGTAAAATAAGTTCTTCTGGGTCAAGCACAGGCTGAATCTCCATAAGATCAGACGAGATTCTGTAGATATTTGTCCTTTGGTGCCTAAATATTCAGGAGCCTACAGTATGGTGTCCTCTCTGCTCCACAATCAGCTATTCACTGTTCTACACTAGACTGTATTTTTCCTGAGTGCCGGGATCAGCACCCTACACACGTTGAGAGAATGTTTAGTGAGAGATTTCTTAAATTTGGATTTAAGAGTGGAGACATAGTTGAGTAATAGGGCCGCTGGCTGGAGAGGAACCCCCTCCACCACTATGGAAGTGAAGGTCTTGTATACATGTTGCCAAAATGGCACTATAAATGGGCAAGTCCACCAATTATGAATCCTAGTTCCAGTCCCCTCCTTGCATATTTAACATTTAACAGAGACGCCTGAGGAAAACTCTGTGTAGGAGGTGAGGCATATTGTACCACCAAGTCAGGAGCTTGTAGTTTTATCTGGACAGCAGATCTGCTGGAAGAATTATAGAAGAGGATGATCATCGTACAACATAGGTCATCAGCAAAGACCATCTCCAAGTCATGCTTTCAATTTTTCCATGAATTTTGACAGAGAACAATATTTTCCCAGTGTACCATGTGTTTCTCAGGGAGCAGAGGGAAAAGTATAGAAATGTCTAATCTGATAGTGGAGTATCCGGTCAGTCATAGTACACTTTCTATTCTGAATGAGTGACGCAACAGGGGTTGTGCCAGCAGAGGTAGAGTAGAGATTTGCAAGATGTTCTTATTAACTAGCTGTCACAAAAAACCAAATCACTAGAGGAGGAAAAATTACCTTAAAACAAAAGTGACAAACTGGTTCATGTAGTTTGTATACATAAGTGGAGCGATCTATAGAAGTGGTTGGTTAATAAAGTGCTCCCTAGCAGATTTTATACATAACAGATGCATACTATAGTATTGAAATAAAGTTTCTTTGGAATATAGAAAGAATGTATGAATTAGATAACCTTTTTTGTTATAATATGTTTACTGAAACATGGTTCTTTAATGCCATACTATAAATCAGGGTACAAAGAAGGTTTAGAAGCAATCCAGAAAATGATTGGTGTATTTCAGAAATTTGACGGTTTGTGTGTTGGTAGAGCACCTCAAATTATTGTAATAAAAATGTATCCAATATAATTAGTAGTAAAAAGTGATAGATTGCAGAAAAGACAATTATAGTTGAGCTTGAAGGACCACTATAGGCATCCAGACCACTTCAGCTCAATGATGTGGTCTGGGTGCTAGGTACCTCTAGTTTTAACCCTACAGCTGAAAACGAAACTGCTATGTTTCACTGAGGGTTAATACAGCCTCTAGTGGCTGTCTCACTGACAGCTGCTAGAGGCGCTTCCACGATTCTCACTGTGAAAATCAGTGAGAAGACGCCGGACGACCATAGGAAAGCATTGAGTAATGCTTTCCTATGGGCTGTTTGAATGCGCGGGCGGCTCTTGCCGCGCATGCGCATTTGGATCTGATGTTGGAACGGGGTGGAGAGTTCCCCAGCACAGAGGGAGCCAGGTGCTGAAGAAAGGTAAGTGGCTTAATAGGTTTTAACCCATTCAGCCCTGAGGGTGGGTGGCGCCTAATGACCCTAGAGTTCCAGGAAAACGAGATTGTTTTCCTGGCACTATAGTGCTCCTTTAATAAATTTCAGGTAGTATATATCTGTAAAATACCTTTTATAAAAGGTTCTTACTGTATCAGAATCAATAATCCAAATCTGGAGTATAAAACTGCTCCAATTTACTCTCACCATCCAGAAGACCCAGGTTTATACTGACTGTTTAAATGTGTTCAATGCCAGCAAGAGACTGGTACCATCCACATTGTAAAGAATTAAACAGATAAGGAAAACAAATGCTTTTTTTATATTACATTTTCTTTGTTTCGTTGAAAGCCTGTACTTCATTTTCCTATATATACCTGTGTGTCATTGCTTTTATTCTATATTTTATTTTTTCCCCTTGCTCTCTGAGTTCAAAAGTTTTATTGCCCTATTTTTATTATTTTTAGTATACCATTATGTATACCATTAAGGATTCTTCGTTGTTTTATTCTTTTCTTTAGTATCCTAATGAGGCCCCCGATTGCAGTATAGAACTTCCAGTTCCATTTGCCATCTCATGGACACCAAAGGTAAGTATTTGTATTTGAGAGAGAAAAAAGTAATGTAAATTATATATTTAATAAGTGGTTGTACTTTTTTACACCGGGGAGCCCCTAGTATTATTTCATCATGTTCTGCAGGCAACAATTGCTACTTACTAAACTTCTTGTAAGAAGTAATTATTTAACAAGAAAAGGTATACCAGATTACAAACGAAGCTGATAAATATACTAGACCAGTGATGGCGAACCTATGGCACGCGTGCCACAGGTGGCATGCCAGGCCCTTTCTGTGGGCACGCGGCCATAGGTTTGCCATCAATGCAGAGTAGGCACCTGCCTGCCCAAAACGGCAGGCGCCTACTCTGCTTCCATGTCGGGAGGCAGGGGGAGGGATCTGTGAAGCAGCTCCCCTGTCCTCCCGCGAGCAAGCTGTGTGGAGCGTTGCAGCGCGTAAATATGGCAACGCTCCACACCGCATCGTGCGGGAGGACAGGGGAGCTGCTTCACCCCTACCCACCTCCCCCCCCCACAGACACAGTACCCCTACCCCCCCACACAGAGTGTGTATTCAGTGGACTGTGTATGTATTCAGCAGTCTGTCTGTATGTGTATTCAGCAGACTGTGTGTGTGTGTGTGTGTGTATTCATCAGTCTCTGTATTTAGCAGTCTTGTGTGTGTGTGTATTCAGCAGTCTGTGTGTATGTATTCAGCAGTCTGTGTGTGTATGTATTGCATTTGTTGGAGATACTAATAAATATAAGCTTAATTTTATCTATTTATATCATTATTTAAAATTTGTATCATTGAAGTCTCTGTTGTTGTGTTCTTTTAAAACAAAAGTTGTTAATTAGTTCGGACAACAGTACAAGCTGTTTTTTCTAAACTTAAACCTCAGTATTGGGAAAAAAGTTGGCGTGTATTGCGGTTTGGGCACTCGGGCTCAAAAAGGTTTGCCATCATTGCAATAAACAAACCTCATGTGTTGTGCTTGGTGCATTTGAAGTTTCACTCCAAACATCTTGCCTACTACAGCATCACCCGGACCCCTTCTAAAACGGTTTGAGTACTTAAGCAGAGAACTCATTGTAAGTTATATTTTCAGTTGCATATGGGGAAACCAGTTGAAGCATTTGTTGTGTTGAGATATTTCAATTGCTTTTGTTTGATTTGTTCATTGCATCAGCTGAAAGCCTGTAAATTTAATAAACCTAACTTTCAAAGAGGGTTGAATAATTGAGAGAGAGAGAGAGAGAGAGAGAGAGAGAGAGTGTGTGTGTTTTCTTTACTTGTTTCTAACCATGAACAAACCAAAATGCTTGCTTACCGTAAGTTTAAAAAAAAGTTAGTTTTTTTTGTTTTTTATTTTTTTAAAAAAGGGGTAGGGAGAATAGGTTAAATAGTCACTAAATAGCAGTGTTTAATTATTATAGTAAATGTATATTGGAAATGAAAATGTTGAGAGCTTGTGTGAATTACTGTTATTTTATTCTGTCTGTGTGTATAACTGTTTTGTTAGTGCTGCTGGACTTCAAAACTTGGAAGATCTTCCTCCTTTTTTTTTGTGTGTGTGAGAGAAAAATAATAGATGCTGCTTTGTGGCATCCATATTAAAAATGGGTAATTTTCCTTATGGTCCCTGTCTTCCTGCTGGGTTGATAATGTTTTGATGTATTTTTCTTTTGCTCTGATGAGAGGTCTGCCGCTGCTGCTCTGACATATTCATTTGGATGAATAATTATAACTTGCACAATGTCAAGCAGAAGATGGTAGGGTTTTGTGCGTCATGACAAGTCTAGTAGCCAGTGCAGGTGTCTCACAGCATGATCAGAAACAGCCCGTGAATTCTGGCTCAGAGGAGACATTTAGAGTGGTAAGAAATCAGCACCAAGGGCAACGGCGCTGCTTCTGTTCCTGTGCTAGTCAAATAAAATGCAAAGTGCTTCTCAATGACAAGTTTTAAAGCATTCATTTATTTGAGTTGTAGATTTTGTTTTAATTAACGGGATAATTTGTTATTCATTAAATGTTTAGCATGAAAAGCAGCTTTGTCACAAAAGCTGAATGTGGAAATATTAGTGCCCCTCAAGAATAATTATCCACACACTCGGACCATGTATCACTGTGATGCATATGTGGACTGAAAATGACTAATGGGAGTCTGCAACCCGAGATGCCCTAAAGTATGAAGGCCTGAAAGGAGGATTGTTGTAAATGACACTATCCTCTTGCCATCATTAGCAAGACATTGTACAAGCTATGATTATTCACCGAAATGAATATGTCAGAGGATGGCTTGCCTTAAAGGATTTTTTTTTTCTTTTCTTTTTTTTCCCTTCAGCAAAGAAAGAAAAGACATATGCCTTTTGTGTGTTGTGTTATTTGTGTAGTATTTAACAGCAACACTCTATACTCACATAATTCCTATTTTTCTGTATCGATACATATATTTTTTTTGTTTCCTTTTTTCATGCATTTGTAACACCTCAAATAAGTAAAAAGAGAACAGGTGACAATTTCTCCAACCTCTAATTATGTTGTTAGCAGGGACACTGCAGATGCATTGTTTTACAACTGTAAGTTAGAATTGGTATGTGCATGAAATTCAATTACCAATACAGTTCATTTATTTATCTATTTAAAAAAAAATGTTGAGCCTCATGATGGCATGTGTTGCATTATAAAGACTTCTTCACATGCTTACAAGTAGTGTTACAATAAATATTTAGACGATTCTCATCTCTGCTCTTGGACATCTTAAACATCCACATCATGGGTACAGTGAGACATTGTTGGTGCCAGATTGCTTTTAAGTGTTGTCCTGGCAATATGTATTTGTCAAGTCCATAAATATAGAAAGAGATCTCTTCAAATCCTTAAGTGTCGTACCTGTAAAACTCCCAACAGTTGCAGTCAGTCTTCCAGTTGATATAGGTGGTTGCAAACAGTTAATCTGTGACAGATCAGATGTTATTGAAGTATTCATGTTTCGATCCTACTAGATGAAAATTTTCCTTATATTATAGTGCATAAAATCACTGGTGGTATGTCCTGGGTCTTTCTCAACTGTAAGATTGAAAATTCTGACATAATAGTGAGGGGCAAAATATTTATTATAGCCTTATATAAACACTGTACATATGTTTCATATTAAAACACAATCGAGCTAAATTACTTTTTTTTTTTTATATATTTTGAATTTGTCCTTCCAGAATACCCTGAAAAATATATATGATCAAGTTTTAGCAACACTGGAGTCCTTAAAAGATTTTTGGGATGCTTTAGATGAAATTGACAAGAATACCTGGGTCCTGGAACCAGAAAAACCCACTCGCAGTGCCACTATGAGGAGGATTGCACTTGGTTAGACAATATTTTTTATTCTTTTTTTTTAATTATTATTATTTCATATCATTAAGTTTATCAAATAAATTATCATTAACAAACAGTTCTTCAGATGGAAATGGTTATCTGTTTGCAATAAAAAAAAAAAAGCAGTGAATGCTTGCTAAAACATTATTGGGGACCTTTGACAATGGTCAGACAAGTCTTGATCATCATATTAATATATGAAGCTACTACGTAAGCACAACAAATATTACCTCACTCAAAATAGTTTTAAAATTATTGGTGCTTCCTAACTGCACAACCTTGCTAGCTAAAGGGGTTTTGGAAAAAAATACTTTATGTATAACCCCATATGCATTTTATTTATTTTTATTATTTTATTTTTTTCTGTTATAGGTACCAATGTATCAATTACAATTGACCTTGATCCTAGACATCCCACCATGCTTCCTGAGTGCTACTTTCTTGGAGCAGACCATGGTGCGCTATTGTTTTAAAATTGCTCTAAAAAGATTCAAGAACAAACCCTTTCTCGTTTACATGTAGTATACCATTCATGTTCTCATTTGTATAGTCTGTAGTCCCCTAGAGCCCCTACGGTGACATCTGCCTAGTCTGTGTTATGTGTTACTATGGTTTGCATAGGGAGCCATGTGACAATTAATGTTCAAACTCGCATAGATCTCTTAGATTTTAGAGAAATCTAACCACATTTGCTATGGAAACATTGCATAGATTATAAAGTGTCATTGCAATTAAAAAAAAAAAACTTTTTCCTTCTTTTATTCCACTGAACACTTTTTGATATTATTAACAAAATGCAGAGGTTACAGCACAATGTGTTATAGCACCCACAATATGGAGATCACAAACTATACTGAGAGCGTGTTACAGAAGAATACAAACAACAGTAAATCTTAGGGGTCATGGAAGTACAATAAAAGTTTCAGGATTGTATGAGATGAAGTAGACCCCGTGTTACAACATATATTTAGCTTGTTTACAAGTGCCAATTGATGTCTGTGACCTTATAAATGAACATTTGTATTCTAATTATTTTGTGTTAACATATATATTTCTTCTAGTGGTAAATCCCTTAAAAGATAAATTGAATTCCAATATACATTTATGGTAAGTGTCAATATATGTGCCAAAATCTATTAGTGACTTTAATACACAGGGGTTAGAAAACCGTGTTAGTGCTAAGTTTTCCAGGTATAATTACTGCACAAACAGTACTACTCACTTTGTGCATATATGTGAGAAGCACTGATTGCACACAAGTTATTCTTGTAGAGCGCTCACCTTATTATTTTTATTTTGTTCATATTTAAGTCACAATGGGGGAACAGTGGTGGGGGGTGCGTAGCAGCACAATGTTAAATCTTTTTCAGTTTTGTCTTGGTTACTGCTGTAACCTATACTTGTTCTATTTGTGGTCATGTAGGTTTTCAGGATTTGAATACATGCCCTTTTTTGGGGTGGGATTGGGGAGTTATTCAGAATTGTTCTACATTTAGTGCATGCATGCATAATACTGCACAAAATATATGCTTCTTTGTGTATAAAGGATTATAATTGTGCATTTGTTTTGATTATTTATTTTTATTTTATTTTTATTTTTTTTACACCAGGGATCCAGAGAACGGCTTGCTGCAAAATTTGAAAGATGTCTTGGAAATTGAATTCCCATTAAGGTCTAATTTAGAAAAAGCAGTGAGTTCATTAAAATAGTCATGTTTTTAAGTTAACCCATTAATTTCCATGTTTTGACTGGTATAACATTCGCTTAAATTGTTAATATTTTTTTCTGCTCTTTTCATTTCTCAACATAAAGTCTGCACTTCCATTTCAATATGCTAAGGCCTTTTATTTATTTCAGAGCTCATACTAACAGCTGGTCTCCTAACCATAACATGCTAATTAGGATGCTTAAAAACAGTGATTACTTACGCTTTGCATACAGCAAAATGCTTGATTGTAGATTCCACATATACAGTGCCGTATAAGTATTCATCCCCCTGGACATTTCCAAATTTTGTTTTGTTACAGCCTGGAATTCAAATAAATTTTATTTGACTTTTTACTGTTTGATTCTTATACCTTACCAGACATGTTTAACGTGCAAAATATTTAATCCTTTTTTAACCTTTCCAAAACTTGAATGTCTGTCTTAAAATGGCCTTATCATACAATTGAGAATCCTTGACGAAGTTTGCTGTTCACATACAGTCCACATCAAACCTGACAGAGCTTGAGAAATGTAGCCAGGAATTGTCAAAATGTGCAAGACCTATGTGGGTAGGTCTGCAGTCTAACCATGGAATGTGAGTCCCTTAGTCTGCAGTATAACCATGGAATGTGGGTCCCTTAGTCTGCAGTATAACCATGGAATGTGGGTCCCTTAGTCTGCAGAATACCCATGGAATGTGAGTCCCTTAGTCTGCAGTATAACCATGGAATGTGGGTCCCTTAGTCTGCAGAATAACCATGGAATGTGAGTCCCTTAGTCTGCAGTATAACCATGGAATGTGAGTCCCTTAGTCTGCAGTATAACAATGGAATGTGGGTCCCTTAGTCTGCAGTATAGCCATGGAATGTGGGTCCCTTAGTCTGCAGTATAGCCATGGAATGTGGGTCCCTTAGTCTGCAGTATAACCATGGAATGTGGGTCCCTTAGTCTGCAGTATAGCCATGGAATGTGGGGCTCTTAGTCTGCATAATAACCATGGAATATGGGTACCTTAGTCTGCAGAATAACCATGGAATGTGAGTCCCTTAGTCTGCAGTATAACCATGGAATGTGAGTCCCTTAGTCTGCAGTATAACAATGGAATGTGGGTCCCTTAGTCTGCAGTATAGCCATGGAATGTGGGTCCCTTAGTCTGCAATATAGCCATGGAATGTGGGTCCCTTAGTCTGCAGTTTAACCATGGAATGTGGGTCCCTTAGTCTGCAGTATAACCATGGAATGTGGGTCCCATAGTCTGCAGTATAGCCATGGAATGTGGGGCTCTTAGTCTGCATAATAAACATGGAATATGGGTCCCTTAGTCTGCAGAATAACCATGGAATGTGAGTCACTTAGTCTGCAGTATAACCATGGAATGTGGGTCCCTTAGTCTGCAGTATAACCATGGAATGTGGGTCCCTTAGTCTGCAGTATAACCATGGAATGTGGGTCCCTTAGTCTGCAGTATAACCATGGAATGTGGGCCCCCTAGTCTGCAGTACAACCTGTCCTGTGTAATTATGTAAGGGGGTCAGAGATTTCCCAGTCCACTATTTCTTAAGGGTTAATGGGAATAGAGGGTGCCCAAAAAAGACCTGTAAAAATAAATGTGATATTTATCTGTTGTATTCTTGCTTGAACACATCATACAAGATAAGGTGTGAGGAACTTCTTTATCTTGACAGTCCTAACTTATCATTTGTTGTGAACAGAAGATAAATCAAATGCATGGTATATCCTAAGGACAACAAAAAGATATAACTGTCTGTATCTGTTTTTTTAGGATTTTAGCATGGACTGTGGTATATGTTATGCTTATCGGCTTGAGTCTGCCATTCCAGACCAGGTGTGTGATGATCCTCGGTGTGGGCAACCATTTCACCAAGCGTGCTTATACGAGGTAAACTTGGAAGAAACAGTACCATTCTTTAATTATTTTATATATATAATATGTTTTTTTTGTTTTTTTTTATGGGTTTGTGGAACGCATTTGTTTAAAAATACTAAAGCTATCGAGAGGAGATGGCATATAGGCTAATGTTAAACTTAAAATACATATTGTGTTTGTAAATAGTGTATATCCCCCTTAGATAAAGAGTAGCTGTAAAATCTCTAGCTTCATTTTCCTGTACAGTTGTGAACTCTTCTTGACCTGCTGTTTTAATTTCCAGTTTATTTTAATTATATATTTATAGTTTCAGATATTTTTGTAAGCAACTGGAGCTTGTTTTTAATAGAATATGTGCTTCATGTCCATATTCAACCTCTGATGTCCTACTGTAGGACTTTTAATAATTAAGCTTTTAAAGGTGCCATTTTTATTAACCTTGGAAATGTGCAAGGAATGGAGGTTTTCAGGTTAATAAGGTGAGTGATTGAAGCTTCTCATCTTTGAGAGTCTAAAACCTTGGACGGCACAAAAGCGCACATATGATCAAGGTCAGCCTTCCTATTTCTATATGCTTTTAACAACAACGAAATACTTTTATATTCATATTCATTAAAGGGGTTTTTTTTTCTGTAGAAAGCAACATTTGTTACAACTTCAAATAAGCCGAAAAACACTTTTTTTTTTTTTTCTCTCTATCAATTTAAAATATAAACAAATTGTAAAATCTATTCATATGAATCCCTTAACGAAGCATGATGGAATTATTCCATCATGGATGTCCTTCCTTTAAGCACCCATGACGAAATAATTCCGTCATGCACTAAAAATTACCTCAGATGAATGGCGGGGTTAAAGCTGTTGCTGGGCACTTCATTGTCCCAGGCAGACCAGCAACAACAAATCATGATGTTCCAGCACATGCGATTGCCCATCACAGTGCTTTGAGGTCATATGATATGCCTTCCTCCACCTCGCACTGTATTGTGAAGTGAAAAGAGACGGATTGTGGTGATACTTTGTATTTCTGAGTTTTAAAAAAAAGTATTTTAACAGTTTCATAACCCCTTTTCAGCCCCCTTTGCAATAAATTAATAGTTTCCCTGCTGTCAGACTACTTTTTTTTATCCAGGTTTAAATTTAACCTTTTATTTATTTTTATAACAATTCAAGGTTTTTTTGTTTTGTTTTTTTTACTGATTTTATTTTTGTAATTTAGTTATTTGGGTTTGTGGGAAATTGCAAAGCTTAGTGTTAATCTACGGGTTAAAAAAATAATAAAATAAAGTTAAAGTTGTTAACAATGCTTAGGAAGTTTATTGCCGAGGACGCTTACAGAACAGACAGCCTACTCAGAGGAGACACAGTGTCTCAAATTGTGATGCAGGTGACTTCAATTATATGCCTGATACTGCAGGGCCCACAGCAGAAAGTGTTGATTCCCCTGGCACTGCTTATGATGAAGATGACAGAGAACGCTCTGATGATTTTTCACCTGATATTCCTGGGTTTACTGCAACTCCTGGCATGTCTAGCTATAGCCTACTGGAGATTAAAAAACTTCTTCTGGGGGATGATATTTTGGGAACATAGAGTGTCTTATAACTAGAAAAGATAGATTGTACCCCACTGGTGTGTACCTGAAATAACGCAAATCTGAGTACTCACAATGCTAATGGGGATAATAGGGAAAGCCAAGTCAAGCATAAGGTTATATGGGTACATGCATTCCTTTTTCCCTAGACAATGGGTTCAGATATGAAATGATACTGTGATTTATGCACTTTAGCGACAACACTCAGAAAGTAACGCACCCTCCTAATTTCCCACTTTAATTTAAGATTTGCAAGCCTATATAACCCTCCCCACCCACCCAACAAATGTATCAGGGGTGATGTATACACAAAATTTGGAGTGCCAAAAATTGCCTACCCCTGTTCCATGGAGTCTGAACTGTTTGATTTGTACTTTAAACCCTGCTGGATAAAACATATCAGATACCTGTGCTATTTGTGACATTTCTAATATCTGCAACGAAAGCTAGTCACTAGCCTACATACAGATAATGTATCTTTGTCCCTTACCTATACATTTGTCACTTTGAAACTGCGTGGCTGCAGTACATAGAGGGGATAGATTGGCTAATAGATTTCAAAACATTTTTGTGCACAGTGTCAGTTCTGCTCAGAACAGGGATTTCCAGAGCTTCAGTTCTATTTATGAAAGCTGTCAGCTTAACTAGAAGGGAGAGGCAGAAAGAGTTGTTAAATTATGTCCTGTTTCTTCCTCAAGAAGAAAGTATTTTAGAATACCAAAAACAGTGCTAAATAAATATGTTGGCACTACATAAATAATTGTATTTTTGGTTTAGGTTTTTCATTTTGCATACATACTTGCGAATTATAATCTATCTGGGTTATTCAGTAAAGTCCAAATGGCCCTTACGAATAGGACTGTTAAATTGCATGAACAATGTCCGGATTTGCAGGGTCCGGAATTGCTTCGCACCACATTGACAATTATCATATTTACTAATGTTTAGTGCATAACATGGTCCATCTCAGACCTCCTTAACATATCCTTAATCATAAAATGCATAAATGTGTTTGTACCCTTCAATGTGAAGGAACTAGAGCAGTGGTTGTCCACATGCATTGACTTCAAAGGTGATTTATTTTCTTTTCAAATGCACTATACAAATATGGGTTGTACCATGCTTGCACTCTCCCTTTAAATGTTTCATGTTTGCCATTTCAAAGAGCATGTGTTACCTTCACTAAACTATTGTACTAAACTATTGTACATTGATCTACAAGGTTTCCGTGGGAGTGGGGGGGCAGCATTTACTGCCCATCTGTCTATGGCTAAAGATTGATTAGCAGACACATTTCTTTATTGGTTAAAGGGCAGCATTGGTTCAAAAAGAAATATAATTGGGTTGCATCTGCTTAATTCTGTTTTTGTATTGCCATTCTCCAGTAGAGATGGAAGGGTTGCAAATGTGACATTAACTTCTAGATTGTAAGCTTGTTTGAGCAGGGTACTCAACTATCTATTGTTACTGTTACATTTTGTTATTGTCTCATTTGGTAAATTCCCCTCTTATTGTAAAGTACTGTGGAATAAGCTGGCGCTATATAAATAATACCCAATAATAATGATAATAATAATAAAAATAGCTTACAGTACAAAGATGGTTCAGGCACTCCAAGGTTCAGAAATGGCAAATTTATTAGAACCCACAGCAATGTTTCGACCTTGTGGTCTTTGTCAAGCTATCAAATACATATATCGTCGCAAAGTAATTCAATCAAACCGTACTTAACAAATGTGTAATTAAAAAAGATAGTGACAGCTGTTGCAGAAAACCCAAAACCGATGGAAAATAGTCAAAGGCACATTTAAAATCAAAAAAGATAAATAAGTAATAACTAACCGTTGGAATTTTTTGAAAAGAGATTAATACCGCCAAAATAAATTAATTTAAACAGCAAGTAAAATATCCTGTCCTTGATCAATAAGATGTTCCCACTAAAGTTTAAATTATTCTGCGAAAAAATAACACATCTGTACACATACTTTAGAACATCATATTAGAATATGAAACATTATCATATTAAAGGATATACTATACATAATAAAGCCCTATCCAAATCACTAAAGTGCCAACAAATATATACCTCAAAAATTATCATATATAAAAATTTAAGCCCTTAGGGTTAAGAGTATCTAGTTCTTTGATCCAAAATGCTTCTCAGAATAATAATTTATTTTGTCTATCCCCACTTCTGGGGTTTTCTTGAATATGTTCAATTATCTGGAACCTTAATTGGGAAAAATTGTGATGGGCTTCTATAAAGTGCAATGGTATAGGTAATTCTAAAAGACCTGTCCTTCTCATTGATTTGTGTTTTGAGAATCTGTCCTTCATTTTTTGAGTGGTTTGACCAACATACAGTAACCCACATGGACATTTAAGAATCTATATAACAAATGTGGTTGTACATGTCACAAACTGTGTGATAGAATATCCTTTTCCACTATGTGGCTGATAGAAAACTGATCCTTTGATCATAGAGTTGCTACAAATGCAATTGTAAGAAGGGAAATTGCCCCTCTTATGTGATCCTTGTATGGGTGACATGGGTAACTCTGCCCTCACCAACTTATCTCGTAATGATGAGCCTGTTTATAGACAGATATTGGCTTATTTCTAAATTCTTAATATCTGGACGATGTCAGGGGATAAAGTGCAGAAGCAGGAAATACATTTTACCCTATTGCCTATGTCCCGATTTAGGTTTTGATGTAAATAAATCCTGTCTACTTAGAGTTTTCACAGAGTCTAATTAATTTTTCAACAAAATTGAGGGATAACCTCTTTCCTTAAATCTTTCAGTCATATCTTCTAATTGTTGGTACGCTGGTTCTGTACGAAAAATCAGTCTCTTGACTCTCATGTATTGGCTTTTAGGTAAAGCTTTAGAAATAGAGGGAGGATGAAAAATGCCATAATGTAAAATCATATTTCTATCCAGCGGTTTTCTATATATGCTGGTCTCCAATTTCCCATTTACTTTGGAGATGAGGAGATCAAGAAACGGAATAGAATCAATATCCGCAGTTATAGTGAACTTAATTGTCTCAGAACAGCCATTCAAGAAATCCCTCTTCGAGGGATTCCAATGGGCCATACCACAATGCCAGTGCATCATCAATATATTCCCACCATTTAAGGGCATATATCTGAAATAGCTCATTTTTGTAAATTATGCTGTCTTCCAATTGGGCCATGTATATGCCGGCATATGTGGGAGCCACATTGGAACCCATCGAAGTCCCCCTCATTTGACTAAAGAATTCATCCTTGAACAGAAAATAATTTTCAGTCATTACAAATGTAAGAAGTTGTAGTATAAAAGACAACAAAGGATCTTCAAAACCTAGTCTTTGGAGTGCCATACTCATGGCTGTAATGCCTCCTTCATGCGGAATAGAGGTATATAGATTGTTTACATCGAATGTAACCAAAATTATATACTGCACATTTTCTATTTCCTCTAATTTTTGCAATACTTCTGTGGTTTCTCTAACATACAACTTAATCTCAGGTAAGTATGGTCTGACAAGCTGGTCAGTCTGTACTTTCTTGTATGTTTCATTATCATTAAGTTGCCTCTCTATTTCCTTAAAGGACCACTATAGGCACCCAGACCACTTCAGCTTAATGAAGTGGTCTGGGTGCCAGGTCCAGCTAGGTTTAACCCTTTTTTCTATAAACATAGCAGTTTCAGAGAAACTGCTATGTTTACAAATGGGTTAATCCAGCCTCTAGTGGCTGTCTCATTGACAGCCGCTAGAGGCGCTTGCGTGCTTCTCACTGTGATTTTCACAGTAAGAAGACGCCAGCTTCCATAGGAAAGCATTGTGAATGCTTTCCTATGAGACTGGCTGAATGCGCGCGGCTCTTGCCGCGCATGCGCATTCAGCCGAGGAGTAGGAGGAGAGCTCACCGCCCGGCGCTGGAGAAAGAGGTAAGTTTAACCCCTTCCTCCCCTTCAGCCCGGCGGGAGTGGGGCCCTGAGGGTAGGGGCACTATAGTGCCAGGAAAAAGAGTGTTTTCCTGGCACTAAAGTGGTCCTTTAACATAGTTCACTCTTATCCATTACCACAATTGCACCCCCCTTATCTGCTGGTTTCACAACCAAATCGTGATCTTCTTTAGGGGTTTTAATGGCTTTTATATGGTTTCTAGATACATTTTGGGTTGTCTATATCTGTTTTTTTAGGTGGCTATGTTGGAATAGAGTATCAATGTCTTTTTTCACCTATTTAACATATGTTTCTGTTGCATGATCTATATTAGGTGGATTAAACTTACTCTTGTTTTGCAACTTTGTGTCACCTAATTTTAACAGTCTGTTGTCAGATTCCATCACATTGGTAGGAAAAATAGATTTGTTAAAGAAAACTTTCAATCTTAAATTACGAAATAATCAAAGATCAATATTAAGGGGTTTGGGAGTGTAAACTGGGCAAAATGTCAAACCTTTTTCCAAGCCAGACTGTTCTTTTTCTGACAGTTCCCTTGAAGATTAGTTGATTACTGTGTTTTCTTTCGCTTCTGTGGAGCCTTGTTCTTCCACATTGCTTGTAACGTTTTTCCTCTTGTGACGACTCCTTTGGATTCTTTTGTAATGTCTTTTATGGAAGCCTCCCTAGATGGGGGGGTCTCCCCTAAAAAATAAGCAGAGCTATTTTGTGACTGGGTGCCTTGGGATGAAGTGGAAGACATGCCAGCTGTTGTTCTTTTCTTGTTTTTCTGGAACGTTCTGTTTTTAAATTGTCTCTGAAATGAAGGACCATAAAGATTGTTAGTCTTATGCCATTTATATACATTCCGATTCTCGTAATCCAAAAGATCTCTTTGAAACTTCATTTTTTTCCTTTCTTTGATTTTCTTTAAATGAGCGCAAAAAAACTGGACGCAAGAGTATACTGAGAACAGGCCTGTCCTTCGGTGGGACCCCGCTCAGATCTCAAGCTGGTTTTAGCTCATCTTGTGCCATTACAGAGAGAACATCTCTGAAACATATCAGACTGATCCCACCTGCACGAGAGACACAGCAACCCCAGACAATCGTTTCAGCCTTGTTAGGCATCATCAATGAGGCATAGCTGATATCTCTCTAGGCACGGTGAGCAAGGGGTCAACGTCTGGATTACCCTTTAAACGTATGGAGAGCAAAAAAACTGGGCGCAAGAGTATACTGAGAATGGGCAGCAGCTGAAATAGTCTGTCCTTCGGTGGGTCCCCATTCAGATCTCAAGCTGGTTTTAGCTCAGTTTTAGCTCATTTTCCTTAAATGATCAACATTTGAAGCAATCTTGTTTCTTACTGATAACAATTTCTCTCCTTGAAAGTGCTTTTCTATTTCAGCCTCTAATTGCACAACCTCATTTTTGGTTTTGTCTAGAAATTCCAAATTCAGTCGCATCCAGTCCATGGAGCATTTATTAAAAATAGCCTTCAGTCTTGAACAACATATTGCATTTTCTTTAAACAAGGTGGGTTAAGCATGCGTCCGCATACCCTTAGGATTACGCTTGGTCTTTTAATGTTAATAAATTCATATTATAATTATTAATTTAAAAAAATTAAAAGATGCGTTTTAGAAAAACAGACCCTTTTTTTTTTTAAATTTGGGTTACATCTTGATCTATATTAAACACGTGGGTTTTTTTTCTCTTTTTTTTTTTTTTCTCAGTGGTTAAGAGGACTTCCTTCCAGTAGACAAAGCTTCAATGTCATGTATGGTGAATGTCCTTATTGCAACAAGGTAAAATTACAGTTTGTCTGTACTCTTATTCACTATTTTTATTCAAACCCTATTTAAGGAACTATAGATATATTTGGATTTCGAAATCAAACCAATATTAAGGGCCCACATCTCTTATTTTGATTTTTAGTCTTCACAAAATAAAAATAAGTCCTCAAGCCTCCCCGATAACTTACCTTTCAGATTGTAATCTTGTGGACAGGGGGCTCACAAAAGAGATATGACATGAAAAGTGTAAAGTAAAATAAAGCCTATTGGTTAGCTATAATCTCTGGTACGTAGCTTATATTTCAGAAGTGGTCTTGAGCAGTGTACATATTTTATTTACAGGTACACTATAGTGGCAGGAATACAAACTAATATAGTTCTAATATTGCTATTTAGGTCTCTGACGACCCCCCATCCCCTATTAAAAAGGTGATTTACTCACCTTTTTCCAGTAACTCGCAGCTCTGCCCACAATCCGCCCCCTTGACTGAGATCATCAAATTTGATCAGCTAAGCCAGGCTTCCCCAAACTTCGGCCCGCCAGATGTTGCTGAACTACAACTCCCATGATTCTCAGCCTATGAATAAAATAGGCTGATAATCATGAGAGTTGTAGTTTAGCAACATCTGGAGGGCCGGAGTTTGGGGGAGCCTGATCTAAGCCAATCCAATGCTTTCGAGGCTATTGTGCATGCACAGCAAATCTTTGCGCTGCGCCAGTTAACATCTTAATCAGAATCAATGCATCTCTATAAGGAACGTTCAGCAGCACCTCCATGCAGAGCGCAGAGATGCTGAACGTCACAGCACTAATCCAGAAAGCACCTTAAGTGGAAGCATTGGAGTTGTCCCTTCTCTGAAAAGGTAGTGATTACATCAAAATGTCTGCAGGGACAGGCTATAGAACCAGAACAACTACATTGAGATGTAGTTGTTTTGGTGACTATAGTGTCCCTTGAATGAGCCGATCTATAAAACAGATGCAATGCCAGATAAGCCACTTTTGAGACTTCTGGTTTAAAGGGTATCTCTCAAGCCTCAAAACTACTTATGCTCAATCCTTTCTCAAAAGAGAGACATTCAGACAGCTACCCACTAGTGTCTTCTGACAAATAGTCTATATAACTTAATCTATTTGACTTCCGTTATCAGCATGCACAGTAGACAGTGGATGTGCGTGCAGTAATTTTCATATAGAAGTTTTGGATTTATGGATTGCAATATTTGCTCTATATGATGTATGTCTCCAATGAAGTCTGTCCTGGTGCTGAAAAGTATGCAACTGTAAAGTATGTTTTTTTTTTTTGTTTTCTTCATGCACTGATTAAACACACCTGTTTTTAAAAAGGGTAGTGAAGCATTTTATTAAAATATAAAATCTGTTTAATTCATCTTATCACTTTTTTTGTTTTTAAACAGCCAATTACTCTGAAACTATCTGCTAAAAGATCTTGAGGTTTCCACCTGCTAGCAATTCTTGAATATGAGTAAAGGAAAAACAAAGATGCCACCATATTGTGTTATAAATTACATAATACACTGATCATTATCAAGAGAAGAACTATGATTAAGCTAGCTGTATATATGTTGCTTTGCTCCTGGTTATTTTCTTCTGATTGCCTTTGGGTTTTGCACTCTTCACGGATACCGTTTTCAAAATGTGAAGTTTCTCTGTCTTTACAAATATTGTAGTTTTGAACAAACCTTACATTCACTGTACCCTGTGAATAAAAGAAAATAACTCTGGTTAAAAAGAAACCATATGTCTTGCTTTATACTGTTACACATTTTCACAAAGAGAGAAATATATACTGGAATACGGAGGTGTGTGCTGTTAAATTAAAATATAGCCAAGTATGCGGCCTATTACTCTTCAGTGAATGGGCTAATGATCACTCACAGAAAAGGTTAGCAGGCCCCCACCCACACACACCTAAAAGCCATGCTGGCTATAGGGCATTATTATATTGCCTGAAAGTTAGACCTAACTTTATATCCTTCCCCTCGCCTCCCTTCCCACTTGCGTCTGAATTGTGGCTCTTTCTATAAGTTAGCAAGGGGCTTATGGAATGAGCTATAAGTCAGACCCCTCTTTCCTAGTTTTTCGAATCCACCAATTCTTTATCTTCACCTACATTACGGAGACAGTCCAGACGGTCTTTCATGCATAGCATTTGATACATGTAATTGGTCCATTTAATTTCCTCTATACCACAACAAATTCATCTAAATAAGCAACTCACTGTCTTGAGACATTTATGCCACAAACCTATCTGTATAAGGTTTTGTACCTTTACAGTCTCCTACAAACTGAGTTGGCTAAATCCACACCATCTGTCATGGGAAAGTGCAAGATGATGCTCTGGGTTACGGTCACTCCTGCTCAGTAGTATAAAACCAGTGACTTGGCTCATCACTCCTTACTCTTGAGGAAAACTCAAGAGAGACAGCATATACTAGTGTTTTCCAAACCATTACTCAAGACACATCTACCAGTCCAGGATTTAGGGAATAACTAGTTGTGTCAAAGTGTTAGATTTTTTTCTTTCTTTCTAAAAACTCCTTAGACACAACTGGGTAATCCCTAAATCCTGGACCTTGAGGACAGGTTTGGAAACCACTGGACTATACAATTGCTTTCTCAATGGAACAGTGCATTGCATGCTCTACAACTCATTGATTATACCAATGAGAAATACTGGTGGTGCTTTAATGCTTTAGGCACACTCCTGCAATGGCCATCTTTGATCAGAGGATGTCACACTTTAACAGTGCCACCAAGCCCCTTGTAGATGTGAAGTCACAGTGCTGGGAGGAAGTATGTACCAGACTTCCATGGTACTCAGCCAGATGCCACCAGACCCCAAGGAAGTCACCTTTCTGCACCCAAAAGGTATGGAAGCATAGGGGTGGCTAAAAATATGTAAATTGTGATCTGTGTTTTAGTGTGTATATCTGTGTGTATGTGCATGCATCCTAGCAATCAAACGCTAGTTCTACAAACAAACATATACAAACACAACACACAAGTACATCACTGCTTTCAAATGGCAACAGTAGATACGAAAACATAACTGCATCAAATGCCAACACAACGCACCAATACATACATGTTCATACACATACTCTATACAAAACATATATTCAAAACACTGCTCACAAATACAACTCTGCCAGGGTGACCACAGGTTCTTCCTGATATTATAAATAAGGGTAGCTGAGGTGGTGGACCTAGTTAAAATATAAAAGCATAGCTTTATAAAAAAAAATCTCGTAATTCTTACTACTTTTCTTCATACCAAACCGTCCGATCCTGCTCTAAAACATTTGCAATGCAAGCTAAAGTTACCTCTACCTTTGGTTCAGTAATGTTTACAAGTTGTGGGTTCCAATCTCCCTGTTTTCGTCTCTGTAATTCGTAAGGATATGGAGTGTAACCATTGCTCGTATACTTTACATCTTTGTGTTTTTCAGCACTAACATCTTTTGCATAATTTTTCCTAGGACTCTAAAATAGAAATGTAGCAAGAATAAGAATGCATACAGGCACTATTAAGGTAAGTATCACAGTTGCTAAGGAAGTGTAGCTGGCTGAGTATTATAGAAATGTATACATATATAATCCATAGCAGTTTCACTTTGAAATGTTGGCCATCACTGGCCTAGAATAACAGATATTCTATGTACAAATGTGGATTTAGCAATTTCTGCAATGCAGGAATGAGGGCTACTTTTACTCTCAATTGTCTGTAGATAAATAAACCTGATCTGATTTTATCATTAATCTGTTGGAAACATAGCATAACTTGTTTTATAGCTTTTGGACTAAGTTATTAGTTTGTTTCTTTTCAAATTCTGAGTTTTGTAGTTTTGGAATAAAAAGCCTTAATCATCTTCTCTTCTTTATAACCTTCAGTATCCAGTAATAGTTCTACATGTCATATTGAAACACCGTAAAGGTTCCTGGCAGTTGCAGTTGAGTTGATAACTGAATTAGAAATCCCAAAAACCTATATTTTGGGGGCAGTAAGGGATTTATATAAAATGGGCTGTGTGAATAAATCTTATTTAAAATTGACAGATACAGTATCTTATTTTATTTCAAACCTAATAATTACGCTTTAAACACTTAAACTGACACATTAAAACTTGCTCATTTCTATTTTGCGTTTTATTGCATGCAAACCTTTGGTGATTTCTGCAATCTACTGGACTGAAGATCACGATTTGCCACAAAATGTAGTTTACGGTCTGCCCCAGGACTAACTGAATGAGATCTTGCATGTTCAATAATCTGTTGAAAATATATTGTGAGATAAAGTTTTTGAACAAGGCAATACTCCTGATTTGAACATTTCTAAAATAATCAACTTGAGAAATAAGACGGATGGATGTGTGATTTATACTGCTGAGTGGTTAGCGGTTTACCAAAGCACTTCAGGTCCACATTTGATCATATTAAATGTTAGGGTATGTTTGATATTGTCTTTATTTCTGAGTGCTTAAACTCCACAAACATAAAAACACGCAATCAAAGCATAGGGGTAATGTAAACAATATTGAAACTGGACAATATTATGGTCTTGCATTAAATGGTTAACGTGCAAACACACTGCTTATTTTCGAGAATGCCAGATATGGGTTATACAGCACCAAATACATAATACAATGAGTAAAGTAAAATTAGGAAGTTTGTTTTAATTCTATTCCTGCTCTGGTTGGTGGTTATGGCAACCAGAACAAGTTCCCTTGTTTGGCTAGGCTGATTTCCAGTACTGCCGCTGTCAGCATCCTGTCTTGCCTCTCTAATTATGACCCTTTGTAGCCGGCCTGGACCTTTCAAGTGAAACATAATAGGATATTGTATTATCTCCACCACACACACATGACGAGTGCCACACCATTGTAGGTTTTTTCAGAAAAGTTTATTTGCAAATATATACTCTGTCCGTCTATCAGGGGAACAAAAGTCCTGGCAAGTTCACAGTAGTGCTTGTTTGCTATAACCAAATAATGGTCATGCAGTAAAGTGCAGGTTAGTTTTATGGACTACAACAAGATCTATACTCACTCGAGCTTATTGTAAAACTTCTTTCACAGAGCATGTGTGCTTATTAGAATTAATTTTCTTCAGCCCTCCATAAAAATACATGTAAACTTCTGATTGCTTGTTTTATTATGTATTGAATACAGATGAGCTAAACACAAAGCATACTTTATTTCCGTTATTTTATACATTAAAACATGACTGATAGCCTACATACAATTTATTGGCTTTCATAACACTAGTCCATTCAAATTACATGTTTTAAAACTACATGTCTGAATCTATTAAGTAAATGAGTTTATTTAAAGCAAATTTTATTGCACTGTCACATTTTGCTAATCCTTTAAAGAGCACAATATTAATCTTCCAATGATAAGTCTTTCCACTACTTCTAACCCTTTATTTTGAAAGGATGGCTTTCTAAGTTTTAATGTTTCACATATGTTTGTATTTTATCTTTTTTTTTTTTCCTTTCTTAAAATCCACTTTATAAATAAAGATTGATGGATGGGTCTAAAGAGGTGCTCACATCAATGAGAAGAAATCACATTCTTACAGCAATTATTTGATTTCTTGTACTTCTTTTTCCAACTCTACCCCAAAATACTCAATCTAGGTGAAAGGTTCACTCTGTTCATGACTTATGACATACTAGTAGGACAGGTTTATGGTTTATTTAACAATTCAGGATATATCAGCACATGATGTGCTAAATATTACAAGGTAACTTAGCAGAGCTGGCATTAATGTTTGTGGTTGCTCATGTAAGCAAATAACACGCCAAAAGGATATTCTTCCTTGCACACGCTGCAAACAAAAAGCCTAATTTGAACAATGCATCCATTTTGCCCTTGCTGTATACCATCAGCCAATGTTAATTAAAGGGACACTATAGTCACCTGAACAACTTTAGCTTAATGAAGCAGTGTTTGTGTATACAACATGGCTCTGCAGCCTCACTGCTCAATCCTCTGCCATTTAGGAGTTAAATCCCTTTGTTTATGAACCCTAGTCACACCTCCCTGCATGTGACTTGCACAGCCTTCCATAAACACTTCCTGTACAGAGAGCCCTATTTAGGCTTTCTTTATTGCATGTTCTGTTTAATTAAGATTTTCTTATCCCCTGCTATGTTAATAGCTTGCTAGACCCTGCAAGAGCCTCCTGTATGTGATTAAAGTTCAATTTAGAGATTGAGATACAATTATTTAAGGTAAATTACATCTGTTTGAAAGTGAAACCAGTTTTTTTTTCATGCAGGCTCTGTCAATCATAGCCAGGGGAGGTGTGGCTAGGGCTGCATGAACAGAAACAAAGTGATTTAACTCCTAAATGACAGTGAATAGAGCAGTGAAATTGCAGGGGAATGATCTATACACTAAAACTGCTTTATTTAGCTAAAGTAATTTAGGTGACTATAGTGTGCCGTTAAATGTAAATTATTTTATTTGTAACATAGTGACTTCCAAATGGGTAACAGGAGACTATATTCAGCAGAACAACTACAGCTTAATGTAGTAGTTCTGTTTATAGCTATAATTTATGTCCCTGTTTTTTTTTAGTTTTTTTTTTAAGTAAACACTGCCTAGTAACACCTCTAGTGGCACTCAGTCGACCAAAGGTGCTTCCTATTTTAGTGCTCTACATGGAGAAGCATGTGCAACAGCCTCCCAATTGGATTGGCTGAGATCATCACGATTCATGATTATCACGATTATCTCAGCCATAGAGGCGGGGCTCTGGTGTGAGGGGATATGGCTAAGTAAACAGGCTTCTGGTGCAGCATTCTACAAAGAAATGTTTTGGTTGTGCAAAAACTATAAAGTTTTGAACATGCAAAGAATACAGCATACTAATTAAGGCCAAGATCTATCAAATGCATGAACGTGCTGGTGCTCAGAGTGTCCCTTTAATGTAGTCAATTAATATAAAATTGCTTAGGTTAAGACATAAACATCAGTAATATACAGCAGATTTTTTTTAAATGGCATTCAAAATCATTGAGAACATAAAGTTTGGTAATGTATGCTGTAAAGAACTAGCTTTTAATATTATGTGTATGGTAAAACAGCATGTGTAAGGTTAGCTATAAATATAATAAGGTTCCAGTGGACATAAAATAAAATGGTAACCGTAATGATCCGGGTCGTGTCTATGGCGATGGGTACACCCATGACTTCTTAATTTGCGCCATACAAGCATTGGGAGGTATGTTGACCCGGGAATTGCAAAAGTTAGACCAAAATAACTAAATAGGAGATGAAAAAAAACTCCAGATTGGCAATTTTGCCTAAAATAACATTTTGCTTTAATTTCTAGTTTGGTGAAGAAGTCTGAGTTACAGAGGTCCATGCATGAATTTCAATATTTCAATATATTAATGCTATTGGAAAATGAAATAAATTAAATTATGCGTTTCCGTCCACTAATTATGTATTTCCATACAATGCATAGCACGTTTTTCACTTAATCAGGAAAAAAAATTTATTCACTGAAATCTATTATAACCTCAAGAATTTTGTTCTTGTAATCTTTATAAAAGTACCCTGATCTGATACAGTTCTGCAATAACCAGGCTAATCTCTGGCATTCAGAAAATCACAGGAGAACTTAGAATGTGTATGCTTGCACTCAGTCAATAGAACACAAGCCAGTGAAGTGCCTAAATGCTGTTCATAAATCCCTTTTAAGTGGTAATTGTGGTCATATTGGTTCAGTTTGATCACAAGTCCTGTGTGTATGAGAACAGGAATACCTCAAATTACATCACTTTAATATCTGTTTATTTCAAGTGAACCTGTCACCTAAAATGTATGATTAATCAACAGAGCATAAAAACTGTCTAGGTGTTGTCCTACAAAGTATTATAAGAGTCAAAATATGTTTAATAATACATTCCAGCCAAAATCCAGTCAAGCAAATCATGCTTGTTTTATTAACTGCCAGTGTTTATAAAATACCACACGCCTGGTAAGAGTGCATTCTTCTTAGTCTAGGAAAAGATATGAAACAAGTTAGAAGGATTTAGAATACAAAATGAGCTTTTGATCAGAAAGAAGTTTGGGTGTACATCAATGGTATATGTTCCAACATTTCAAATGGACAATTTTAAATAATGACAATTTTAGGGATGTGAGTTGGGGTATGACCATGGGCAGGGCTGTTTGGAGATGTTCTAGGTGATTTTGTAGTAATTTGTGCAACTAAAATGTAATTTAGAAGAAAAACAATGTATCTTTACTTACACAGACTGGTTTCTAAACACATGTATTGTTGAATAAAGACAAATTACTGTGAGAAAAATAGCTGTGGAGCTCTGGTATACACTCAAACACACTAACAATATGGAGCATTTAGATAATATATATATATTAAGATAGAAAAGTGGGACAAAGGGATTTGGGCCCAAAATAGGGACTGTACCTTCTAAATAGGGACACTTGGGAGATAAGCAATTGACAAAATAGGTTATAAGCACAAGAACTAAGAGAGGCTGTGGGGACTTAAAGGGGATGTCACTTTTCTGGAATTTATACCATTGAATAAAATATAAAAATGCACCTATAACACTCGTGTTAACCTTTTATTCATGGATGTTACAATTTCTTTTAAATTTCGATTTCTCAAATTACAACATAATCTAGTAAAGGAAAAGCCAGGGCAAAAACTACAAGTGAACAGGCGAAATATAAACATTGGGGATTACGTACAAAAAATGGTTGCATACCGAAAAGTTGTCTAAAGTACTAAAACTGGCACACTCACTATAGAAACTAGTGGAATCGCAGGCATATTGCATTGGTGACTTCTCACCTTTTCCCTGTTTTTGAATGACTGCGGTGTTGGCATCTTTACGGTTGTATAGTAACATTTTTAACCCTATAAGGAAAGTCTGTCATCATATTAAGCTGGTCCTTAAAGACCCTTAAGTGGCACTGTCACCACTGTCTGGGGTGTTTGCAGAATTTGCAAAGACCCCTGATAGTGAGATCACCGCTGGGGATCCAGTGGCTTGGAGAAATAGGTGCAAATGTGATCACTAGGGGACAGCCACTGGATGTTGATTTTTTTCACATAGTAAGTGAGAAGTTACCAGTTGAGGAGCAGAGAAAAGTAAAAAACATCTCCTCTTCTTTTTCCCTCTATTGGTTTATTGTTTTCTCACTTGATAGTGATGTCAATATGCTTCTATCAGTTTACTGCAAAATATAGGTTATATTATTTATATTTGGCAGTACACTTTATCAGATGTTGCATGCTGTTTTGCTCGCCCAAATCGGTTTCCTGATTTTTTTTTTCATGGATGGTATTGGATGAACCAAACCTTTAAATGAATATATGTCAGAAGTCCTGAACTAAATTTAATTTTAGGAAATAAATGGTTGGACCTAACCACATTTTTCCACCATGCACAGGTCAATGCAAAACTAGCACCTAGATTAGCCAAACATACTCGATATAAACTCACAGGCAGACAGAAACCTTTGGTGAAACAAATCTGTATGCCAAACTTCTATGAAAAATATGGTAGCATATTTAATTACACATACTGGATTGTTAAATGCTGCAGGTTTTTTTAGGATGGCTTTTACGTGTGAAAATGTCAGTGGATCTCCAAGTCTTGTTCCAGTGGATTCTAAAATGTTTAACAGGATTTTCCTAAGTACTCCATAATTTGGCTTTTCATCATACCCCAAGCGGTATACTTCAGCCATGAAACTGGCAACTGCATCTGAAAATTGAGAAAACGGGTTAGGGATTTAATGTGTGTATAGTAAATAACCTGAAGAAAAATGCAAATAAGCTAGGTTACTTCTCCTTATACCCTATTCAAATGGAAAAAGTATGGTGTACTAGAAAAAAAACAAAAAAAACTAAATATTTGGATCTTCTAAGAAGAAGCAAGTCTCTCTTTGCTCTTAAGAATACAAATAAAGCTGGTCATTAAGCCGGGCATGGTTTGCAAATTTAGCACCGTCTCTTGCAAAAAACAAAGGAATTCTATTTTTTTGTTTGTGTGTTTGATTTGTTATTTAAAAAAGAATACCTAAAAAGACTGTTAAAAAAAAAATCTTTACGGAGATATTATTTATAAGCAAACCCTGACGTCTTTGGGAACCAATGGCACGTATTGTGTGAATGCTAAAAACCTTTTAAAATCAAAGTGTTTTTTTCCTTTATGTCAAGTTGTTTAATTATTTTACAATTATTTTGAAAGGCACATACAGAGAGCACTATATTTAAGCGATTTTGTTTTAACCCAAAAAGGGCCAAGTGGTTTATTAGTGCTGTGTGAAGAGTTAGAGTTAGAGTTAACATTCCAGGCTCCATTACAAAGTATGCTTTTTGCACAAATTATGGTGCAATTAGTTCTTTTATGAACTCCCTGTATTCTGTTACTTTTTGGCTGAAATGAAATGCAATTAATGCTACCGCTATAAGCCACCTTCCTCAATGTCATCACGGGATAAATCAAATTTCTTGCAATTCACGTGTAGGACAATTTTAAATTGCAAGAAAACAAAACAAAAAAAACAGGTGTTCCTCTAGGCCGTATGGATAGACACGCTATTGGTTTCCATGTCCCAGAATAGGATTTATTTGCCTTGATAAATCTTCCCGAAGGTTTTCTTCAAAAGATTGGAAAGCTAATAGAAGTTGTGTTGTTGGTGCTGTTAGCTTGGACAGTGGTTTCATTCATCTCTTCTTTCTACCGCATGAAAAACTACTACAGAGTCTTGAACTACACATACCTTAAACCCCTGCTAGGCAGGTATTCATGATATGTTTAGCACCATCCTTCAAAACAGAAAGAAGTATGTTTTTTTTTTCAGCCATCTTGTAGTCCCTGTAGAAAGTTTAGATTTGCAGGAAACGTTAAGTGAATTTAAGAAACATTCTGAGCAAGACAGGGAATATTTGTATTTCTTTCTTTTTTTTGGTATTCTTGTCTTCAAAATGTGCTCCAGTCTTGAGCATGTCTTACACGAATATGCTTCTATTTCCAGTACTTTTAAATTCCAATCCATTTCTCACATTTTAAATCTAATCCTATTTACGAAGTGTTGTGAGTTTTCTCTATACGTATTTACACTAAAATTTATTGGTAAACCAAGCAACACATGCGTATGTTTGTGTTAATTTGCTGGTGCAATTATTGTTGCAAAACTTTCGGAGCCTTTGAGAATTTTTTTTATTTTACAATATTAGTTCATCTGATTTGTGCGACTTCCAAAATATATATGTTTTTAACTAACAATGGGTGAAGGAACATAATGTTTACCCTTTCATACCAAGTGAATGAGCCCTTATTGCATCAATGAAGAAAATTACTTTGGCTTATGATACTCTAACATTTATGATGATACCATATGGAAGATCACATTTATATACACATTTTTTTTTTTTTGGGGGGGTGGGGGGGGTTTGGCAGTCAATGAGGAAATGGTAATAGAGGGCTATGATTGGCAAATAAATTAATGTTGTAAGTGATTCTGCAATTCTTTCTCTCTGCAGATTGTTAAATGATAGATTTATTTAAATACAGAAGGAAGGCAAGTGACTTGGGCCTATATATATATACACACACATACATACATACATACACACATACATACATACACACACACACACACACACACTGAGCAAAATTATAAACGCAACACTTGTTTTTGTCCCCATTTTTCATGAGCTGAACTCTAAGACTTTTTCTATGTACATATGCCACACCTGTGAGGTGGATGGATTATCTCAGCAAAGGAGAAGTGCTCACTAACTCAGATTTAGACAGATTTGTGAACAATATTTGAGAGAAATAGGCCTTTTGTGTACAAAGAAAAAGTCTTAGATCTTTGAGTTCAGCTCATGAGAAATGGGGGCAAAAACAAAAGTGTTGCGTTTATAATTTTGTTCAGTATATATATATTATATATAAAAAAAAATATATATATATATATATATCTCTTATATAAAGCAATAACGATTCACTCATAAATCATAGGAATTATCCGCATATGGTCACTTGTTGCATATAACAGTTAGCCTTCAATGGTGCCTAAGTCCCCAGTTTAGTAAGTTTACACATGAATATACAAAGGAGAACTGAATGTGTAGATTTTAAAATGTAGTTGCGGACTGGTTTAATAGCGGATTGCCAGGGATTCTACAGAACCAGATTATACATATATAAGAGCTGGAGGTCATGCTTAATTATTTTTTCCCCCCTCACACTGGCCTAGCAGCCATTTATGATACTGTTCCTAAAGTCTTTAAGGGCCATGAATCCCTATGGACACAATGTTCACTTCCTTCCATCATTTCAACCTTTACATTCCTGTACAATGACAGGAAAGGGCAGGGAATTCTAATCCTATAATTTCACGGCAATGCCATGAAAAAAAATGAATGTTCTTCATTAAATACCTGTATTTAGTTTGCATTTCATATCAATACAATAGAGGAAACAAATGTATCATGATGGTGAGCTGGCTGTTGCAGTATTAACAGGACCATTGTTTCTATTTGTTACAGACAATGCACAGAACATAGTTAACTGCCTTTCACCATTGAAGGTTACTGTTGATATGTACACCATATAGGTACACTATAGGCACCCAGAACTCTGCATCTCAATGAAGTGATCTGGGTGCCATGTGTTCTCCATTTTAACCCTGCAAATTTCTATTCCGCACAACAGCAATGTCTTCTCTGCTGGATTAAGTGCCTCTAGTGGCTCTCACTCAGACAGGGGTGCTTCCTCAGAACAAGCAGAATAAAAACCTCCTATTTCTATCACATGGTCTCATAGATAGCAGTTTGCTGTGCATGCGCAATAGCCTCCCTATGGGTAAGCATGTGATTGACAGATCATCGATCTCTATGACCTCAGCCAAGGAGGCAGGGCTAGCAACAGAGACTGGTGCTGGGAGGGAGCAAAGATAATAAAATAGCTTTCTTTTTCCATGCAGGTGGGGCCGGTCATCTAAGCGGTTACCAGGGAACTATAACGTTAGGAACACAATTTGCACTTTCACTTCTTGAATCAAAAAATGAATCTGTAGTGTAAGAAGTAATGCTTACGACAACCATCCTCTTGAGCTGCCCAGTTTACAACTGAATTGGGAAGTTCTTCTAAAAGCCTGAAAGATTTAAATCAAGATTAAACATGTAAGAAGTCTTATTCCAGTGCAACAACACTCTTAAACAAAACTCCTAAAATAACTGAAAATAACCAACAAGTACATCTGTTCGTTCACTTAGAATACCTAATTTCCTTATTTCCGCTTTAACCCCTTAAGGACACATGACATGTGTGACATGTCATGATTCCCTTTTATTGCAGAAGTTTGGTCCTTAAGGGGTTAAAATAGCATAACACATACCATGTTCATGGAAAGGCACCTACGTCCATCGACTTTCAGTTTTGTATGTAATGTTTCTACTCTTTCATTTTTCCACCCTCCCATTTAACATCTTACTAGTTCTACCATTTCCCTCACAATGCTCCCCCGGTTTTATTTAATATACTTACGTATTAGATGATTTCTAACCAAAGCATGTAAACTGTGTTTAAAAATTTTAAATAAAAAATAAAAAAATGGACAATTATGTTGGATACCTTAACTAACAGGGTCATATACTTAAGTAAGAATTCAAAGTGAATTTCAAATTTAAGGCCAGAGTAGTCAAATTGAAAGCAATTGCTTTCAATTCGACTACTCTGGCCCTAAAATTTGAAATTCACTTTGAATTCTCGCTTTATTAAATAACCCTGTAATTTCACAGAAAGTGTAGAATTGACTGGGTGTCTCAATTTTTTGGGAGTAGTAATGAACCGGAAGGAATGGCTGAATTTGAGAACTACTTCTGGTTTTGTCTACAATTTGAAATAAGTTCGTACAAATGTCTGATTTAGTAAAAAACCCAATGAATGAATCAATTCAATTTAGGCTTTTTTTGTTTTTGCATTCTCACTGCTTAATTCTCTGCCATTTATGAGTTACATCACTTTGGTTTCTGTCCAAGATGCCCTAGCCACACTTCCTCTGGCGGTGACCGCCTTTCAAATTTAAGGCCAGAGTAGTCAAACTGAAAGCAATTGCTCTTCTGGTTGAGTGGAATTTAAGATGCGGAGGAGAAGGCAGGTGTAAGACACTGTAGATAAGTGAAGTTGCTTCCTCGATACAGCTGGCCAAGGATCCCTAGGAGGCCATCGATTATTCCTCCTGGCCCCTGTAGAGGACAAACAAGGGTTCTAAACATTTGAATTTCTTCATATTTTCCAATTGTAGTAAACAAGTTACAGACTTCTCTGAAGAATTTGGCCACAAGGGAAATAGAAGTCAAATCTCTGATGGAGTAAAAACTGATGATTACAGAGACTTTAACATGGAGAGAAGCAGTACGTAAATCTAAAGCAAAGCATAGTTGAAATCTCAGAAGGCAAGGACTATGATAGGATTAATCTTTATACCAAAACACCAAGAAGAAGAAAAAACTTTCCAAATTTTTGCATAAATTTTACAGGTGGAATCTTTCTGGGCCGACACCTTCTGCAGGAGTCTCCGAATCAAAATTATGGGAGGGTAGTTGTATGTCAGATGAAATTTCCAAGGAATAGCTAGGGTATCTAGATAGTTTGTTTGGCCTGAACTGTTTATCAATGCAAACATTTTTACTTTTCTTTGATTTTAAAGGCCACAAGATGTATTTAAAAAGTGACCAATTGCCCTGTTTTCGAGGATTCCGGGTCAGTGTGTACGCTAGAAAGTTGAAATTCCCTTTAGTATGGACTGCAGTCAACAGTTTAGGGGTTACCCCCGTTTTTTTCTGCTACCAGCGTGTTTCCTTTTTCCATTTAAGAGGATCATTTTCTTTTGGTCTCAATTGGACTGCAGTCAATGAAAAAAGATGGATTTCTACTCACAGCATAATCTTTGAGCATAGTTTCTCCAAGGAAGATGAACATGTTCCTCCCTATCTAGTTGCATTGCCTGAGCGAACCTGAACATGATGATGCAACAGAACTTGTCTGAAACTTATGAGAGCTACCCAAATAGCATTTAATTCTCTGATATCTGAAGTTCTTCTGGAACTTGACTTGTCCATTGGCCTTTTGTAGAACAGCTTCCAAACTGAGCTCCTCAATTGAAAGCTGAGGCGTCAGTGGTCGTGAAATTGTTTTCTATCAATCTGAAGAATAGGCCTTCTGAAATGAACAGTGGATGGCTGGAAGGGCTGCAGTGAAAAGACTCAGTATCGCCTCCCTTATGGAACATACTGCTTTCTTTTTTTAGAGAAGACAAGGCCAATATTAATTTACTTTTTTCTTTGGGTAGAACATTTTTCATGAAATCCGAATCTATAATAAAGCGCAGAAACTGAATTTTCCTCAAGGGAATTAGTTTAACAATCCAGCCCTGTACTTGAAGACAAGAGTATTGAGTATAGAGTGTGCCTTCGACATTCAGTCATCCAAATAAAGGACAATATGAAGACTTTCCTTCCTTAGAGCAGCAGTAATAACCACCAGAATATTGCTGAAAACGTAATGGGCAGAGTAAAAACTAAAATGGAGACTGATGAATTGCTAGTAAAAATAGTCTCTTACAGAAATACAAAATATTTTTCTTTTGCAATGCGTTGATTTTCCTTGAGATAAAAAAATTGACCTAAAAGAATTTCTATCAAAAATGTATCTGGAATATGACCCTCTGAAGTAACCTGTGGAATAAATTTCTTTGATAATGTTATTTTTTTTCCCCCAAAAGATTTTGTACTTCTAGATAAAGAGAATCTGTCATTCCTGGATATGGACCATATAGCAAAGTAAGCTTCTTTGAGTAAGACCGTCATATTCTACTCGATAAAGATTTCTTATAATAGAAAGGGCCAATTTGTCTGTAGCGATGTTTTGTCACGGCATGAAAAAAATCCAACAATCTTCTTCCTATGCCATTGGCTACAAAATAGTCAGCCTTTGTTTACCCACAAACTTGCCTGAGTCTTAATTTCTGTAGTCAAAACACTGTCCGATGAAAACAATGTCTGTAAGATCTGTTTTTGTTAAAAATCTCTTGTTCCAGGTGAGAGGTGGAAAATCTGCCTTGGTCAAAAGGCAAATCGCATAGAGAGAGTTTAGAAGCGGAGTCCGCTGACAAGCCTCTAAACTAGACAGCCTTTCTGACCACTGTGGAATGCCCCATCAATTTAGCTGAAATGTTAAGAGCTTCTGAAGTAGTTTGCTTGTCAGAAGCTATCTTGATATTTTGAAGGATTTTAACAGGATCTTTTTGAGATTCACCTAGTATACTTTTTCAAGCGAATCCAGCCATGTACTTTGTGCTTTAGTAACCGAAGAATCTGCAATAAGGGCTTCATTCTGCGCAGCATTAGTTACCAAAATCTTCCTTAACGTAAATTCTTATTTTTTGTCCATAGCATCTTGCAATCTACAGGAATCTCAAATAGGCAGAGTGGTTTTCTTACCAGCTGTAACTGAGGCAGACAACTGGGGAATTTTGCCTTTGGGGAATTTTTTGGTCTAAAGAGGAGGAGAACAAGGAGGGACTTATTTCTTTTATAATTCTATTTATAGAATCCTGCTTTTCTCCAGGAAATAATGAAATCCCTATTATTTCACTAATCTAAGGGGCAAGAAAGTTTAAACGTTAGATCTCTCTTTACATTAAGTGTTTAGGAAGGCTGTGCAAGTCACATGCAGGGAGGTGTGGCTAGGACTGTATAAACAATGTGATTTAACTTCTAAATGGCAGAGAATTGAGCAGTGAGACTGCAGGGGCATGAACTATACACCAAAGCTGCTCAAAAATATATTTTAATTTAAATCAAGAAAGAAAAGAAAGAGAAAAGAAAACAATAATAAACTAATCCTTAACTGGTATATGAAAGGGTCCTTCAGTCATATACATGCACCTATGGTCGGACAGTGTTTGAAAACTGACAATTAGTCATATTTTATTTTTTTTAAATCTAAATTCTTCCAATACTTGATGCAAGATTATATTTTAAAAAGTATATATATTTTTTGATGTGACTGTTGTCGTTTAAGAATGTCGTCTGAGATTGACTACACTACTTTGAAAAACTGTTTTAAACGTGGACTTTTAGGTAATTATTTGTAAGGATAAATAAATAATAGTATTGTTTGTACAGAAATGGGGGGAAAAAAGCACAATTGACCTTGCCAAAAGAACAGAGCTGCTAAACCATATTGTTTACTAAACTTAGAATTAACAAGGGAATTGCACAGTTTAATCTAAAATAGATGAATTGGAAAAATTCTCCAGCTCCGCTATTTTGGTTTTAAATTTGCCACTCTCTGGCCAATTTCTGACAATTTGCTCATTTAGTGAATAATCCTGTCTTCGAGAGCATGAAACTTGCCACTGCCTTAGGATTTCTCCCATCATTACGTGATCAGTCTTTTAACACTGTATCACTGAGCAATGCTATAACCACTATCCTAATAACATGATATAGCTTCTTTAAAGAAAGGAGGTGAGTTTTCACAAATAATACATTCCTTTCAAATGATATTCACCTTTATATGCACACATGTATTATTCATAGTAAGAGTCTTACATTCATACATAATAGGAACAAAGCAGGAGTAATTCTAATTCTTCTAACTCAGTGCATTTAATGTTGAGATTACCATTTTTAGAGCCATATAAACAACCACGAAAAAGGTTAATCTTTCGAGATTTTGTTGCTACTTTTGCAAAAATAAATTACCCTACATAATAAAACATTTAGACTAATCAAATGAATAACCAGATTAGATGTACCGAAACATTTTTTTTTCCTATCGGAATTTGCAGGAAAATACATAAAAGAGTTAGTGAAGAATTAACCCTATTAGTTCCCATATGTAACACAGATAACCTGAGCAATTACATCAATTACTAAGTACATACTGGTCTTTTCAATTGCATTGGAACTGAAATCTAAAGGAAAATGCTTAATGTTCCATACTGTGCAAGGCATGTCTGTGTTTTATTGGCTTACTCCCCCTTCAATTTTCATGCAGCTTGTGCCAATGCTTAAATATTTAAAATATTTCTGTTTGTTGCTATTATGTATAGGCAGGAGCAGAAAGCTGGTCCTTTTTAAAAGGAGGATGAAATCTCTCTGGGGGAAAAAAGTCAAGATTCTTAACAATGTTTCACAGCACTGTGAACTTATACTGATTGCACAGAAATTGATAAACAAACAGATAAAAGATTAGAGAAATAACTGGTTACTGGTCTAATTTCGCTAAGTCCATCTTTCTTCTTAACATTACACTGATACAACTCTTTAGATTAAAATTCTGTACCAAAAAAAAAAGGAAAAATACTGCTAATCTGAAAAATCAAACTTCTCGGTTGTCTTCTTTCTTGTACTCAATTATTGTAACATTGAACTATAAATACATTACTAATAACTTATATGTTGCATTCTACTGCAAAGCAACACATTTAATATGCACAGGGTTTTTAAGCCTGTGTATTATAAAATCTGTTTTATACTTTTGTTTTTTATTTCTCTAAAATGATTTATGTTTTATATGATGTATTTTGCATGTATGCCGTGTTGACTGTATTTTCAATATAGTTGTAAGACTTGCATTCACATGGAACGGTCGAAAGAGTAGGATTTTGAATTTTGGTGCAATGTTTGGTATTACAAAATATCCTACTTTGTCTTTGAAGCTTGGACAGCAACCGGAACCTTAAGATTCTTATCCCAGGGCAGTTTCCCGCATAACCAATGGAGCATACAGAATGAAAGAATTTGCAGATCCCCACGTCTGGAAAGGGCTGTTAGAATAAGGGAAAGTGAATAAAGAAAGAAAAAAAAAAGGGAGAAAGGAAAAAAGAATGATGAAGTATCAAAATACATTTTTTGAGGAATGCTTTGACTATTAGTGATGAAATATAAAAAAGTAAAATGGGCAAAGTGTTTTGTTTTTTCAGCTGTATTAAAACTAAAGACGCCCAGCCGTTTTGGCGTTACACCACAGACATCCAGTGACTTGTTGCTGCAGAAAGGGAGGGTCATTTTTCTACCTCCTCCAAATTCATCCTTCCCCAGTCTAGCCTGTCACATGAACTTGATCCCCGTGGCCTCTGACATGATCCAGACAGCCCATAACCCAGCACCAACACTTTCTCAAAGAGCCAGGCAGTAAAAACAAAGAAATAAATGTCTGCTGCTAAATTGCTAACACATGTTAGAGGAAGTCCATGGGGTCTACACTGGTCATGCAGAGACCATATGAGTGCAGACTAAACACTGATGGCCTTTCCTGTTTCATCGTATTAAAATTCAAACTATAACATAAGACAAAACTGCCATCTAGTGTGTGAGTTATATAGCCAAAGTACTCCTATCATGCACTTAGCAATCTGCTGAAAGAAACTGTAACCATTTTAGATATTTTTTTTCCCATTATATAGAATTTCAAACACTTTAGTTCATTTCTATTCCTGCTTTTAACCATTTCAGCGTAGATATCTATTTTCTTTCATCCAAAGAGTTAGGTTTTGTATGGTGGTAGACCTACAGAATTATAATCGGTGTATAAACATACAAGATTAGCATCATTGTTTGTGTTTGTTAAAATTTATTTTAAAAAAACAAACAAAACAAAACGTTTGAAATAGTTCTAATTAACAAACATAGGCAAGCACGCGGAAAAATCTATATTAGTATTTAAGATGTTTGGTTTATAAGGCAAGATAAAAATTTACTGAGCTGTACATCCGAAAAGAGCCAGAAAAATGTTTTCTGCCATAACTCAAAACTTTGTGTTTTTTATTGTATTATGGATATTTGGAATGCAGCTCCTTGAAACTCAACTATGCAATGTTTCAATCACTTAACAAAATCGTGGGGATATATTTTATCTGTTATTGGAATTGCAGAGCAAGATGTAATCTCTTCCACGGGTGCTTGTGGTTGTTAAACCTGCAGCATGTTTTATGAGCTTTCGTTAAGTGAATTCGAGAAAGTCACTCAGCAAACTTATCGTTTAATTTAAAAAGTCAACTATTAAAAACTGCAGTGCCAACACATCATAACTGTTGTGTGTTACTTTGCATAAGGTATTATAGAATCACAGGACGAGATTAGCTTTTATACATATAGATACACATATACACACACACACACAAGCCATATAACCTGCTATTAGAATATGCGATTATTAAAGGCCCTTCAACCTAACAGAAAGCAGTTCCATCCCCTGGGTGCCGTTTATTTTCTGCACTGGCTTCAACAACGTCCTAATGTAAGACTTGGCTCTCATATTTAAAAAAAAAAAAACACAATCACTGCCACTTGCTGTTCTGTACAGATTTTATCAGTCATAAATCTCCCACTAACAGTGGAATGATTCCATTCATTCACATGTGTTCACAAGTTCTTTTTCCATTATGGCAATTCCAGATTACAACCTTATAAAGCCAGGCATTTGATTGCAGATCTTTTTTTTAAACCACCCCTGAAAGCGTAAGTTTCTGGCAACTATTGATGTAATGCAGCAAAACATAAGAACAAACAACTGTCCTCTTGGGAGAAAGACTTTAAGAAAAGGTTCAGAATAGTTTTCTAGTAAGGAGAATCCGATAAGAAGCTATAAGAAATGTCAACATGCTTAAATTAAAGAATCAAATATGGTACAATTTTTCAGATTAAAAAAAAAAAAAAAATTACAAAAGATTATGGAGCACTTAAACTGCATATATACTTAAAAAAAAAAATGAAATAATTAAAAAGCAGCTTCTTATGCTTTTATTGCAACAGTACTACTAATACAAATATAAAGTACATATTCAATGGAAGCAGACAATCATAGATTTTTATAATAGGCATATCTATGTGGCTGACTCATTTAAAACAAAATTATATATATATATCGCACCAAAGATTTTATTATAAAATCAGTACAGGAGAGGAAGTGCGAGTATGTTATTCATTATTAAAATGTACACTATTCCCTAGAGGAGATAAGCTGATTAATGACTGATCATTATATCATATACCAAATTATTTATAAAATATGCAGTTATTTTAGCTTACATTTAGTAATCCAGCTGTCCACACACACACACACACATATACAATGCAAGAAAAATATGTGAACCCTTTGGAATGATATGGATTTCTGCACAAATTGGTCATAAAATGTGATCTGACCATCATCTAAGTCACAACAATAGACAATCACAGTCTGCTTAAACTAATAACACACAAAGAATGAAATGTTGCCATGTTTTTTATTGAACACACCATGTAAACATTCACAGTGCAGGTGGAAAAAGTATGTGAACCCTTGCATTTAATAACTGGGTGAACCTCCTTTGGCAGCAATAACTTCAACCAAACGTTTCCTGTAGTTGCAGATCAGACGTGCACAACGGTCAGGAGTAATTCTTGACCATTCCTCTTTACAGAACTGTTTCAGTTCAGCAATATTCTTGGGATGTCTGGTGTGAATCGCTTTCTTGAGGTCATGCCACAGCATCTCAATCGGGTTGAGGTCAGGACTCTGACTGGGCCACTTCAGAAGGCATATTTTCTTCTGTTTAAGCCATTCTGTTGATTTACTTCTATGCTTTGGGTCATTGTCCTGTTGCAACACCCATCTTCTGTTGAGCTTCAGCTGGTAGACAGGTGGCCTTAAGTTCTCCTGCAAAATGTCTTGATAAACTTGGGAATTAATTTTTCCTTCGATGATAGCAATCCGTCCAGGCCCTGACGCAGCAAAGCAGCCCCAAACCATGATGCCCCCACCACCATACTTCACAGTTGTGGATGAGGTTTTGATGTTGGTGTGCTGTGCCTTTTTTTCGCCACACATAGTGTTGTGTGTTTCTTCCAAACAACTCAACTTTGGTTTCATCTGTCCACAGAATATTTTGCCAGTACTGCTGTGGAACATCCAGGTGCTCTTGTGCAAACTGTAAACGTGCAGCAATGTTTTGTTTGGACAGCAGTGGCTTCCTCTGTGGCATCATTCACATCAGGCAATGCTTCTTGTGAAAAGCAAACCCAGAACTGGTGTGTGTTTTTATAGGGCAGGGCAGGGCAGCTGTAACCAACACCTCCAATCTCATCTCATTGATTGGACTCCAGTTGGCTGACATCTCACTCCAATTAGCTCTTGGAGATGTCATTAGTCTAGGGGTTCACATACATTTTCCACCTGCACTGTGAATGTTTACATGGTGTGTTCAATAAAAAAATGGCAATATTTCATTCTTTGTGTGTTATTAGTTTAAGCAGACTGTGATTGTCTATTGTTGTGACTTAGATGATGATCAGATCACATTTTATGACCAATTTGTGCAGAAATCCATTTCATTCCAAAGGGTTCACATACTTTTTCTTGCAACTGTATATATATATATATATATATATATATATATATATATATATACATACATACACACACACACACACTTAAATAATTATATAGCTATATAATCCTTATATTTGAGTCAAAGTAAATTTTAAACAGAAATTTAAATTGTCAGTATAACATGCCATGTCCTTAACTCCCCCAGAAACGTTGTTGGTTCATGTCAGCTTAGTTATGAATCAATTTAAAAAAAGGTTTGAAGTTCTCCAAACATGGGCCTTGATTTAACATGCTTTCCAAATCATTCACTACTGTTAGTAAAAATTTCCAAATGATTTATCTACAAAAGTCACCACTAAAAAATACAGAAATTGATGAAGATAAACCATTTGGAGAGATTTTCTAACAGTATTGAATAATTAAGAAAGCTTATTAAATCAAGGCGTTTGTTGGAGATATTTTATTATTAATGGGGGAGAAGACGTCCCTATTCCTTTCCACCATGTCCTTATTTTCCTCTACTTGATATGGCATGTTTTACAAATTCAGAAGGTGTGGGTCCGAAGCTTTTTTTTTTTATATTCTAGAAGTGAAATCAGAAACTGATAAAGAACCCTGCAATAGTATCAGAGATCAGCAAGCTTCAGCCCAACTCTGTCCATGAATGCTCACATTACATTTCACTAGAATAAACTAGATTTATACTTAACAGTTCTAGAGTGCACTGAATATTGACGGAATTACAATTAGCCAACAAATTCACTACACTTGATAACACCAATCAGACGTGGTGGTGACTTGTGTTTTGAGATATTTTACGGCTTCAGAACTTGGAGAACTTGCCATTAATGAAGAAACCATGAGTTCTGCTTAGTTAAAAAAAAAAAAATACCCAAGGGAAATTATATTTTAAAAATGTTCTAAAAACAAACTCAACTGGGTCATGCAACAAGATAACCGTACAAGCCACAGAAAAAGATTTACAACCCAATAAAGATATTGTTCAAGATGTTCATGGTCAAAATGTCATTATGATCAGCATAAAAGAATATGTAAAAAAAAATAAGCGAAACATATAATAAGTGAGTAAAAAATATGTACATGTGTAAGTTATTTATATGATGTGACTGCTGCAGTAACATGCACTTTGATTGGCGCAACAAAGAAAAGATCTAAACCAAAGCTTTAAATCACTAATAATATTATTATGAGGGAAAAGGCTCTTTCTGATCAGAAGAATGGATAATGTAGAAAACAGTGGGGTGTTAACCACTTGCCTTGAAAAGTATTAGCAGTAAATGTTTCACATGTTGTATTTTGATATCATTATTAGGTGTCAACAAGTTCTGCCGTATGGCTCTGTATAAATGTGCTGCTAACAAACAGACATATTAAAAAAGTAAACTAAAAATTCATTTACAAATATAAATAGGAACATTATGTGCAGATTTTTTTATTTAAGTTTTATTTTCAATTTTTTACACCATGGCGAGTTTAAGACTAATAATAGTACAAACATGTTGGACAAGAGAGACAATATGAAAAAAATATATATAATTATATCAGCATTAATTTTGTAATTTGTTTATTAAGCACAAATTACTGCTTTAAAAAAAAATACATCTGCAATGTAAATGCTAAACAATACATTCTGATCTGCTTTTGTTGGAGATATTTTATTATTCATGGGGGAAAAGACATCCCTATTCATTTCCACCATGTCCTTGTTTTCCTCTTCTTAGGTGTCAGCTCAGTGAAAATACTCATTGGGTGTTCTAAAGCACTGGGGTTCGAGTCGCATATGGTCCAACAGGGTTACATATACCTCTCTACCTTTCCATGGTTTTAGGAGGTTTACGTGAAAAATCTGCTCTATTTTTCATCGGTCAGGTTAACTAACTTAAGTCAACAGGGCCAATCTTTTCTAGGATTTCTTACGGACCTTGACCATGAGTTGGTAGCTCACTTTCGACAGTTGAAACTTACACCGTCACCCTCTCACCCTTAGGTAAGCTCTAGTACTCCAATAATAAAGTGTCTGAGCCGATTGTCCTCTCTCCATGTGCTGTCTAACCAGAGAAACAACCATTTGCTCCGGTTTCTTTTCGTCATAGCGCATCACATTAGCCTCTGGAACTCCCTGCTCTTTCCATGTTTCTCTGAGAAAGTCAAAGATACCACGTGGATGCTTGTTATAGACAAGTTCAAATGGTGAAAAAAAACGACCAAGTCCAGGGGAATATCATGGATTGCAAATAGTAAATAGGGAAGTAGGATATCCCAATCCTTCCAATCCCTGCTAAAAACATTTTTTTTTAACATCCCCTTAAGGGTGCAGATAAACCTCTCTACAAGCCCATCAGTCTGAGGGTGGTATACAGAGGTTGTTAAAGACACATATCTTTCAAAAGGTGAGAAATAAAAGGAGTTCCTTGATTAGTAAGGATTTATTTTGGGATGCCTATCCATGAAAACACCTGTACCAACTCCTTTGCTATGGTTTTTTAGCATAAATCTTGCGTAAGGGAATGGCTTTGGGGTATCAAGTAAAACAACCAAAATATATTGGTGTCCTCAGGCAGACCTTTCTAACAGACCCACTATGTCCATACCAATTCATTCAAAAGAATCAACAATAATTGAGAGAGTTATAAGAGGACCCTTGGGTTTGGATTTGCAGATGCAAACTGACATTCAGGACAGGAAGCACAGTACTTTTTCACTGCCTCCTAAACCCCTGGCCAGCAAAACCATCTCAGAATCCACTCCTGGGTTTTCACCACTCCCAAGTGTCCCCCCTAGTACATGTGTGTGGGCAAAGTCCAAGACTTGAGAGGTGGGAACCACCAACTGTTCAATCTCTTGTCCTTCCTCCATTATTGAGAACAAAATCAGGGTAATTTTTATTCTTCCCTCCACCAGCATTCCATTTACCTCACTCACTCTGCTTCTTGCAGCTTGTAACAGGGAATAGTTAGCTTGATCCCTCCCAAATCACCACGAACACAATTCACATCACACAGATCATTTTGATCAGAGTCATTCTCATCAGGGTGATCATCATTCTCATTCCCCAGCCACACATATTCTCTCAAGTCAGACTCTGTCACCTGTGTAGCCACTCCCTTATGGGAATGGTTTCCTTGCTTGTTTACCAGAGGTTCAGCCAGAGCTTTGTTAAAGGACCACTATAGTGCCAGTAAAACATACTCGTTTTCCTGGCACTATAGTGCCCTGAGGGTGCCCCCACCTTCAGGGTCCCCCTCCCGCCGGGCTCTGGGGAGAGGAAGGGGTTAAACTTACCTCTTTCTCCAGCGCCGTGCGGGGAGCTCTCCTCCTCCTCTCCGGCTTAATGCGCATGCGCGGCAGGAGCTGCGCGCGCATACAGCCAGTCCATGGGAAATATTCACAATGCTTTCCTATGGACGCTGGCGTCTTCTCACTGTGAAAAATCACAGTGAGAAGCACGCAAGCGCCTCTAGCGGCTGTCAAGAGACAGCCACTGGAGGCTGGATTAACCCTATTATAAACATAGCAGTTTCTCTGAAACTGCTATGTTTATAAAAAAAAAGGATTAACCCTAGCTGGACCTGGTACCCAGACCACTTTATTAAGCTGAAGTGGTCTGGGTGCCTATAGTGGTCCTTTAAACCTATGTTTATTTTCCCTCCGTTCTTTACATGTCTTTCTGAACTTTGGTTGCGTTACAACCAAAGCCAGATCAGAGAATGGAAACATTTGGCTAACATCTGTAATTTTCCCATCACCATCTGTGTTCTCCCTACTAACGGAGGACAGACCTTAGTGACCTCAGAAGTAAAGTTTAAAACTTAGGGATATCTTTTCCTGAAACAAGGTGATCGGGTAACCTAGGAACCATCACTGCACCAATAGATTACACCCTTTCTCCTGTAGAATCTTCAACCATTGCAGTGGGATAGTGCACAGTAGTCCCATCTGCGCACAGCACACCCGCTTTTTACCTTTCTGCAGATTAGTGTCCCACTACTTTTTCTGAAAAAAGGCTATGACACTACCAGAGTCTACTAGTGCCACTGCCTTTTTTTATTATTATGCAGCAGGACTTACATATGGAATGTCTGTGTACTCTCCACAAGACCAGTTAGGACAAGATCTATGGAACGTTTGCATGCTAAATATGACTAACATATCCTGATTACCACACTTTAAAAACACTGTATGTTCCTGGGTTCACTCAATCTAACAGGAACCCTGTCTCTATGGTTCAAGCCTTGCATGAGCTCCCCAAATAATGACTTGGTTGGAGCTTCCTCTAAGTGACCTCTTACCAGCCTCCCGTTTCCTGTAAGGTGGGCTTACTGTGACAACTGTTTGATTCTCCCTTGTGGCTCATCAAAGCTTTTGGCAGCCATATATAGCTGCACTTGGGCTACCAAATCATCATAAGTAGTGGGGTATGCTTGACTGACACATTCACGGAAAGCCAGGGAAAGGTCGCTCAAATATTGGTCAAGTACCAGAGCTTCCATGATCTGTGAAGGACTTTCCGTCTCTCCGGTTTGAGACATTGCCAGGCCTGATGAATCAGGTTAAATGTCTGGGATCAAGGAGTCTTTCCTTCATTAAACTGCCACTTAGACATGTTGAGCTCCTACATTTGTCATCACACATATTTGGGTAAGAATTTAAGCCTTTAGTTGAGGGTAATTTGCAGTGGCCTCCTCATCCAGGTAATAGGCTTTTTGCACTTTGCCAAGGAGGAAAGCAGAAATAATTCCTGCCCACTAACCGTGAAGCCAGTCCTCGTGGATGGCTGTCTGTTTAAATGCTAGAAGGTAGGACTCAACATCATCATCTGGAGTCGTTTTCTGTAGACAGTGGTTTGCCCGTATTCTGCTTACACCCCCTTCTGGGTTGTTGACGTGGTATAGGACCTGTTTAAGCATGGCACAGTCTGTTTCTTGCACTTCAGTCAAAACTCCAATTTGCACACCCAGGAGCCTGTTACATTCATATATTGCTGCTACTGAGGCTGAAGCTTGTCTGTTGGACTCCTGCTGGGCTGTTGCAGAGGCTGCTGCTGTGGATGCAGCTGGTCTGTTATTTACAAAATCAACAGTTTTTAATAACATCCAGGGTACTCTTTCCCCTTAATACTTAAACGAAAAGCAAAGCAAAACCTACTGCTTTTAGGAGATTAACTTTATTACAGCACTGGCCAGCTAAGGTGGTTCCCAGTAACAATAATGAAACAGCACAAAGTTTTCTTACCGCACAGTTGCACACTCTGTGTCTGTTACCAGCAGTACTAGTGAGAAAATCTCAGCAGGCTAAATAGGGCAGTATTAACCATAGAACAGGAGAAAAGTATACTTTATATAAACAGACTTATATAACTGCCTTTAATTAACCTGCCCCAAGTAACCCTGTCACAATATACACACACACAAACATTCATATATACACAAACTACCCAAATTCTGGTGTGCAAACCTTGTTGCATCATACCCAAAGAGACTTGAGGATATAATCAATGTCAAAGGTGCTTGAAGTAAGTACTGAGTTAAGGTTCCTAATACTTATGTCAATGTGATATTTCAGATATATATTTTTTTGGTGTAAAAAAAAAAAAAAAAAAAAAAATCTTTGTGTAGAATGATGTGAAAAAAAATAGCAGGAGAGGGCTGCTACATTAAAAATGTGTAAAAAAAAAAGAAACAAAAACAAAGTGGTCTGAATACTTTCTGAATGCACTGTATGCCTGTTGCCTCCTCTATTTTATGTTAAGCACAATTTGTTTCCTTTTTATTCCACCTATCTGTTCCTAATGTTAAAATTCTACACATATTTACTTTTGGTTTTCAATGAGTAATTATTTACATATTATAATATATATATATATATATATATATATATATATATATACATACACACACATATATATACAAAAATAGAAAAGTAGAAGCTGCACTCACGGTCTTACTATCAAAGTAGAAAAAGAAGTTTTATTCCATGTTTCACAAACGACGTTTCGGTCCACATAGGGACCTTCCTCAGGATAAATTGAAGCACTTTAAGGTGCTTCACTTTATCCTGAGGAAGGTCCCTGTGCGGACCAAAACGTCGTTTGTGACACATGGAATAAAACTTCTTTTTCTACTTTGATACTAAGACCGTGAGTGCAGCTTCTACTTTTCTATTTTTGTATACACTATTTAATCCCTAAAGGGATTGGCACCCGGCAACTGCATTGTTTAAATTTTAGTGCAAGACTTTAAAAGCGTGAGTGCAAGGACATTGCTTATATGTATATATATATATATATATATATATACATATACATACATATACACACACACACCACACACATATATACATACACACACACTTCACCATTTGAAACTCACACAAACCAGGTCATGAAAACGGCCATCTATTTAGCGTTTTATGGGTTCCTTCGGCCCAAAGAGTTTACCACCACTAATTACAACACCCTAAACAAGATCCAACCTGGTAAAAATACACGATCACTATTTACTGTCCCTACATCATACAAAAACCAGTGTGAAGGGACAGACTGTCACTATTACCTATTACCCTACTGTATGTGTATGTTTTTATATTAAGTAAATATTATTTAGTTTTATTCTTTTCAATGTATACATTTTCATGTCTTTGTAACTATAGCCTGTGCTAATCATGCAAAGTATTTTATCACCTTTGTCTTTGTCCATCATGTTAAAAGTTAGTTTAACCAGCTCAGGCCCATATATCTTTCCTGTTCCTTGTTTAATGGTTTTATTTCCCTACTTAAATACCTCTGTCTTATCTCTGTAATTCTCAATCTTTGCTTTTGTTTTTCCTTAAATGACCTTAAATCAAATGTCCATCTATGCACCCCCCCATCTCTTAGCCCATCTGACCCTAATATACATCTCTCTCCCACAGTCTGATTTTTAAACATACCCAGTCCAGCATAGAACTCAGAGCTCCATCAGCTGTTCCATGGCCATTTGAAACAGGTAGCCTTCTGGAAGACTGACTTTTCCCTCCCACCCACCCCATGGTCATTTTCTCATTTATAGATAGTCTCCCACACAACTTTCAATCTACTGAAATGACAGGTGCAACCACTGATCAGCACACCCTTTCAATCTCTTAACCCTATAGAACACATACCCTCTCTCACTACAAATAGATATATCATACACCAAAACTATATACTTCTATTTAATTTTTTTTTTCACGCAATATCTGTTTGATTTTCAACTACACACCTCATACCACTAACATGAATCCTAATATAACCATACTGTTATTCTTAATAACCCTTTTCTCAATCCAATTTTGTTCACACCACTACCAGCATAAGCACACAACTCAAACTGGAACGCAAATTATAATACACCATGGCCTGCTCTGTTCCTTTAACTTATCTGCTGAGTGCTGGTGGAGAGTTATAAAAAATAGCCCTCCTACCCCCAACTCACAAAATTATAAATTATCCCATTCACTATATGGCCAAACAAAAATGATGTCCAAATTCCTACTCCTTATGTTACTTGCCCTTGCAAATGATGTGGAGTCTAACCCTGGTCCCCCAGCTAATTCTAGTCCTAATCTCCCCACTAAAAAAAGGCCTCTCTTTTGTGCACTACAACATCTGTAGTTTACGCCCTAAATTGGATGCACTGCAAGCCTGGTGTTCCCATTATAAACCAAAAATCATTGTGCTCTCAGAATCATGGTTAACAGCTAAAATACCAGACACCGCCATTGCAATACAGGGTTATTCATGTTTTAGAAATGACAGAGCAAAGAGAGGAGGAAGCATTGTTATTTATGTTGACAATTCCATAAAGTTTACCCCTTTACAAAACCTTAGTCCTCCTGCCATCTTTGATTTCCTTTCTGGCACAACTGAGATCCCGTGCAGTAAATCAATCATTGTTGCAGGAATCTACCGCCCACCTAGCTCCCCTGTGCATTCCCTTTCTGACATAGCCCATCTCCTTAGTGAAACCATAGCTCAAAACCCAAAAAGTGAACTGTTGGTCTTTGGAGATTTTAATATTGATTGGCTGAACCCTAAAAATAATGGTTCTTGCACGCTGTTTAAGACTTTGCAGCTAACGCAATTAATCTCCTCCCCAACTCGCATAAACATTAAAAGCCATAACCATACCCTGCTCGATTGGATTCTCTCCACTTCTCCTGATAGAATCCAGGAGGTTGGTGTTCTCCCAAACACGTTCAGTGATCAATGTTTAGTGTACTGCGTGCGCAAAATAAAGGCTATTAAATCCTCTCCCAAGGTTAAAATAACTAGGTCCTTCAAAAAATTTAATCTTGAATCCTTTTTAAATGACATCAAGAATCTCTCATGGCACAGATTAAACATTATCTCAGATCTAGACTGTGCTGTTGAATACTTTCAGTCTGAACTCCTAGAAATTTGGAATTTGCATGCCCCGCTGCATAAGGTGAAGGTAAAAGGAGCACATATGAACTGGATCACAGCTGACCTCATCCAAATGTACCCGTTTCAGGATTCTTTGTGGTCAAAGTTTAAGCGTACTGGCTCTATGAATGATCACTGTGCATATAGACAATGGCGAAATATATGCACAGAACAGACAAAACTGGTCAAGGCCCAATATTTCTATGAAAATCTGAACAGTAACATCTCAAACCCTAGAAACTTTTGGAAAGTCATAAATAAACTACAAACTCCCCCAATCCACTCCCAACCCTCCACTGTCAAAGTGGGTAACCAAACCCTGCAACTTCCCTTAGATGTAGCAAATGCCTTTAACAATTATTTTGTCGGATGCTCTACTGCCCTGATTGCCAAGCTAATAAATGACACGCATCCTGAAACTACAAATGTGGATCAGGTCACACTAAATTTGCAAAGGCCCAATATAGACAAGTTTATTTTTAGACCTGTACCTGTTAGTGTCATTAAAAAACATCTGAATAATCTAAAAATGAAAAACCAGTCCGGACCTGATCAAATCCCAGCAATGCTGTTGAAGCTCAGTGTGCCGGCAATTGCTAAACCCGTCTTAACTCTAATTAACGAATCCTTGGTGTCTGGACACATACCCAAACTTTGGAAGACTGCGAGAGTAGTGCCTATCCATAAAAGTGGTGACACTACTTTGGTTTCTAACTATCGCCCAATATCATTGCTCCCAGTATTGTCAAACATCTTAGAAAAATGTGTCCATACGCAACTTTGTGAGTACTACCAACAATTAAACTATCTGACCCCTGATCAATCGGGCTTTCGCCAGAATCACTCCACTACAACTGCCCTCCTAAAAGTTTGCAATGACATCCAAACTGGCATGGAACAAGGAGCCCTAACTGGAGCTATTTTCCTTGATTTTGCTAAGGCCTTTGACACAGTAGACCACGACATTCTACTGCACAAACTCAAAAACTCAGGTATTGGTGATCATTCTCTAAACTGGTTTTGATCGTATGTATCGGATCGCTCGCAATATGTGTCCATTTCTGACAGTGACTCCCTCTCCCAGTCATGTGTGGTGTTCCCCAGGGTTCCATTCTCGGCCCCCTACTATTTACATTATTTATAAATGATCTGCCTAATGTCTGCCAATCCTCAAATGTACACAAGTACGCAGATGACACGGTAATCTATGCGAGCAAATCCAATCTACCGCAACTTGAGGCTGTGCTCCAAGACCAGTTTACAGAGGTAGAAAAGTGGATCGCAAAAAACAAACTCTTCCGGAACACTGACAAAACTGTCACAATGGTCTTTGGAACAGTACATAAATTACACAAATTACACAATTCCCACCTATCCATCAAAACAAATTCAAATGGCACACTGACCGCAGTCCACTCTTTCAAATACTTGGGTATGATATTAGACCCCAATCTATCTTTTGGCCTGCACATAGAAAAGCTTGCATCTAAACTTTATCCAAAATTAGGTGCCCTGTACAGAAACAAAGCCTGCCTAAGCACTACAGTAAAGGAAAATATTGTACAGCAAATGCTGATGCCAATCATTGATTATGGGGATGTAGTATATGCATCTGCATCACAATCCCACATTAATAAACTCAACACATTGTATAACTCGTTCTGCCGATTTGTGCTACAATGTAATTACAGGACCCATCATTGTGACATGCTAAAAGAACTAAACTGGCTGTCACTGGAATCCAGACGCACCCTTCATCTTTCCAGCCTTGTTTTTAAGAGCTTTTATGGGAAACTCCCACCCTACCTGAACAAAATGCTTTCCCCAGCTGTTCCCACTTTCTATAATCTCCGATCCAGTACAAGCACTTTACTTCTTAGTCTACCTCAATACAAAAAGAAAGCGGCCCGATCCTCCTTCTCCTATAGAGCACCGCAATTGTGGAACGACCTCCCGCACAATTTAAAATCTTCCCTAAGCCTAAAGTCATTTAAGAGATCCCTCTCTACATACCTCAAAACAGAATGCACGTGTCATGGTTGATTATATATTTCCTGCCTGTTCTATGTTAAATTTTGTATATATTGTGTATTAATATTGATTTTTGTATTTTGTTGTACCCTAATGTAACAATGCAATGATTTGTGGACCCAGGACATACTTGAAAACGAGAGAAATCTCAATGTATCTTACCTGGTAAAATATTTTATAAATAAATAAATCAAATAATAAATGGTGCCCCGTGAAAGTCTTCGACCAATACCTTTCTTCCTTTTAAATAGCACCACATCAACCACTGCTAGCATTATACGGTAATACCCTCACTATCTGTAAGTTCATGCTCTATGTAAGAACGTTGTTAGTAAGGTTGGGACTAAATCCAGCCAAATATTCCAGACACTCATTTAGAATAGGAGCGGCTACTACTGCTTCAAAGAGGAATATTCCTGCGCACATCATTAAATATTGGGCCGGTGGCAGTCCACAGCTTACACCAGATACATACCCCAGCAAGATCAGGAAGTACGCCTAGCATTCAAGAATATGATTGTGTGATAATCTTATGCTGTATTGTAGGCTGAATAAACTGGTTACATCTTTTTTGCCCTCTTTTATTTCAGGCCTACTGCATCGTCAGTTCCGGCACACCACAACTGACTTTACTAACTCTACGGCTTTATGCCTTGACCACAAATTATATATATATATATATATATATATTGTTTCGGTTTGTTTGTATTTTTGTTTTGGGTTAGTGAGTCTTTGTATTTCTCCACATTTTATAGTAATGGGAAGACTATGACAAAATAAAGCCTCTTTCACTTGGTTCACAGTAGCTTATCTATTCTCATCTACTAGCCGAGCCACAAGTAAATTACAGAGGGGTTATACTACCAAGGAATCCTTATCAAGATCCTCCACAAATTTCTTACGCATAGCAAACTAAATTTACATTTTAAACAGTACCGAAGGGACAGATATGCTGCTGCATTAATTTAGATCAGAGAGATGAGATGACTCTCCAGCTACTGTATTTGTGCAGTGCATTACCAATGTAACAAACTGCAGTTAAATGCATCAATGGTTACTCATCAATTTAAACCACTTTTTTGCATGCGTTCTCTACTTTGATGCTACCGTTGGCAAGGAAAGTGTTAACATTAGCTGTTTAACTTGAACGTGAGATTTAATATAGCAAGGAAAGAAAAAAATGTGCATTTATGCAAAACAATTATTTTACATTTCTAATAATTTCTCATTTGTAACTATGTATATATATACACACACACACACACACACACACACAGGTCTTTCAATGACAACAACAGTATAAAAAGACTTTAAAAAATAAATAAATAAAAAGCGCCTCAATACATTAAGTGTGGAATACCTACAAAGAAATTAGGTATTGACTGCATGCTTTGAAACTGGAAAAAACTACAAAAATCTATAGCGTACATTGATCCTAATATTACTTTTAGCACTACTAACAATGTAACAAATTAAAGCAGTGCCTCAAACACAGAAAGAATTCTCTTTAATTATCAAACAACGTACAGGCTTTTGAAATTAAATGTGGCAATAAATAGGCTGAGGGGGCTATGAAAATATTCTACACATATAAATATATTATCAAGTGATTGTGCCATTACCGTGGAATGGTTTATTACAAAATAAATGCTACATCTTCAATATGTACATCTTATTTTATGGACAATTCTTTTAATTTCAGATTGCATACTGTAATATAGAAATAGTTAGAACAGTTATGAGATATATATATATATATATATATATATATATATATATATATTGTTTTTTTTAAATCATACCAAATATACATACAAAATAAACAGAAAATGCTTCCTTACACACACGCACACACATTTTATTTTAGTGTAAACTTAATTTATGGATTTTACAGTTCTTAATAATATCATTCAGAATTGATAGTTTAAGTGAGATATATATATATATATATATATATATATATATATACACACACACACACACACACAATATATAATCTCTATTAGATATCCAATTTGAATGACTAAATTTCTTATTCCCAGTTTAAAAGGTGTGTTCCCGAGATTGGAGTTTTACGTTCAGAAAGCAAAGGCACTTTAACATGATTCACTGTAATGCTTCAAAGGCATCAGGTTGCATATTGTGAGTAACTGATATCCCCTGCTCCTGCTCTGTGCTCATCAGTGACAATATTTTATAGGTGGTAAAAAAAAAAAAAAAATCTCATCATATCCATAGATGTGTTTTTGCAAAAGAGAAAACATGGAGTTTTTTTTTTTTCTTGTGCGCAAGGCCTACAATGCAACAAAAATGATGTTGATTTTAGTATCTCACCTAATGCTGTGTGATTGTGACGTCATTCTGACACTTTGTTTCTGAACTCTATTTGTGAGATTGCAATTATTCTACTTTAGATCATCACATCCACTGAAGAAATATATATTTATAAATTATATATATCACACATACATTTCCACTGTATATAAAAACCACAAAGGATGTAAACAAGCACAGTGAACAATTTAGCAGACTATATGATAGATCATATGAGGCCCCTCAAGGTCAAAACACCAAAGTCCTAGAATGTGCAGATATGTTTCAATTATTTCAGCCACTGGAGAAACACTCAAAACACATGCATACCTCCCAACATTTCAATAATACAAGTGATGCAAGGTTTTGAGTGGGACACTCAGAGTACCAGAATTACAATAGGTGAATATAGGGATACTGCTTGTCTGATGGGTTTACACTGCTGAAAATAATACAAGTAAAGAGGGGACTCAAACCACCTAATTTGTAAAAAACACAACAGCAAAAAACTTACATAATAATAGAAACCAATTCAAAAGGCTAAGAAGATCAATAGTAGAATGTAGCAAATTTATGTTCCAACTCCCAGTAGTTACTGTACGTATTCTTGTAAAAATGGATACAGCTAATATTACATAAATAGCAAATATTGTAAAATTGTAGAGAACACCAATCCCCATGGAGTGGAAATACCATCACAATGGGAAAAGGATATTTTAGTTTTTATCCCCTTCAGGGGTATATACAGTTTATGGTAATATATTCTGCAGCAAATCCACCATATGTAGATGTGGAGAAAATGGAGAGATCAACATTGTGCAATACTGTATGTAGCGGAGATGCAATATTCCCCAGGTTATCTCCGCTTATAATCCAAGTGAGGCTCAGGAACAAGTAAATAGTAAATCCACAGGCAAGGTTTCCAGCTGGTAAAATACAGCAATATCCCAACAGCAATCCCAATAACTGGACGACACACAGTTTCAGGAGCAGAACTGAAAGCTTTAATCCACAGTCTCCTTATAAAGCATGCTCCCATGCAAGGGAGGGATTTACACTCATTATTACAGTAGCCAATCCTGTCCTGGTAACCTCCCACACATCTCCTCCCCTCAGCCAGCATCATAATCCCTTATCCAGTACAGTAATTCCCCCCGTTTCTGGATGTACCCCTAAACGTAGGGGTACCTCTTTAAATCCTACATCCCCGGATACCCCTGATCTGGGTGAACAACATATCCAAAAATCACCCAGATCAGACCAGGGGTTCGGGAAATGTATGGAGGGAATAAAATGACCGACCGCACTAACTGAGATAGCCGAATAAGGTTCCATGCGAATGGGCCCTGCGGTCGGTCCTGGCATAAGGGAATAAAATACACGAAAGCCTCTAGCTATAGAGGCTAGGGAGGGTTCGCCTGAATCCCCTCGTTCGGTTCTTTCTATCTACCGAACGAGGGGCCGTTCGGTAGTTAGGAACCGAACGGACCGGGCTTGTGGAGGTCTCAGCGGTGTTCGCCTACTCGAGTGTCCGATTTGAGTTCCAGACACTCGACGGCAAAACACCGCTGTTCGGGAGTTTTAAAATGGCCGCCGCCACGTGTTCGTTTGTCGAATGGCGGCCACCCCCGAGAACAAAGGACGGCTACTTACTAGGCAATTACCCGTTCGCAACAATGTTGCAACGGGTAATTGAGGACACACTTCACACAGGGGGGGTCTGGTTGTTCGGTAGTTTCATTCGAATGAACTAAGGGAATAAAACTACCGAACAATCAGAGGAATACAGTTCTTTTAAACACATAGAAAACCAGCAGATCACACGAATGCAGTTATTCACAAGACATTTGCAGGACAGCCCAGTGCCATCAACTACACTGTATATCACTATAAAATGGAATAAAGCAAGCAGGAAGTTACAGAATATCCCTGCCTCTCTCTACTACTCACTGATCCGTGGGGGAGCAGCTATACAGCACAGAGTCCAGACAGCAGCTCTACAGCTCAGGATGATAGCATTTCAAATAGAGAACAATCAGAGCTAGAGAGCAATGTACAACAGGCAGGAGTATACCATCAAAAGTCCAACATACTGGGGGATTGGCTACCAGCGGAGAAAGATGGACATGTAATTCAACACCCGACATAGACAACCCAGAAACACAGAAAACAACTATGTCGCAACCTAAACAAAAAAAGACAATCCACCAAAGCCAAAAGACATAATTTGCTTGGCCAAAATGCAGCGCCGACCAAACAAACAACCCAGGCACACCAACAAGATGGCGGAGAGGAAACATACAACGGCAACCCCCTTACTGATCCAGCCGACCAGACAATGGAAGAGCCGGTCACTAAACAGTTCCTTTTGGAACAACTGGGAGCATTCTCCAGCAAAATGATGGCTGGCTGGGAGGCGGCCCTGTCAAGTCTTAAAAAAGATATAGGAGAACTGGGCACGAGAACCTCCAGCGTGAAGTTTTATTTTGTGTTCAGTTACATCTGCTGAGTAAAATGACACCCATTGTATGTCTTTGGCACTATTTCGTGAAGCTACAGTGCCCTATAGGAGACCTGTCCTTTTCAATACTCACAGAATTTTGAGAGATGGATTCAATGAGCTTATGCTTCCATTTGGGTTATTATAACAGTTTGACTGTTCAAAAAACCCCACAAAGGCCTACCATTTGTAAAAGTAGACACTCCAGGGTATCTCATAAGGTGCATATTGTGCCTTAACATGCCCCCATTTTTTCACCAATAGATGCCAAAGTATGTGGTAAAAAATAATTTTGTGCGTTTTTTACATATGGATTGCATTTTTACTGGGCATTTTGTATATTTCACATGTGCCACTAAGTTCAAACCCCCCACATTATGCTCAGCTAAGTCTTCTGAGTAAAAGGACACCCCCATTGTATGTCTTTGGCACTATTTCGTGAAGCTACAGTGCCATATAGGAGACTAAGCCATATCAGTTTTTACCAAACTTTGAATTTTGACGCTGGGCCTATGTGCAATTTCCAAGCATCTTAGCAGGTTTAAAATTCAAACTACCCCACAAAGGCCTACCATTTCTTAAAGTAGACACCCCAGGGTATTTCAAAAAGGTATATTCTAAACCTTAGTGTAGGATCATTTTTTTGTTAGTTTGTACCAAGTCTAGTTGCAATTAGCATTTTTTCTGCCTTTTTGACACACACTTGGAGATGTCACTGTATATTTTGCTATCCCTATGTGTGCTACGGCAGTATAACACCTAATATGTTGCTCAGCTATGTCATCTTAGTGCAACGATACTCCCATGTGTACCTTTCTCAGGGTTGTGTGGATGTTGAAGGGGCACATTGGACACACACCACTTCCATATTTTTCAAAAGTGGATGCTGGGCCCAAGTCTCATTTTAGCAGCTCAGGACTGCAAATTACCTCTCAAAGGCCACATATATTTTTAAGTATAAGCAGCTCATCAATTAAAATTATGAACAAGTGCATACTATTTGCTGTGAAAAGGGGGAATAGTTGGGGTAAACTTATCCGGGGGTAGTACCCAGTCATGTGCGTCCCGGGCAAAGCTGTCATGGATTCCGAAACCAAAACACAGACAGACCACAAAGAGAGAGCACAGAGAGAGAAACTTGTAATACCGGTCCTTAGACTGGCCGGGCTATACAAGCAGAGAATTGTCAAGGTACAAGCCGAGGTCAAAGGAGTAAAGAGAAACGGAACAACGATAGGACAAGCCGAGGTCAAGGATCAGAGAAGACAGGATAAGCGGGAGACAAAGCCAAGATTCGGTAACCAGACAGTAAAAATCACACCCCAAAATCTACTTATTTGGCCTGGGTGTGAAAAATTTTAAAACAGTGGCCAATACATAGGCCGGGTTGAGAGGGGCAATCAGGGCAGTAATAGCTGATCTCAGCTCTTACGCCCCTCTTGTAACACACATGCACCTTTTCTGGGGGTTTTGTTTTTTTAGGGGTTGGTGGAATCTTAAAGCAGAATTGACCTGCCTCCATTCTTCTGCTAGGCTCCACTGATGGTCTCCTTGTGCGGCACTCGAGCAGCCCAGAAATGAGCTCAAACTGGAATGAAAGAAAAAGTGCTTTTAAGCCCAGCATTTGCCTTTTTAAAAATAACAAAGGCATTGTGGATTGCCATCTGCATCAGATATATGCCCACTTTTTTATACCATGCCCTGGTCTTTCGCATGATAAAATACGGCTGCATCAGTTGATCGGGCAGGTCAATGCCCCCATATGCCGATTATATTGCCGTATCCAGACTGGCACTCGTTTACATTCCTCTCTGCCACGAACTGCGACCCTCCGAGTGTTTTCACCACGGATGGTGGTTAAGATGAAAACATCCTTTTTTATCCCTGTACTTGAGTGCCAGCAGTTCATTCTGGCAGAGAGCTGCTGTTTCCCCCCTTTTCATTTTTTTGTTCGCTAGAGCCTTTGGGAAACCTGTGTGACTCTTCCGAATAGTGCCACAGGCCACGGTCTCGAAGCAGTACAACATTTTTAACAGTGGGATGCTATTATAAAAGTTATCGATGTATAAATGATAACCTTTATTAAGTAGTGGCATTATTAAGTCCCAGACAATTTTCCCACTTGTCCCTACTATATCTGGGCAACTTGGGGGATCAAGGTGGCTGTCCCTTCCTTCGTATACACGGAAGGTGTATACGTAGCCACTGCCACTTTCACACAGTTTATAAAATTTGATCCCATATCGGGATCTTTTGGATGGGATACATTGTCTAAACCCCAGTCTTCCCTTAAACTTCATGAGGGACTCGTCAATGGAAATGTTTTTATTGGGGGTATATATAGTGGCAAATTTACTGTTAAAGTGGGCAATTAAAGGGCGTACTTTATAAAGAAGATCATACAGCGGATCACCTTTTGGGGGGCACTTGTTATTGTCACTAAAGTGCATAAATCGCAGTATGTCTTCATATCTTTCCCTCGTCATTGTCTCGGCAAAAATGGGGGTATTGCAAATAGGATGTTTAGACCAATACATCCTAATTGTGGGCTTTTTAATTAGCCCCATTAACATGGTCAGTGCCCAGAATTGTTTCAATTCTGGCACACTGGTTGGGTTCCATCTCTCTTTCCTGGAGATAAGAGAGTCTGGATTGCGTGCCAGGTACTGCTCCACATAGAGATTAGTCTGGGTGACTATCTCCCCAAAAATCTCATCCCCCAAGAACAGCTGCATAACATCCAGTGCACTATAGCCAGACAGGTCAGCCTGTATGCCAGGATTTGCTGTAAACACTGGGATGTCTGGGGAAAAATTATTAGGGGGTACCCAGTCATCTGCGCCATGTTCAGCATTAGGGGAATCGTCGATTTCTCCTGATGGTCCTGCAGTATCTTGCACATAGTCCCTGTCCCCTCACTCTCTGAGGCAGTGTCAGTCCCCTCGGAGTCAGCCGCTAACAGGGCATAAGCCTCCTCTGCGTTATACTTTCGAAACATTGTTAATACAGTTAACACAGCTAACCAAACTTTAACTAAATTACTTTGAAAAAAAAAAAAATGTTAATTCCTTAATTCCCACTAAACTCCACCCACCCAAGTAACTAAATCACAAATTAATACAATCACATAATAAAATTTAACCCCTTAGGGTTACAAAAAACTAAATGTAACCCTTGAAAGTAAAAAAATAGATCACAGTACTGTACTGTGACCTGTATATACAGTGATAAAGCAGCAGGGTTAATTTTTTTTTTAATAAAGGGGAAAGGGATTAGGAACTTTTAATAGAACTGAACTATTCTTCTGGGACACAATGTTGCAACGATCCATCTTTCTCCACTTCACAAACCCAGACGAGGCGGAGGGAGGCGGATCAGATATCCCAGCAGCATTGTGACCGCTGTGACTGGCTGTCACAACGATCACATGGGCTGGGATATCGGGATTTGCTGCTGCTGGTCTGCCTCTGACTAGGAGGCACCCAGCAACAGCGTTAACCCCACGATAGCCGGCACCGCGGCGATCGGGGGTTAATTTTAACGCGTGCCGATCAAGATCCGTCACTCGTCATTAACGCTTTCCCCTGAGTGACGGACCTCGTCCGTCACTCGTCGTTAAGGGGTTAATAAAAATCATTCTCCTACTATTTGCACTTTTACGAATATTAAAGACCACCTTCATAATCTGGACCCCACATTGAGTACAGGCATTAAAATAAAGCAAAAAACAAAAAAAACAAATGTATATGCACTCAGCATGTAAAAATAAGTGGTATAATATTTCAATTGACTTTTTGTCTTTCTGACAAAGCAACTGAGAATGTTTTGCCGCATTGACCACATTGATTCTAATCTATTACATCAACAGTTAAACGTCATAAAATATATTTTCAGTTTTGACCTCCATGCCATCGCCCTCCTCAAGCGCTTTTTTTTCGCATTGTTCTCTTAACTTTCTGTTGGACTGAGACTGCAGTGTAATAAACAACTAAGGTTTAATTAATGGTAAATGAATACAAGACATAGGTTATGACTTTAACTAATTAGGAAATTGTTGAATTAAGTCTGCCTGGGAATGCAGGGCAGTATAATCAATATCCAATAAAAGGACTATGTATGTAATTTAGCTGGAAATGTGTTTCCGATACCATCAAAGTGAGTTTAAGTAAGTAGAATATATGAAAGGCAACAAGGACAGGTTTTTTTTTTGTTTGTTTTTTTTTTTTTTTAAATACAACATTTAGGATTTATAAAGAAGTAAATAACATAGTTCTTTTTGTAGAGCAATCATCAGCCAAATCTATGAAATAATGTATAATTTAATGCAGAAAAAGTTAGATGTAAATGTGTGATTCATAATTGGCTTACCTTCTTTGAAGGCATGTTCCGCAGGATGTACACAATCTACATATATATGGCTGACTGTACAAGTTATTGGTGCTGTGATATGATGCAAAACCCAGTCCAGACATTGGTTGGATTTCACATTAGACAGAAGAGGTACCTTCCTACAGGCACTTGTCCTCTAGAGGGCACTTGTTTTCAGCACTTTTTATGTGGCTTTTTGGAGTTTAGTGGGACACTATAGGCACAAAAACAACTTTAACTTAATGAAGCAGTTTTGGTGTAGATATATATATCATACCCCTGCAATCTCACAGGTCAGTTATCTGCCATTTAGGAGTGAAGTCTCTTTATACAACCATAGTCACAACTCCCTGCATGGGACTTACAGAGCCTTCCTAAACACTTACTGAAAAGGAACCTAGGTACTCTAAGCATAGGCGACTCTCTAATTAGGTGATTTAGGTGGCCACCTAAGGCCTCAAATTCATTGGGGTCTTGCGGCCTTCTAACTGGCCTAACTGGAGAACAGGGCCTGAAGCATAGTGCAGGCATCAAAGGGTAAGAGGGATGGAGAAGAGAGAGGGAGATCAAACTGGGGGGGAAAGGAGATGGAGCCTGGGGGAAAAAAAAATGAAGATGAAGCTAGGTGAGAGAAAGGGAGATGGTACTGGGTGGGAGAGAGGGAGATGGAGCTGGGGAGAGAGGGAGGTGGAGCATGATCAGAGAGAGAGAGAGAGAGAGAGAGAGAGAGAGAGAGAGAGAGAGACAGGTTGAGAGTGGGATGGAGGGGAGGGAAGAGAGGGGGATGGGGCAAAAAGGAAGAGAGGGGGGATGGAGTGAAGAGGGAGATTAGGTGGAGAGGGAGATGGAGCTGGGAAGAAAGGAAGATGGAGCTTGGGGAGAGAGAGAGAGATGGAGCTGAGGGGAGAGATGGACATGGAGCTGGTGTAGAGAGAGAGATGGAAATGGGGAGAGAGGGAAATGGAAATGGGGAGAGAGGGAGATGGAAATGGGGAGAGAGAGAGAGATGGAAATGGGGAGAGAGAGAGAGATGGAAATGGGGAGAGAGAGAGATGGAAATGGGGAGAGAGAGAGATGGAAATGGGGAGAGAGAGAGAGAGAGAGAGAGAGAGAGAGAGAGAGAGAGATGGGGAGAGAGGTAGATGGAAATGGGGAGAGAGGGAGATAGAGTTGAGGGGAGATATGGACATGGAGCTGGGGTAGAGAGGGAGATGGAGCTGAGGGGAGAGAGGGAGATGGAGCTGAGGGGAGAGAGGGAGATGGAGCTGAGGGGAGAGAGGGAGATGGAGCTGAGGGGAGAGAGGGAGATGTAAATGGGGAGAAAGGGAGATGCAAAAGGGGGAGAGAGGGAGATGGAAGTGGGGAGAAAGGGAGATAGAGCTGAAGGGAGAGATGGACATGGGGCTTGGGGAGAGTGGGAGATGGAGCTGGGGAGAGAGGGAGGTGGAGCTGGGGGAGAGAGGGAGGTGGAACTTAGGTGGTGATATGGAGATTGAGCTGGGTTTGGAGAGAGAGATGGAGCATGGTCAGAGAGAGATTAGATGGAACTTAGGGTTAAGAATGGGATGGAGGGGAGAAAGGAAAATTAAGGTGGGGGGAGAGAGGGAGACATTGCCTGTATGCAGAGGCTACCAGGGCTGTTAAGAGGACCAGCCTTTCTTTTTGGTCTGGAAGGGGACCCATAATGTTATGTGGTCCAGTTGGGCAACTAGACCCCAAGGAAGCAACCTTTCTGGCAAAAGGTAGGCAAACAGTAGGGTGACTAAAACAGCTTGAATTTCAATATTTGCGTTTGTGTGCGTCTCTGTCAGTGTATGTATGTGTGTTTGCTAGTGTTTTTGTGTGCCTGGCAGTGGGTATGTGTATGTTTGCCTGTGTATCTATGTTTGTCAATGTGTCTGGCCTCAAGAATCACTGTGTGAGTGTATGTCTGTCTGGTAGTTTGTATCTGGGTATGTGTACATATTCCTATGAGTGGGTCTGGAATATATATGTGTGTGAGTTTATATCTATGCGTCTGGAAGCATGTGGGGGTTAATAAGGGAACATCAACTATGTTTGTAAAGGGCCATAAGTATTATGATGGCAGCCCTGTCGGGTGGACTGAGAGTCAAGGAAATGGGTGCGGAATGATATGCAGGGACTACTTGGCTGGAAATTGTTCCACATGTACAAGGGAAACAGGACGTAGTTCCTACTACATGTATATGTGTATGCAAATGTATTCATGGAGGAAGACATAGTTACATATTAGTATATGCCAAAAATTACTTTCGTCCATTAAATTTAGCCTTTCACACACGGCGTTTATTTAAAATAAGGGAAACAACCCAATTTGAACTGATTTCAATTTTAGCCACAAACTAGGTTTGGGAACCTCAGTAAGAGTTAAGTGATAAGAGAGCCTCCTTTAGCTGATGCTAGTGTTGTTTTAAAAAAAATAAAAAATGGCCTGAATACTATTCCACTTTAGCACAAATTATATTTTTTTCTGAATGCCACTATGTTACTATGATATTCTTTGTTCTTAGGATCTTATTTAAAAAAAAAAAACCTCAACACATCAAGATGCTTGTTAGGTCTATATGAATATACAGTTTTAGACATAAATTTTTCTAATGATGCAATGGGGCAAAATAACCCCAGCAGATGGACAAAGAGAATTAATAAAATTTTAAATGATAGTCTGAGGATACTGCAATTGAAATGTTTCTGTACCAGCATACAAGGTCTTGGTAAAGTGAGACATTTAATGAATTAATCCTTAGGCTTCTTCATTAAGGTATCCCAAAGTGCTAACTAATACAATTCAGTGTTAATTGGAACATGTCGTTCAATGTCTTTTTCAACACTTCTACTTTGACAAATCTGTTGCCATTATTCAGATCTTAATGTCCCACCAAATTTTGCACCCGTGAGGCCTTTTTTATGAGTAAATCTCCTTTTTTCGCTTTTTGCAATAAAGTCCATCACATAACGGTTGTGATATCGAACGCAACACTTTAAAAAAAAAAAAAAAAAAAAAAAAAAAGATTATTTTTCAATTTATAAAGATTTTTTTCAAATTAAGTATCTGCCGGCATGCCACATTTTTAAATTATTAAATAAAAATGTGCTGGGTAATGTATTAATCTTCTTCTAAAGTAAGAGGCTCTAGTTCACTTTGCACAAATTACATATTCTTTAATTAAGCTACTGATACAATAATAAAAAAGAGCACATACCGACTCCCTTGTGAGCATCTAAGCTGGTAAATTCAATAGTCCCATTGTGGCCCTTTTTTGGGTTTTCTTTATATGGTTTGTGGTTCCCATTAGGGCAGTATCTGTAAGAAAGTCCATAATCTGCAAGATAAACCTAGAAGACAGGAACAGATAAATGAATAATGCTTTTGTCCTTTGGAAGTATAACCTTTATAATTAAGCCTTAAGAAACTTATAGGTTGAGGACAAGCTTTGATCTGCATTTTATTAAACCAAATGGCACCTCGAGATAAAATATGTACATCTGGGGGCAATAACAGTTACCCTTCTTCTTTAAATTCTTCCCATCACCGTTATATCTTGTTTCTGAATTTAGCTGGATTTCAGTCTTTTTTTCCCTCTTTAACTCCCCAGCTTTCATCTCTCCAGGTGGGTATCTACACATCATAAACTGCAATGTGTCTTTTATGTGTCCTCTCAGTTTATGTCTTAGAAGCTTTTACATTTCACTAAAATGCCTGATCAGATCCAATAGTTTTATTTAACTCCACAAAGAATCATAGAGTTTGGGGTTTTTCAAGATAGAAAACAAAGTTAGAAGTTAAAGCAGGTTCACGTTCTGCGACAATTCGTAAAAACAAAAAGAAAATTGGAAATGAGGTTATAGGGAACACATCTCGAATGCCGCATACAAGGCCTTACAGGATAAACTGCTATCAGAGGATAACAGTAACCTGTCAAGATTAGAGTTAAACTTAGCATTCTTTTTGATCCTTTTTAGTCAATTAACTTCCATAATCAATTGCAAAAATAAATGAAACAAACCAGGCAGAACATATCAAATTAAATCAAGCATTGATGTCTTTAGTTATGGCAAAAGGGGTATATTCTTCTTCATCAATGCTGATTTATAATTTGTCAGCTTTTGGGCATTTACATTAATATGGTTTAAAAATGCTGCAAAAAAAAAAAAAAAAACCTACAGAAATGTTCATGCTAAAAAGAGAATTATTTTAGATTGATAATCTGATTTCAAATAAATATAGATAGGGCCTGACTGACCCACTGGGAAATTTCCAGTGGGTCGCTCTAGCCCGGTCCAGTTGCAGGTTGCTAGAAGAAAGGTGGTGGGAGTAGCAACGAATGCCTTCACTCCTCGTAATAGTCACAGAACTGAAGGCAGATGGGATATATCATAAAATCACATCATGGCAGCTGACACTCTGGCTCTGGATGAATAAGAGGACAGGCTGTGGACATGCATTTCTGGGCAGGTTCTGTTAAGAACAGCTTAAAAGGGAGTGTGCCATGTGTGTCAATGGGTTTGTATGGTTCATTGTATGTGCCTGAGACAGTGAAACTGTATATTAATGAGTGTGTGTCACAGAGTTCATCCATTCCTTAATAGATTCAGCTGGTTTCACCAATCGTGTACTTCCATAAAGGGACACCAGAACAACAACAGCTTATCGTAGTTGTTCTAATGAGTATAGTCAGTCCTTTTAAGCTTTTTTATGTAAACACAGCCTTTTCAGACAAAAAGCAGTGTTTTCACTACAGCCTAGGGACACCTCCAGTAGCCACTCCTCAGATGGCTACTAGAGGTGCGTCCTGGGGCGCAGCACTGACATTTGGCATCTCCACGCTCTGCATGGAGACTCTGAACGCTCCCCATAGAGATGCATTGATTCAATGCATCTCTATGAGTAGATACTAATTGGCCAGGGCTGTGTTTGGCTGAAATCATCAAAATTGACAATCACAGACAATCCAATGCTCTCATATGGGGGAGCATCAATTCTGATGATGTTAGCCAAGGAGGCAGATCGGGAGCGGAGCCAGCACAGGCGGACCCACGCAGCACTGGAAACAAGGTGAGGTATTTCTAGTTTTAAGGGGAACAGGGAGGGTCAGGTGTGAGTAAATAGTTAGTGTAACACTATAGGGTCAGGAATACACATTTGGTTCCTGACCATATACAGTGTTCCTTGAAACACAAACGGCATCATGCTTGAACTAGCTGCAATAGAAGGAACTACAGTGCCAGGGGAAGCGAGGACCTGGTCGTCAAATTTGTGGGCTTAGTTGCTTCTGCAACTACAGATTCTTCTATGACCTTACACTGTGAGACCCCAATTGCAGCATAAAAAGGCTGAGAAAAAAACAAACAAATATTTGTCTCCTGAATAGCGAATCAGATGTAATTATCCCAAGGCTGAATACTACTAATAGTGGTGGTACTACTAGGGAGGCTGGCAGAGATGTTAAGACTGAGAAGATGGCACTACTGCTGGGGAATAGAATTCCTACCCTTCCTCAATCTCTTTTTGCAATTAGAATGTACCAAATGATTTTGGATTTTTTTTTATTATTCAGATAAATTGGAATATGAATGTGTATTGTGTAAAGTAAGTAATGATACTTTATTAAGCCCAAATAGATGTTTAATGTTGAATTGCATTGTGTATTTACTAGTACTGTAATGTTATTGTCTCAGACTTTAAGAAACACAACACTGCACACACTAGATTGAAACAGTCACCCCACACACACACAAAAAAAAATATTAAAAGGATTGTCTTTCTACAAGCAGTTAAAGGACCACTATAGTGCCAGGAAAACATACTCGTTTCCTGGCACTATAGTGCCCCTGAGTGCCCCCACCCTCAGGGTCCCCGCCGCTCTGGAAAGGGGTTTAAACTTACCTTTTCCAGCTGGAGAGCTCTCCTCCTCGACAGCTGCGCTACGCATTCAGCAGCATAGGAAAGCATTTACAATGCTTTCCTATGAGAGCGTTTCACTGTAAACAGGAGAAGCAAGCGCCTCTAGTGGCTGTCAATGAGACAGCCACTAGAGGGAATGGGGGAAGGCTTAACCCATTCATAAACATAGCAGTTTCTCTGAAACTGCTATGTTTATTAAAAAATGGGTTAACCCTAGAAGGACCAGGCACCCAGACCACTTCATTAAGCTGAAGTGGTCTTGGTTCCTAGAGTGGTCCTTTAACATAAATAACTGTCAGATTCTAAGTCAGCAAATCAGGGGGCGTGGCTTGACACCGACGAAGATGGCAGCTAAGGCTCCGAGCTCCGCGCCCCGACCGATCCAAAACGCAGCGCAAACAGAGACTTACCCCTGTACAAGCGATCTCACACTGCCCCAGGGGGGTGAGAAGGCAATGGCCGCGTCAGCAGGGAAGAAGCACGGGAAACGACCCAAAGAAAGTACCCAGTCGGTGGCAGAATTGCTGCACACGCAGAGGCCGCATCTGTGCAAAGATGGCGCCGGCCCGGAGAGAGCTGATTCTGCTCCCGCCACGGAGACCGGGAGCAGAGACCACCCACCGCAGCAGACAGCACATGGAGAAATCCTCCAGTCTCTGGCGGAGGTCCGGCACTACCTGGCGGCAGAAATTGACAAATCTGCCAAGGACGTCAAGGCTGAGATCCAGGTGGTAGGCCGGCGCACGGAGGCCTTGGAGCTGAGGCTGGACCACGTGGTTGCAGCCCACAACGAAGCCGCCACAACCACAAACACATTGCTCACCAGAATGGCGGAGCTAGAAACTGAGATGGAGGACGCCTCGAATAGATCTCGGAGAAACAACCTCCGAGTTAAAGGCCTCACGGAAAACATCACAGATGCTGACTTACAGCCGGTACTACTGAGGCTGCCCGCCTGCCTGACATCCCCGACCATCTGTGGACTCTGGATAGGGTACATAGAGCGCTCAGGGCCCCCTAGACGGACCCCCCCAGGGATGTGATCATGCGCTGGCACTATTTTGCCACGAAAGAAGCCATTATAAAAAGCACCAGAACCCACACATACAAGTTGGACGGCATGGCAATACATCTCTACCAGGACATTGCACCCGCCACGCTGGCACGGAGGAGGGAGTGGAAGCCCATAGCTGCCCGGGGCCTGAAATTTGCATGGGGGCACCCGTTCAAGATGATGGTCTTCAGCTGCCCCAGGCCGGCGGTGCTCCTACCATCAGCGGATCCCAAAGTGTTCCTGAGAGACCTCGGCATTGAGGTACCCTCCGACTTCAGTCTACCCAACAGAGGCGCCCGGGCGCTGGGGCCCATACCCAGAGAAGAATCGGACCACCCCAGAGAAGCTCCGAAGGATGCCGCACCGGCGTGGCCACCAAGCACCGCACGCCAGCAACACCCTGGACTATCCATACAGGGGAAACGGCTTTTACTTCATCCGCTTATACATGGACGACAACAGAGACTGCACACAGCAAGGACTTATGTTGGAGAAGAATGCGAGACAACCACAGAGTAGAGGGAGGTAGCAGGGGAACGGGGACGGCAACGGGAAGGCGGGTAAACTGGTAAGGAGCAAACATGGCGGGCGGGAAGGGCTCACGAGAGAGTAGGGACAGTCTAAGTCAGCGGGGTCAGTTGGGCAAGTGCAAGGGGGGGCGCGGGGAGAGGGAACGGGGAGACATTTCGACAGCGCTAGTCAATGGACAAAGGCAGCCGGACGCACACACTCAGATACAACCGAGGTAGACCACGGGGGGAGGGAGACACTGGGAGAAGCATAGGTAATAAACACAAATGCAAAGAAAAAAAAAACCTACAACCGAAACAAAAACGGGGGCACAGCGGGAAAAAGACTGACTACGCATAAGTGCTAAAAACAACACAAAAACAAAAAATAAATAAGGGAAAAAGAAAGGGGAGTGGGGGGGGGAGGAGGCGGGAGAGGGGAGGGTAAGCCAAGGAAGGAGGGGAACGCCTAAAACGGGGAGAGGGGGGAAGGAGACAAGGAAAGAAAAAAAAACAAAGGCAAAGGAAAGGGGGGGGAAAGAGGGGGAAAAAAGGGGGAGAAAGGAAAAAAGGGGACAAAAAAGAAAAAAAAAAAAACACGCAGAAAGAGGGAATTGGTCACACACTCCTTACGCACCGGGACGGGGAGGAAGGGAGGAAAGGGAGCACACTGGAGGGCCACAAGGAACCTACGTAATAAGAGCGGGTAGACTTGGGGGATCACGGGACAGCAAGAGGGAGCTTAAACGGGGGGAGAGTGTGCGGAGCTCGAAATCTATTCTCACTCGCTCCTGGAAATGTCTTGTATTTGTTGAAACCTTCTGTTTTTGTTCACTGTTCAGAGTTGTGTTCAGGTTACAAGAGCATCTGCATACATAAGTCGAAAATCTACCCACAGACACTATGTTCTCAGGGATATAAGTCTACACATACGATACGAGGGTCGGATTCGGGGGGAACGGCGACTAGACGATCTCGCTCCCACTCCGCGTAGCGGCTCTCACTTGCAGAGGGAACGGCTACCCCCACATAGACCCGGCACTAATAAGACCAGGTCCTGACCCGACAACCCCTACACACCACACGACCCCACCAGGCAGGGGATTGACCCCACCCCTAGTCCCGCACCACCTCCCCCCCCCTACCCGGGGATGCCGGCGTTCCCGACCCCCTCCCTTCTCCCCCCCCCCACGTTCTCCCGCCCTTCACCCGCTGGCGGCCCACACTACCTGGAGCGCGCGAACACGTCCCCTCCCCGGCGCTGCAGGGGTGGGGGCGCGCGCGGAGGGCTAGAACAGACCCCAACCTGAACGGACGGTAGGGAGTGGACGACAGGACGAGGATACACACTATGGCCACGCTCAAATTCACATCCCTTAATGCCAATGGCCTCAATGCCCCAACCAAGAGGCGATTACTGATGAGGGAACTCACACCGACCTTGCGTTTATACAGGAGAAGCACCTTGTGCGCTCAGCCCGCATTCAACTCACAGACCACGTATACACTAGAACATACTCCTCTCGGGGATTGACTAAGAAAAACGTGGTGGACATCCTAATACACAAAAGATGCCCGTTTGTGACGCAGAATGCGCTAACAGACAGTGTGGGCAGATATATCATCCTCACGGGTATGATTTACAACGCCACCTACCATCTGATAAATTTATACGCACCTAACCACCCGGACCCAGTCTTCTGGGATCAGCTCTACAACCGTCTACACTCACTGCCACCTGGGATAATGGTCCTGGGGGGAGACTATAACTCCACACCTTGCCCAGCCATAGACCGCAGCGCCATACAGGGGGGTACTGGGGCGAGGGAGACAAGACAAATTATTGGCCAATTTCATCCAACGACTGAAGCTACTAGACCCCTGGAGACTGCAACACCCCGGAATCAGAGACTACACATTCCACTCGGCGGCTCACTCGACGTACTCTCGCATAGACATGTTCCTAGTTAATCAAGGAGGAATCCCATGGATCCAGTCTGCATGAATAAACCTTATAACATGGTCCGACCACGCGGACGTTGAACTCATACTGCGACTGCCGGGTCCTAGCACTCCATGGAAGTGGAGGCTTAGGGACGCGCTTCTCAAGGACCCTGAGGTAACGCACCAAGTGCAGGAGGAACTGACTGCTTATTTCGCCATGAACGACACGCCTGACGTGTCTCAGTCCACGTTATGGGCCGCCCACAAGGCAGTGATAAGGGGGACCCTAATTAAAATAGCAACTAGACGTAAGAAACTTAGAGCAGAGACCCTCTTCGAACTCCAGAAGGAGCTGCGACGGGCGGAAACCAAACAGGCGCCCACGGATCAGGGTCTCAAAGCGCTCAGGGACTTGCGTTACAAGATTAGAAACATGGTCATTGAAGATCTAGGTAGGGAGCTGGTCCGTAAAAGGCGCCTTTATTACGAACGGTCGAACAAAATGGACACCCTGTCGGCTCGGGCTCTGACCCCTAAATCGAAATTCCACACCATACCAGCGCTCCTAGAGGGGGAAGGGAGGGTAACACACGATCCGGTGGAGATCAACCAGCTCTCTGAGTTTTTCTCTAAGATTTACAACCACTCCCCAGAGTTACACGGGAAGAACGAGGTATACGACCTGGCAGTGAGGGAGTTTGTCACCAAAACTAACATACCCAAGCCCGCCCCCGAAGCCATGTCTTCGCTGGGACTGCCCATAACAGAAGAGGAAATCGATAGGGCGATCACAGAACTGAAAGGGAACAAGGCCCCGGGACCAGACGGTTTCGGGGGCTCCTACTACAAAGCCCTACGGGAGGCACTGACTCCCCGGCTTGCGCAGGTATACGCGGAATGGATGGAGGGCAGGCCGGCAAACCCAGACATGCTTACGGCAGATATAACACTCATTCCGAAACCAGGGAGGACAAGACCGTAGAGACCAATTTCCGTCCCAACTCCCTAATCAACTTCGACGTTAAGGTTTTCGCAAAGATATTGGCGACTCGGTTAAACCCCCTGTTGACGACCCTGATACACGCCGACCAGGTCGGATTCGTTCCAACGAGACAACTATACGAGAAAACGAGGAGGGGCGCTGATATTATTTGGTGGGCGAACAGAACCAAGACGCCTTCTCTGATCCTGTCATTGGATGCGGAGAAGGCATTCGACAGGATATTGTGGCACTACCTCTTCACCTTATTGAAACACTTGCAAATGCCAGAGCCCTTTGTTCGAGGGATAGAGGCTCTCTACGCAAACCCCAGAGCGCAGACTATGGTGCCGGGAGCACCCCCAACCCCCTTCCGACCCCACAACGGTACCAGGCAGGGTTGCCCCTTGTCCCCCCTGCTGTTCATCATCGCATTAGAGCCCCTACTTCATCAAATAAGCGGGGAGGCGGGCATTGCAGGGATTCGGGTTGGAGAAGACGAGTATAAAGTCTCCGCATATGCGAACGGCGTCCTGATTACGATGTCCACTCCTGGCCAATCGCTCCCCCGACTTCTGTCGCTCTTAGACGACTACGCGTATGTCTCGGGATACAAAATCAATATGGGAAAATCAGTGGCAATGCCACTGGGAATGGACCCGAGGGACATTGAAGCCCTTAGGACCGGCACATTTGTTCACCATTGCGAAAACCAACATCAAATACCTGGGCGTCACGCTCACTGCGGACACGGATAGCCTATACGCCGCGAACTACAGCCGTAAGATACAATCATTGTGCCGCGATCCAGAAAGGTGGCAGGAAAAGCCAATTTCCTGGATAGGCAGACACCACGCTATAAAGATGACGCTCCTTCCCCGCTTGCTATTTTTGTTCCAGGCTTTGCACGTAAAAGTCCTCAGTTCACTGCAACGAGACATGGACAAGTTTATCTGGGCTCACAAACGCCATCGTATAGCCAGGCAGGTGATGTACCGGCCAAAAACTAGGGGGGACTGGGGCTCCTGAGTCTCTACTGCTACTACCTGGCGGCGCAGTTGGCTCAGGTGGTGGCGTGGCACTCCCGGGCGGGTTCCCACAGGTGGGCGGACCTAGAATCACGTCTCATGTGCACGGACCTACCACAATTTTGGATTTGGGTACCCAAAAAAGATAGACCACCCATTTGCACAACGTGCCCGGCAATACTTAACACAATCCGAATCTGGGACCTCACGGCAGACAAATACATTCTCAAACACACTCCACCTCCGATGACCCCTTACCTCCACAACAGGGCATTTCAGCTGGGGCTGAGTGCGCGAGATTTCCGGGGTATTGAGAACACGGGTGTACAGAGATATTTCCACCTATTCGATAAGGGGAAATTCAAAACGTTTGACCACCTGAAATCCCTAGCCCCCCTGACCACGAAAGACGTATTCCGTTATATCCAGCTTAAGGACTTCGCCAACGGCCCAGAGATCAAACAGGCAGCACACACACCCATGACGTTTTTTGAACGACTGTGCAATGCCGAGACCGAACAGAAAGGACTGATCACACTTCTCTACGCACACCTCAGTGCCCCAGACAGAAACACTCCGGACCCCAGATACATTAGGCAGTGGGAGACTGATCTGGGTGGAGAGTTGGAGGGTGAGGACTGGGTGGATATATGGGAGGCGGCTGCAAAGACGTCGATCTGTGTTCTCCACCAGGAACAATCATATAAAATGTTAATGAGATGGTATACCACACCAGTACAATTATACAGAATGGGGCAAACTACGACAGACACGTGCTGCAAGGGATGCGGACATAAAGGCACTTTCGTGCATATGTGGCTGGAAAGCCCAGTCATAGGCGGGTATTGGAAACAAGTACAGACTTTATTAACGGACGTCCTGGGTAGACAGGTGGAAATGGACCCTTGGTCCGTCTTGCTATCTAGGCCGATAGTTGGCCAACCCAGACACGAACAACTCCTATTCTACAAAATCACCATGGTGGCCAGGCGGGCGCTAGCCCAGGCGTGGCAGACACCCTCAGTCCCGACAAACACCGACGTCATTATGAAAATTAAAGACACTTACTTAATGGACAAACTCACTGCCCAAATAAGAAACACGGAAATGAAGTTCCACAAAGTCTGGCAACCATGGGAGGAATATATAGGCGACTAAGACCTACAGCACTTGACGAGAGCAAGAGACAGGGCCCGCCGCGCGCTCCCCCCTCCCCCCGCGGGCTGTTGGGGGAACTCTGTGCGGCCTTCCCTCCCCCCCCTCCTCTTTTTTTCTTTTTTTTTTCTTCTTTTCTCCTCTCTCCTCCTCCCTCTTCCCCCCCAACCTTCACCACACAACATCACAACCACGCAGACACCAGAAACCGCCTCCTACAGGAGAGATGTAGTCTCTCTGCAACACAACGGAGGGCGCGACCCCAGAAGCAGGTTCAAACAGCAAAGAGATGCCCTGCTGACGGGGATGCTGCCCCAGTAATACCCCAACGACATAGCTATCAGCAGACCATGGGGGCTCCTCACACGCTACACCACCACACCTGAGACAGGCCCCGTGGAGGTAGGAACGGGGGCCAGGAACCTCTTCCCACACACGTTCCATACCATGTCCGTCTCCCCATGAGGACACCACGCCGGCTGGGGTACAACCATCTACCTTTACAACACTAAAACGCATCTTTCTGCTAGCAAACCACACTGACCACAACCATGCTCTACTAATGGATATAAAAAGCAAAGACACGATTTATTCTGCTTTAATACCCTCGTTGACTTTTCCTTTTTATATAAAACATAAAATTTGACAAAGCACTGTACAACTATTGTAAGGCAGAACACTGCACCACACGCTTTTGTATGCACTGAGTACTGGGCATCTGTATGTAAAATGTACAGTTCTATCAAATGCCACAGTTATACTGTATATGTTTATATTTTTGCTCCTGCTGTTGTGGCAGGGTATGACTGATTGTTATTTGTGTACAACAAAAATAAAGAATTTAAAATATAAATAAATCAGCAAATCAAACTCGATGTAAGTGGCAGTGGCTACTGGCACAGCAGTATTGAATAACTAACCACCAGTATCACACTAGGATCAATTAAACAATTATTAGACAGGATATATCTACCTCCTGATCACAAATGTTGTAGGACTGTGCCACTGGCAGGGTCTAGGCACAGCAGTAACAGCCTCACTAGGCTCATTGACTCAGGTAAAGTTGTTAGTGACCCTGGCAGTAGCTAGGCAAAAGGAACTTTATTCTATTCATTTATTTTTAATTTTTTTTGTATCGTCTGCAACAAAGTGGGACACATTATTTGTCCAGAGAAATAGCACCAACATCATGAGCTGGAGAGGGACACTGCCAGCTCGTTTGCAATCACAACATTATATGAAGATAAAAAAAAACAAAAATAAATTCCCCACCAAATGCAATGAAAAAACAAAATAAAATGTCTCTAGAATGCATTTCTGGCAAGTATATTCAGTTAAAAGGGTTCTAGTCAGGTCTGATTCTACTAGAACGTCAAAATCACAGTACCTTATTTGGATCTGTGTAGCACAAAAGAATATTAGCTGCCTTTATATCGCCATGCACATATTCCTGTTCATGTATGTATTCCAACACGTCAAGCTAAAATGTAGAGAAAGACATTATTTGAAGTAAAACATTTCAAAAAATATATTAGAAACAGTTTGGCAGATTGTATGTTGAACAAACGGTCAACTGCACAGCTTTCAGTAAAAAGGACAGTTAAACTGCTAAATAAATAAATATATATGATACAAGCATAGACATGTGCATGGAGAGTGCCAGTTGTACCTATGCACACCCTATTGAAGACGCAGTCTAATGCCCTGCTCATTGTTGTGATAGAAAGTGAGGTTATGGCTTTAAGTTCTATTCCTGCCCCCTCCTCACAGCTCCCTGCATAGGTCTCTTCTCAGGGAAACTATTATAAAAGTATAAGGTGAATGTGTGACCCGGGGAGAGAGACAGAAACTGGGATGTTTCAGAGAGAAGGGCAAAGAAAAGTGTACGGAAAGTGGTGCATCACTGGGGAAAGTGGGATATATGGGGATAAATACAAGGGGCAGATGGAAAGAAGTTCACAAGTACAGAGTAATATGGGTAAATGATGTGTTGTGAAAGTGTTATTGTTGTTATGAACTCTGTTATGAACTCATTCACAGTCACTATTACATTAACAAGCCCCACGCCAGTAAAATGCATAAAGGTTTATTCACTAAACTCTGAACTGCAGCAAATTAATATTAATCAAATTGCAAAATTAAGGCTAAAATATCAAAGCTGGGACTATTGCATAATTAGAAAACAAAATCTTCAAATCAGCTATGTTTGTCTTAAATTGCCAATTTAATTTGCTACAAATTTGAAGTTTTATGAAAAATCCAGACAGTAATGGGCACTGTATATCAGTCTTTTAAAATGCTATCCATTGATGGAAATAGTACTTATTATTTCTCTAAGTGAAATGCCATTGCTAGGCTTAAAGCTTTATCTAATGTTCTCAGCCTATCACCGGCTACCTAGCTAAACCTTCCTCAGACTGTGGAAGCAGAGATGGAAGAAAGCCATGGGGCAGGAATGTTGGGCTCTGGAGACGCACGTTGCAAAACAGTTTAACCCCTGCAGACTAATTCCATACACTCCTGCTGCCCTAACAACTTATATCTACTAAATTTATTATTGGGGCGGCAGTGCTGATTTAAGTATTTAATAACAGGTTAATAAATAAAAATTTAAAAGTGCTGCACACACCTATGGATCAATTATACATGTTATCATTATTACTTGCACTGGAGCAGAAAACAAATGTGAGGGTGTTTGGAGTGCCCTATTAATTGTTAAGTGTGCAGGGGCCAGGAAAATAAGGGTGATCATATGGAGGTTCAAAATGGAAATGAAAAGGGGAACAGGGAAAAAAAAGTGAAGCGAGGATGAACTAATGGAAGAGAAACATGTAAATGTTAAAGGAGCTCTCCAGACCCTCAAAGTACTTTAGCTTGCTGAAATGCTTAATGTGTAAAGAGTGTTGTTTTTTTCAATTGAAATTGACAAATTTATACATTAACCTTTTAACACCCCCATGGCTCTCAACTAGACAAACGGTCCTCTTACTTCCTGGTTGTTTAGCTCAGTGGAGCTAAACTTAAGAGGCACACCTGCCTTGCAAAGACTTCTCATTGACTTGCTTTGGAAAGTCTGTGATTGGACAACCGCATAAAATCTGGTTGGGGTTAAAAGGAGAGGGCTTAAAAGAGGAAGGTTGCAAACAAGAGAAATGTAACATTTGCAACCTGTTTTTTTTTTTTTTTTAGATATACTACAATTAAAAAAATGCACAATAAAATGCATGCATGTTGTCACTGGTTGTATATCTAATACAATATTTTATATATGGGTAGGGAAGTGTTCCTTTAAAAAAATAAATAAATCACTGTTAGTTGAAACTTACCAAACGAATCCCTAATTGCATAATTGTATTTAATGGAAATTTTCCACCATTGCTGAGAAGCAATTTTTGTAGATCTGTGCCAAGACGATCAATCACCATAAACCTGTAGCTGTTAAAAATATAATGAAAAGGAAACGTTGGCGCATTAAAAATGTAGTGCAGTATATGAGAATAAGGTGCCTGAAACAATGCATTTACACAAAGTATAACATTAAAAGTGTCTTAAAAGAGAATAAAACAAAATTAAAAAATTAAAAAATAAATAAAAAAGAAGGTATTCAAACGAGATTGGACAGAAAGTGTAGCTTTTAGTATTTTCATCTCTCTCATGCCCATAATGCTCTCATGATAATAACCAGGTTAAGAGAACAAAAACATATCTTGATCTTCTATGCCAGAAACTTCCTCCGATTTCTTGTCACCTGAAAGTGACAGTACATAATTTTAAGCTAGAAAATGTTTATCTGTAATGCAGCTAGCCGCCTTCCAATTGCATCACATTTTCCGGGGCTTCAATGACAGTTACTGAGCTGCACGCACTAAAACTCCTTCAGTTTTAAACTTTTGTTTTGTTACTTTACATAGTTTAATGCCTTAATGTACTTTGATAATAAAGCATAAGACAAACAAGCGAATGTAGATAGAAACAAAATTATGAACTCATTAAGCTTAAAAGAACATAGTGTTCCTTTAAATTTAATGGATTTCATAATTTTGGTTTTTACCCTGACCCTTAAGTGTTAAAAATATTATATAGATCATCTCGTAGAAAAGCATTGGAATGGCTGAAATCACCAATTCTGATGATATCAGACAAGGAGGTGGAACGGGTCAGAGCCAAACGCCATCCTAACAATTCAGTATCTCCTCATAGAATCAATGCATATCTATGGGGAAAGTTCAGCGTGGAGAGGCTGAACATCAGTGCTGCACACATTGTGCAGCACTGCCGCAGGATGCACCTCTAGTGGCCGTCTGAGTGACTGCCACTGGAGGTGTCCCTAGGGAGCAATGCAAACACTGCCTTTTCTCTGAAAAGACAGTATTTACAGAAAAAAGCCTGCAGGGATATACTATACTCACCAGAACAACTACATTAAGATGCAGTTGTTCTGGTGACTATAGTGTCCCTTTAAAAAATGTTTATCTACATTTCTGACCTATTAAAGTAGCCACGTTTTCCAGATATAACAGGTGAATAGACTTGAGGCATTCTTTCTATAATTGGAATCAAATGTTGCTTTTTAAAATATATTTACAGATGTACCCACAGATAGGGTGCTTTGCTTTCATCCTGGTCTCATGGTTTCATCCATGGGACTGCAGTGAAGAACCTGTCCTGTCCCAGCACTGGATTACTGGTAGGTTTAAACACCACTACAGTCACCAAGATCACTTAATCTTAATGAAGTGGTCTGTTTGTGTTTTTTGTTTTGTTTTTAGAAACTGCAATGTTTACATTGCAGGGTTAAATCCACCTATAGTGACTGTCTTCCAGGGCAGCCACTAGGCAACTCTTTTGTATGACACAGAAAATCATAAGAAAGCACGGAATTCAATGCTTCTCTATATGAAGCATTTCGATACGTGGAGCATTGGATTGCCCATTGGCTTCAGAGCCAGGTGATGTTGCGGAGACAGACCTAAAACAAACCTGCAAATAGAGCACTATAGCGTCAGAAATACAGGTTTGTATACCTAATGCTATAGTGTTCCTTTAAAAGCATTTTTAGCATTTTCTTACATGTAAATAGGCACCAAGGACACCTAATCACAATGAAGTGACCCTGTCTTTTTAGTCCTGCAATTGAAAATACAGCCATTTTGTAGATATGATAAAGTTTTCATCTCAGGGCTAAACATGCTTCTAGAGCAGTGATGCCTAACCTTGACACCATAAATAGTTTTTGGACTACATTTCCCATGATGCTCAGCTAGCTTTTAGACTCTAAGGGCTAGCTGAGCATCATGGGAAATGTAGTCCAGAAACAATTTATGGTGTCAAGGTTAGCCATCACTGTTCTAGAGGCTGTCTTCCGGACAGCCACTAGAGGCGTTTTCACTACAACGACGGAATTTAACTCGGTCATGTGACATTCAATATCCATGAGGACTTCAATCATCACCAAATGCTGAACAAGCACAGAGTTTGCTGTGCATGCGTTTCTGATGCATAATGTTTCTCTGTGACAATAATTGGATTGGGAGAGAAGTGTGATATAACGACGCAGTAGGAAAAGCTTCCGGCTGCAAGGACTGTGATGCAGCACTAGAAAAAGGTAGGTAAAACACCTAAATTTACAAGAAACCTCTAATCTAAATTGGGACGCTAACACTATAATGCATGTTTGTATTCCTAACGTTATAGTGTTCCTTTAAGTAATATAGACATGAATAGTATAATGCTCTCACTGCTAAACTGATAGTTCTTTACTAACCAGCAATCCTTACGCCAGAGTCATCATACCTTGTTGAGCTGGATTTAGTTTCCCCTGATCCCCAGTAATTGGGAATTCCAATGTAATCCATCTTGTGTCTTGCTACCCATGCTTTTACTGTAAAATAAACATAAAAACATAAAAATCTGTATAAGCAACGTATGCTCTGATCCACATTTTAGCTCAAGTGGCTCAATAGTCACAGCCAAGAGTTACTGAAGAGAACATGGAAACTTGCTTACTTCTGGTTGCTAACTTTGAAATAAGGGAGCATGGCCCAGGATCATTGCACAATAGAACGATTTTGACACACAGAGACTATGCAAACATTTTTTGGTTAACTCAATGTATAAAGACTTCTAGCTCCTTAACCGAGAATCTTCACTTCTGTAGAAATTACACAGAGTATTACACTGAAGATCATCTGTAATTTCTGCTAAAATTTTTAGATGCAATGCTCACTTTCACTTTAAATACATATAAAGAAAACTGAAAATCAAATCACCCCAACAAAAACATGGTTTCATATCTCCCAACTGTCCCTATTTAGCAGAGACAAATCCCTCCACTTTTCTCTCCTAATGTCCCTCTTTCCTTGGAGCTCCATATTGTTTGTGTGACTGAGTGTATAACAGAGCTTCACAGCAACAATACTCCCAGTAATGTGTATTTAAAGGAACACTATAGGATTAGGAACACAAACATGTTTTCCTGACCCTATAGAACAAAACACTATGTAGGCCCTCTGCCCCCTCCCTCCCTTTGCCCTTATAAATACAATGAGATCTTACCTTTATTTCTGTCTGCTAGTGCTGGCTCTACCCCATAGGAAAGCATTTGCTGAGACTGTCAATTCTGATGATCTCAGCCAAGGTGGCAGGATGGGGTGGAGCCAAACACTGCTCAATCAGCATCTCCTCATAGAGATGCATTGAATCAATTGAATTAATGCATCTCTATGAGGAAAGAGGGTGGAGATACTGAATGTCGCAGCACCGCCCCAGGAAGCACCTCTAGTAGTCATCTGAGGAATTGACACTGGAGGCGTCTATAGGCTGTAATGTAAACACTGCCTTTTCTCTGAAAAGTCAGTGTTTACAGCAAAAAGCCTGCAGGGACTGTCTATACTCACCAGAACAACTACATTAAGCTGTAGTTGTTCTGGCAACTATAGTGTCCCTTTAAACTACAATAAATGTGTATAGCAATCCGTCTTTGTAACTAAAATACAGTGTTGTTGTTCTTCTAAATTACATTTTATTTGCATATATTGTTATAAGTATGTCATACAATTTTTTTTTAGAGCATTCCCGTCTGCATTGCCTCTAAAATTAAAGTGCCCCTCTAGTATTTTGGAAGCTATGTAGTTTGTCTTTCTCCTTCTCTGTTTGTTGTGTTTCTTCTTCGCCATTGATTATCTCAGCAAACACAAAGATATATCAGGAAAGTTTGGGGGAGTCCTCTCTATACTAACAGGGGCTAATGCATTTTTAATGGAAGAAAAGAAGGTATACAGCAATGATGTAAAGGATGAAGGTATTTAATTGCTAAATAGTGGTAAACAGAGAGATGTGGATTTGGGGATTTAATTTTATATTTCAAACCTCAGAAACACATATTTGTTAAAAAAAATTAAGCAATTAGCATGGGCTTCAAAACATCTAGTGTTTGAAAATAATTATATAAGCACATGCACCAGTGTTGCACCATGTGTTACTTAGAAGTTAAAAATAAAAAAAGAAACAAAGTCTACATTTTTATGCAGGGCTTACACTAGGTCAGTTTTCATTTGCGTCCCTACCCTTTTTGCATGTCCGTACACCACATTTTAATTGTTAGCAGTAAGCCATACTTACTTTGATTATCTTTTGCTGCTCTTTGATAAAATTTCAGTTCGCAAAACAAAGGTCCATTTTCATGGTATTCCTAAAAATATATTGGTAAACGTTTAGTATCAGATCATACATAAAAGGGTAGTTTGTTAACTTACTATATGTGTGATACTGGTTAAACAGGGTTGTGTGTGTAGATTAATAAACAAAGAATTTGAGAAATTAGGTATGTTTATACTATTTTTAATATATTATTCCAAAGTAATATTCTGCTCATATTCACATAACTCTTTAGGAATTTGACAATAACAAAAGACAATCTAAGCACCATACACGCTACAGTACACGAACACTATGTTTGTGGTACCAGAAAGCCCCCCTGGCTCTGCCCCATGGTTATGAATTAAACCATTTTGAGTGGCAATGTACAGAACCCCTCCAAAAGCTATTATTAATGAAATAATTATAAATAAGTGTTAGGGGAAGGCATGTTTCCTTGCAGACTAAGAAATGCTGGGGAAGCTGACCTAAGTTGAAAAGTCCAAGGTCTGATTCTGGCAGTCTCTCATTGTTAGCCCTGATTCCCCTATAATACTGAGAAAGTGGTACTGTAAAATTGGAAATGCTATTTCTTTAATGTGCCATATTTAGGGTTATAGGGATACTATAAGTGCCAGGAATACAATTTGTATTCCTGGCTCTGTAGCACACACACACACGCCATGTACTCCCAACACAGTGAATAAAAGGTTAAAAACCCCTTTGTTTACTTACCTTACCTTAAAGGGACACTATAGTCACATGAACAACTTTAGCATAATGAAGCTGTTTTGGTGTATAGAACATGCCCCTGCTGCCTCACTGCTCAATCCTCTGCCATTTAGGAGTTAAATCCTTTTGTTTATGAACCCTAGTCACACCTCCCTGCATGTGACTTGCACAGCCTTCCATAAACACTTCCTGTAAAGAGAGCCCTATTTAGGCTTTCTTTATTGCAAGTTCTGTTTAATGAAGATTTTCTTATCCCCTGCTATGTTAATAGCTTGCTAGACCCTGCAAGAGCCTCCTGTATGTGATTAAAGTTCAATTTAGAGATTGAGATACAATTATTTAAGGTAAATTACATCTGTTTGAAAGTGAAACCAGTTTTTTTTTTCATGCAGGCTCTGTCAATCATAGCCAGGGGAGGTTTGGCTAGGGCTGCATAAACAGAAACAAAGTGATTTAACTCCTAAATGACAGTGAATTGAGCAGTGAAATGGCAGGGGAATGATCTATACACTAAAACTGCTTTATTTAGCTAAAGTAATTTAGGTGACTATAGTGTTCCTTTAACCTGGGCGACAGCCACTGGAAGCAGACTTAGAGCTGCAATGTAAACATTGCAGTTTCTCTGGAAACATTGCAGCACTAAGTACAATAGGGACACTGTACACAGACCACTTCAATAAGCTGAAGTGGGCTGGGTGCCTATAGTGTCCCTTTAACTATAAAGCACAGTATAGGGGATTGCTGTGGGTGCAAAGTAATGCTATAATATGGGGGTTAACGCAGGGCTTGACAAATTTGCTTTGAATCTAGGAGCCAGCTAAAAATGTTAGGAGCAGGTTTTTGTTTTTTTTAAACTTTACAAAAAAACTTTATTTTCAACAACAAACATACAATTCTTAAAGGGACACTATAGTTACCAGGACCACAGCATGGTGTTCTGGTGTTTATAGCCTGTCCATTCAGGCTTTTCAATGTAAACACTGCCTTTTTAGAAAAAAAGATGTTTACATTGATGCCCAGTGATACCTCTAGTGGCCGTTACTCAGATGGCCACTAAAGAGTTTCCTATCTCAGTGTTGCACAGTGTGCAGCACCTACATTTAGTGTCTCCACACTCTGCATGGAATCACTGAATATTACCAATAGAGATGCATTGATTCAATGTATCTCTATGAGGAGAAGCCAATTGGAGCAGTGTTTTGCAACGCATGCACAATAGTCACCCAATACTTTCATAAAGGAAAGCATTAGATTGGCTGAGATAGTCAAGCTTGATAGAGGCGAGGTTAGCAGTGGGGAAACCAGCACGGCATGAGAATACAAGATGAGAAAAATCACCGTTCCCATGCAATCGGAGAGGGGCTGGTAACCTCAACACACACATACTCTGACAGACACACAAACCATAACACACACACACTGAAACACACACAAAGACACGCTGACAGACACACAGACACACTAACAGATGCACAGACATGCAATAACAAATTGTTTGTTTTAATTTTATTCCACCCACCCCCCCTGCCTTTGGGAGACCTGGAATGGATCAACTTTCTCTTGGGGGAACGGGCTCACAAATCTCAGGCGCAAGGCAAAACTCCTAGTTGCCATGGCGACCTAGGGCCCAGGATCTGTCAAACCTTGTGTTAATGGAATACTGAATTTACCTAAACTACTTCAATAGATTTATGTGGTTATGGAGCGGAGTCCTGTATCACTTCTAAACTAATTTTTCTGAAATGCTTAGTACCCGGCAATCTGAAGCCAAGCCTCCAATGACAAAATTATAGAGGTGGAACTATGCTCTGTTTCATTCCATAACAGGGTTAGTGGGCAGTGGTAGACTGAAAGTGTGAGCTCAGCCCTCTCTGCCAACTACTAACTCAATCCCTGGTCTAAATTGGTATAATGCAAGGTAGAAGAATAGCGAACTGATACCAGGCTTTCGCTTTCAGCTGCCGACGGCAGAGAATCTTTACTAAACTTTAAACTGTTTAGCGGAGAAGCAGGACTCTGCGACCATAGATTCCAGACATCATTACCTCTTCAACCCATTGAAGTTTTTATGGTGCCTAAACTGTTTCTTTAATGCCGTGGGTGTAGGGTTAATGCAGCATGGTGCGTGGTTAATACTGCAGATGTGGAGGGTATAAATATAGAATTTCAATTTTCTCAATTTTAGATTCTACTGATAAGTTGTAATATGAAATAGTACAAAGTATACTATTTACCTTTTCTTTCACATGCATATAAAAAAATAACTGTATATATACATATATTACCACTTTTACGACATGCGCAGCATCATTAGAAACTGGTTTATCACGCCCAGGAGAAGCTGTAACAAACAAAATGATGACTTAATTTTTTTTTTCTCACACAATTAATATACCACATATGATTTAATGGTTTTACCCCTTCCCTGTGAGGGTGCCAATACTTGCACCATAACCATTACAGCAGGATGTAAGTGTTATGGTGCTTAGAGTGTTCCTTTAACCCCTTAAGGACCAAACTTCTGGAATAAAAGGGAATCATGACATGTCACACATGTCATGTATACTTAAGGGGTTAAACTAAATTATTCATGTGAATTGAAACTGAACAGTAATGTTTTGGTAGAAATGATCCAACTCAAAATGTTCCAATTAATATTTCAATTCACCATAAGTCTGTGTTTAGAGAATAAACCCCAGGGTATGTAATGATTCCTGTGGAGAATTGGGTAGGCATCAATTAAGTTAAAGGAGAACTCTTACTTGAAGTCAATACTACAGTTTCTATTTCAGACAATATTATCAGAAAAAGCCATGGGCTTTAAAATTCACTCGCCAGCTCCTTTAAAAAAAGGGTCCCTGTCTGGGTTCTCCACTTCAACCATCAATATATCCAAAAGACAGTGTACACTCACATGATCTCTTCAATCACAGTTTAAAGTGCTTCCTTATTTATAAAGTGCAAGTAGTAAGGATCAACATCTCAGTCCCCCCACACAGGGACTTTTTTGAAGATGGAAAAAAAAAATCCCCCCCAAAAAACTAAAGCACATTTCCCCTAGCCACCAGCATAATAACAACATGAAGATTCCCCTTCTTCATTGCCCAGGATAATAGGAACCTTTAATTAAGTGATACTAAACAGGTTAATTAAAATATTTTGGCAGGATAATGAGGAAGTAAGACTTCCTCATAATCAAGACTGCAGCAGAGGGGGTTGGGATACGGTGCTGTTTTCAGTTTGTTTAGTGTCCAGCATCAGCATGCTTCCCTATGAATAGCATTGGATTAACTGCTTCTTATAGAGACGCAATGGACAGGTGGATCACTGCATGCACCATGCGTTCTCATTGCTTCTTGCTAGCTGGGCATAAATCAAGCTTGATAATTTCTCCAGAAGAGAATTGAGCTGCAGAGAGCAAACTGTACTGGTGCTAGAATAAATGGTATAATGACTTTTTAAAAACTCTTATTTAAAAATGTGAAGGTCCCCAAAAATCTAATTAGCATGTCACTGGAAAGCTGTATTGGTGCCTAGCAAGGCCAACATTTTTGATCTTTTAACTAAACAGCTATAATACGTTTCATGCACATGCTAGCAGTACCTGAGCCATATACGAGAACGTTTGGAACCCTGATGGTGAGATATGCAGAACCTTTCTTCTACATTGATACATTGGGTGCAGGGCTCCTGCACGGACTGCAGGCATACATGGTAATGAGTACTTAAAACTTTACTCGATATTGATGCATCTATTCATTTTTCTATTTTGATAATACAGAGAGAGATTGAATGTTTATTTTGTGTAATAACTACTATGCAACATATCTATATCAGAATAAAAAAATATATCATAGAAAAAAGTTTGAACACTTATGTTTTATTAACATGAACACTTATGGTTTATTAACAAATTAAAGCTAGTTACTAAATGTTATGCAAGTTTTCCATACCACAATTAGGTGGAGATATCTCCGATAGGTCTCTAAACTCAACAAATGACGTGTCCAGGTTAAAAATTTTCACTTGCCACTAACCATTGGTGAGCGAAAATTTAGCCATGGCGAGTAGAAGCTCACCTCTTAAAAGGTATGCTATGGCTTGTAGTGGCAAGTAACTTTTAATGTCTGGCTAGTAACACGAGACCACAAAGAATTGCATATTTACCCAAATATATTAAACCAAATCCGCCTTCTCCAATAGTCTTGCCTAATGTCCATTCTTTTTTATTTGTGTCTGTTAGGATCAATCCTTCTGGCAGAGGAGAAGGCAGTTTTCTTCTTTGATTCTTGGGAGGCATTTATTCCTGAAATACTAAATTAAGAATGCATATATCTTAATGTCATAATTAATTAAATATTAACTGGCATTTATAAAACCATCATAACAGTGTACTAGTGCTTAGAGAGTGTTTTAGCATTTGGAATTTAGCGTTTAAAGGGTTACTCTAGCTTCCTCGACCACTTTGGTGATTTAAAGTAGTCATGGTGGCAAGAGTCAGTACACCTCCTGCCTCCTTCCATCACTTGTATGTTTTTGTATGCAGCTGCACACTTACTTGAACACCCCTGAGGAAGTCTGTGCAAGCGGACGAAACGCTTAGGGTTAATTTTACATTGCCGTTTAGGAGAAGTTCCCTTACTGTGGATCAAGCACAAGTACAGCTTGTAGATGTGCCTTTTATTATTTGTAAATTTGTAAGTGCAATATTATTAAAGATAATGCTTTTAAATGTTATACAGTTTCGCACTATACTTGTCACTTTACTACCATTTACATATCACCGAAAATAATTGGGAGCTGAAACATCAATGGATCCCTGACACAGAGATTATATGTTCTGCCTGCTAACTACATGCGTGTGTGAGTGCAATAGCCCACCTTTTAATTGTATGGTGTTTTAAAGTGTATTACACTATATGTGATATTTGTTTTGTGGTTTTACAGCTATATTCTAAGCCCGGCTATTTCCGAATAAAGTTTCCCATTATTAGTGCAGTTTGCTACAATTTTACAAGTTAGGCAAATAAGCCTGGGTATGTAGCCTGTAGGGCTGCTGCTAAAACAAAATACTATTTGCTGTTCCCACGTTTTCCACTGCTCCCATTGCGTCAAAATATTAATAAATTGGTCAAGCACTATTTTATGAATCTGCTAGAATTTTTGGAACTGTCATTGTATAGCTTAAAATAGGACATAATATTTGTACCAGATTTGATTGACTTTTTTTAACAGAAGCAATATGATTGAAGATTTGAACATGATTAGAGCATAAACACTTTACTATTGAAATGACCTATATTTATGTACTTAAATGGATACTGTATATCTTATTTTCAGAGGAGAAATTCACCACCTTCCCTTTCCCTGAAAAGAAAAAATAACATAAACAAGAAGGATCTTATAGGCAGATATTCAATGAATGAAGCTCTCAACACCGAAAATAGAGAGACTGTCAATTGTATTGGCAGTAAAAGGTAGGGAATGACCAGATGAAGCTAATTGAACATTTTTAACAACAAAATAAGTCCTTGGCAGATCATCTCTTAAATTGAGCAAACAAAATAGGAAGGGCTGTGCGGTTGGAAGAGACTGATTTTTTTTTGGATTTCCAAAAAAGACACAAGGCAGCCAAAATGGATAATAAAAGTCAGAGGATAACGAAAAGGTTGCAATGTTGAGCAGTCAAACTTGTTTACAGGATCGATCCCTGAGCAGCCAAATCCCATTACCACACACCCCTCTCTAACTTATACCATAACTAACTTATACTATAACTACCATAACTCCGAACATTTAACTCTTTCAGTGCTAGGCAGCATCAACAAGCTAGTTTAGCCTCCAAAAAGTCACTTAGCCTTCAAATATTGAAAACACCGCTATACTCTATTGCCATGTGACAAAACTGCTTCCAAGTGCTGTATAACTGACCTATGGGCAACAATAGTAGCAAGATATCTTCACTTACTGCAACATTCGAAAACTTGAAAGGAGTCAAACAAAACGAAACGAAAAGATAATCGTCACGTGATCACAGTGACTGGCTAGGGAACGTCGACAAAATTACAATCGACTGTAGCTAAGGGACTGTCTCTAATCTCACCGGATATGCAAAGCAATATTGATTCCAGGATATTTGTCTTTTAATTGGGACTCTGTCTTGTATTTAGTTTTAATCACTTACATTAAAGATAGGGCAGTTAATTAGTGTAAAATAGTTATCAGAGTATGTTTAAGGATAATAATATTGAAGTAAAGCCATATCTGTAGAAAGGTACCCCACAGAGCTTGCTATCTTGTAAAGCAAATTGTGCACATACACATATATATAACGTTTCAACATGAAAATAAAATAATCTTCCAAACATGAAATGTAAAAAATTCCGAAATTGTGAAATAAAGAATCCATGAACAACTGTTCCTGAATTCTGTAGAAGGTATAGGGATTTTTACTCAGGGTTTTATACAATAATAAGGTTGAAATGGGCAAAATAGTTAAAAACCCTCCGTGGCACATGAGTTAGTTATGTGGCGGCTGGCCAGAGCTTGCTAGTCAATAAAATAAATAAACAAATACAAATTAAATCAAGGTCAATAAGACCCCCATATTACTATAATGGAGGTACAATAGCTGTATTATACCTCTCTATGTCCCCACCTACCGCATCTATTATCACGTTAAACTAGCTAACTAATGGGCAGCCATTGACATGATGATGGTGCCTGTGAAATAATTTAATTTAATAGGGGATGAGGGGATGCACATGTCTACCTTATGTCTCTCCCACCCCCACCTGTAGTCAGCAGGTAGGACTGTTATCAGGGCCGGTGCAAGGATTTCTGCTCCAAGATCCATTTTGCTGCCCCTTCATGTCACTCACTGGCAGACACACAGACACACACACTCACTGACAGACACACAGACACTTACTGACAGACATACACACACACACACACTTACTGACATACATGCACTCACATACTGACAGACATACATACACTCATTCACTGACAGACACACATACACTCACTCACACACAGACATACACTCACTCACTGACAGACACACACACACTCACTGACAGACATACACTCACTCACTCACTGACAGACACACTGACATACATACACTCACTGACAGACACACACTCAGACATTCACTGACATACACTCACTCACTGACACACACACACACACAGACACACACTCACTGACAGACATACACTCACTCACTGACAGACACACACAGACACTCACTGACATACATACACTCACTGACAGACACACACAGGCAGACACTCACTGACAGACACACACAGACAAACACATATTCACTGACACATACACACACAGGCAGACACTCACTGACATACACTCACTCACTGCCAGACACACACACACACAGGCAGACACTCAATGACAGACACACACACTGACAGTCAAACACTCACAGACACACACACACAGACACTGACTGACATGCATACACTCACTCACTGACACACACACACACACAGGTAGACACTCACTGACAGACACACACACACATGCACACTGACAGTCAAACACTCACACACTCACAGACACACACACAGACACTGACTGACATGCATACACTCACTCACTGACAGACAAACACACACACACACAGGTAGACACTGACAGACACACACACAGGCAGACATTCACTGACATACACTCACTCACTGACACACACACACAGACACTTACTGACAGACATGCACTCACTGACAGACACACAAAGACACTGACATACACTCACTCAATGACAGACACACACTCACTGACAGACATACACTCACTCACTGACAGACACACACAGACACTCACTGACATACATACACTCACTGACAGACACACACAGGCAGACACTCACTGACAGACACACACACTGACAAACACATATTCACTGACACAAACACACACAGGCAGACACTCACTGGCATACACTCACTCACTGCCAGACACACACACACACACACACACACACAGGCAGACACTCACTGACAGTCAAACACTCACAGACACACAGACACTGACTGACATGCATACACTCACTCACTGACACACACACACAGGTAGACACTCACTGACAGACACACACACATGCACACTGACAGTCAAACACTCACATACACACACACAGACACTGACTGACATGCATACACTCACTCACTGACAGACAAACACACACACACAGGCAGACACTGACAGACACACACACACAGGCGGACACTCACTGACAGACACACACACATGCACACTGACAGTCAAACACACACACTCATTGACACACAAACATACAGGCAGACCCTCACTGACATACATACACTCACTCACTGACAGACACACACACACAGGCAGACACTCACTGACAGACACACACACACACACACAGTCAAACACACTCACTGACACACACGCACACAGGCAGACATTCACTGACATACATACACTCACTCATTGACAGTCAAACACTCTCTATAAGATATGTTTTATACCTGTAAATACAGACCAATTTTAATCTATTTTCATTTAATGGAAACAGCTGACATAAAAACAACATATAAACATCTTAAAGGTTATTCCACTGGAAATATTATCATAAAACTTTGAAGCTTTAATTTCTGAAGTTTCAGCAGCTCATCTAAAAGAATTAAAGGGATTATTTTTTATGATTAGATGCTTTGCACAATAGGGATGTTACATTTTCTATAGCATGCCGACAACTTGCTCTCACCCACAATTATATTTTGTATCACTCTCATGGCATTTAATACTGGCATTTTCAAATTAACATGTTTTCCAGCTACAAGCGTATCTTTAAATATCATTGCTAAATTTGCACGGGTGATATAGCTTCATAGCATAAACAACGTGAATAGCAAGATGCCAGCTTTAAAACAAAGAAATCTGTTTTTGGTTTTCCAGATGACCAATGAAGGGCAAATTTCACTATCAGCTTGATCAATCAACAAAACTTTTTATATAATTACTGTGTTACTGTTGGACACACAACAAACAGAGGTCACATCACCCAACTTTGTCATTGTCTTGGAGCAGTGACACTCATTCTGAAGTCTACGGCACTATTTACCATTCCTGGCCCAATGATTGAGATCACATAATTGCAATAATTAGGAAGATCACCTTAGCATATTATCAAAGTGACCCACCCAAACCCAAGTCCATATGGTTTGCAATAGCTAATGAGTCAGTTAATGTGCTATGTCCAGGAGTAATGGGTACTTGTTATGGATGACATGAAATATAATTTGCCAACTTTGTGACTGATTAAGGTTTTTCAAATGAACGTTTTTTTCCAATTTTGCTAAATGAACACTTTGGAAAATAGCACAGCCTTCGGTTTTCCAACTGTGTTTTTTTTATTTTTTTATTAATGAAAAATAGGGGCTTGCAGTATGTAATGAATGCTGGTTCATATACATGTTTAAAATGTGTTTTATTATGCTTTGTTAACATAATATGACTTTTAAACAATTTTGTAGCTCAGCTGAACAGTTGTTTGCAATTGCATTTAAAAAGGGTCTGTAGTGTGAAATAGTGCATTAAATCTGAGTTTAAGTATTATTATGAGTATTTCATATAATTGTAGTATAATTGGAAGAGTATTTGTAAACTTTTACTACTGTATTTGTATTTTTCATTTATATATATATATATATATATATATATATATATTTCTGTTTTATAGATAATATAATTTTAATCAGAAGTACGATCAGACTCTTAATGCAGCTTAATAAGCATTTGTTAATTCGTTATAATACAAATTTGCATTTCCCGTGTCAATTCTCCACAATTACTGATTTAGAAAGTAAGTCATTCTTTTTCATTATCACTAACAATATTGAATACATAGTCACAGTAACTATTCCTGGTACTGTGAAGACAGCAGTAGTGCTCACTTGTCTTGACTGGTTTCCACAACAAACTACCCTGGATTAGGCAGTTGTGCCCCTCTCAGGTCTAGCCTTTATGTGGTCCCTGCTGACAGGGCTGCCATCAGAAACTTTGGGGCACCTGACACAACTCAAGGTGTGCCTGCCCCTGAATCTGCCCACAAGGTTGCAGTGTATGTGTTTGTGTAATGGATGAAGTGTGTGTAATGTGGATACAGTGTGTGTGTAAAGCTAGGTAGTGGATGCAGAGTGTGTGTAGTGGATGCAGAGTGTGTGTAGTGGATTCTGTGTGTTACTGGCTGGGGGTTTGCAAGATTTGGAGAGAGCTTCTGGAAGCTTTTTTGGGGAGTGTGGGAGGCACAAGAGTGGACAAAATGTAGATACCCATCTGTCATACAAGTCCAGGAATGCTTTGACAGCAAAGCATCTGCAATTTGCCCTTCTTTGCAGGGTTGTATTTAGCACTGAGCAGTGTTTGTGTGTTTGAATGAAAGTGTCTTTTATGTATTGAGTATGTGTTTGTGAATGATGGTGTTTCAATGCAGGTGTGCATTTGTGTGTAGTGTATACACTGCCACACACACACTGATACACATAACAGATAAACACACTGACAGATAAACACTAACACACAGATATATACTGACACACACATGTTGGTCATTTTTTATCCCCCCTCTTGTTTCTTAGCTTTTGGCTGCAGGAAGGTGGCCTCTGCAGGCTGGGACTGGTGGGAGTCAGGGATGGATTTCAAAATCAGAGACAACATGGGTTTATTTCACAGAGGTCATGCCAAACTAATCTTATTGATTTTTTTCCTTTAGGTAGCTAAAATAACAGATCAGGATGGTGCAGTAGACATTGCTTACTAGTGATGTACCGAACGGTTCGCCGGCGAACGGTTCCTGGCGAACATAGCATGTTCGCGTTCGCCACGGCGGGCGAACATATGCGCGGTTCGACCCGCCCCCTATTCGTCATCATTGAGTAAACTTTGACCCTGTACCTCACAGTCAGCAGACACATTCCAGCCAATTAGCAGCACAGCCTCCCTAGCAGACCCTCCCACCTACTGGAC